ATGAACAAAATATATGGGAGCTATAGCTATATCTGAACCGATCTTCACCAAATTTGATATACTAGCTTCTAGACTCTATTCTGTAGTAAGTACCAAATTTCATCCCATTTGGACAAATATTAGATTTTTTCTTGCACAATAAAAGGTGAATCGGCCGAAGTTATATATGGGAGATATATCCAAATCTGAACCGATCTCGATAAAATGTAGCAAATGTATTTCTGAGCTGCATTTGATATATTTGCCCAAATATTGTTGTTACAGAGTGCATATTACGGCTGCGGAGGACAAAAATAACAAATTGGATGAACCATATATATGGGAGCTATAGCTATATCTGAACCGATTTCAATCAAATTTGGCATACTTATTTTTAGGCCTAATTCGGTTGTATGTGCAAAATTCTATACTATTCGGGCTGATATCACACGCTTGGAGCACAATAAATGGCAAATCGGACGAACATATATATGGGAGCTATATCTAAATTTTGACCGGTTATCTCCAATTTCAATAGGGTTCGTTCTTGGGCCAAACAAATGATATGTGCAAAATTTCATCTCAATCGGATAATAAATGCGAACTGCATTTTGTTCACAAAAATACATAGACAGACGAACGGGCGGACTGACATGCATAAATCAACTCAGAAAGTGATTCTATGGACATTCTCAAAAGCAACTATGGGGTATGGGTTGAATGCTTATTTCGCTTTCTTTGAGCGTTTTGCTCTCCAAATCTTGAACCATATGTGGGGGAGGTACCACAAAACATGGTCCAATCTCTACCATCTTTATAACAGATCTTGTATTGATGAAAATATTTAGATGTGCCAAGTTTGAATGGATTCGGATCTTAATTTCGCGTTTTATGAGCTTCATGGATTTTAAAAATTTTGACCCTTTGTGGGGGAGGTACCAGCAGGAGTGCAGAATATTTTCCAGCTTCACAGCTTATCTTGTGTTAGTAGAAATAATGGGATGTGTGAAATATGAAGAGAACCGGATGCATATTTCGGATTTCACAATCGTTTTGGTTATTCAAAACTTTAACCCTTTGTGGGGGAGGTACCAGAAGGAATGGTCCGATCTGTACCATATTTATAACAGATCTTGTGTTGATGGAAATATTGAGATGTGCCAAGTCTGAATGGAATCAGATATTAATTTCGCGTTTCATAATCTTCATGGATATTTAAAAATTTATATTCTTTAAATCTTTGTTAAAACGAATTTTTTTAATTTTCTTCAAACCATTTTAATATTTCCATCAAAATTATGTTAGGCTTCAGAACTGGAGATACGCAGGAAAGAGTTTAATGCTTTCACCAAAGTTTTTTTATGTAGGAATTTCAAACATTCTACAAAAAAGTTCGGTATAGCATATCACTTCATCTCTCTGAATACGTCAAAATCGAACCCAAACCTAAATATAAAAATTCTGCGATATTCAAAATTTAATTTTATGGCCGAATCCATTGTCCCAATTGAAGTCCTCCATCGTAAACACTACCAAAAATGCATATCTTACAACATAGGTCCCTTGTTCTCCTTAATAAACAGAATTCCCCTGCACCCTCTTAAATGATTTGCAATAAATTAGAATACGCCAGAATCATTGATATTCCAAACGTTGTTCCAATTTAAGTTAATTTCTTCCTTTTTCTTTTTCACAATAGCATGTTGCTTTGGCCGAGGCTCCCCAGAATTGCTACTGTTTATATATGTTATTGACCACTTGTTTCTAAAACAACAGCAGCAACAACAACCACCAATGAACCTCTCCCTGAGCCATGACAAAAGTAGCGGCACTAAACACATGAACGATTTTCATAATAAGTCACGAATCGCATCAAACCAAGAAAAGGAAAACTACCTTTGGAGGACGAAATCCAAAGGAAGAAAATAAAAACAAACGAAACAAATCTTGAGGACCACCAAAAAAAAGCAATACAAGCAACTAAAAACGATGGCGAATTTAGTATTGTCATTCACAACTGACAGTTGCAGGGAGAGGAGGGTGGTGGTGTACATCGTCCCTCATCGCAGGACAAGTGGCAGCGGATACGCATATCATCTAAACCATGAAGTAGAAGTAGAACTGCTACGTGTACTATTTCATGCATTCAAGTGGAAAATTTTCATCAATTGTTGCTGTGGCGGTGTTGTAGGTATGCGGCAGAAAATCAAAAGTCCAAACATTGTTCCGAATTTTTATATTTTCCTAAATATTTCAACGAAACATGCAAGAGACGATGATGAGGGTGAGTCTGCGACTCGAAGATTTCCATGGGAGAAAAGACATTTTCGTAACAGGTAAATACGTGATGAAATTTTAAAAATTGTCCATTTAATTATCTGATGTCGAAATTGTTTTCGAAATGAAAAACTATTAAAATAGTATCAGTCGGGTTTGCCGACACATTTATACCCCCAGCCTTGAGTTATTATTACTCAAATCGTTGACCTCTTTGGTGGAGGTCCCGAAGTAGTTGGTCAATATTCACCAATTCATATTTGAGCTAAGACTGAAAAAAATATTACAACGTGCCAGATTTAGAGTATATCGACTACTTCCTATACTTTATATGAGATAGTTGCATATTTTTGGAAAATGTGGAAATATACGTAAGGTTACTGATATAGCGGACCGAAGTATTCTATCTTCATACTTTATCTAATATAGATAAAATGTGCAAAATTTTATACCAAATCATAAATTTCAATAAATCACATATTCGTATAAGATTTCAGGTTTAGAAAAATATTTAGATATATCACTTTGTAAAGAATCGCCGACTTGTTTATGTTATGTCAGATATAAGTAATGGCAATTGTGAGACTTTGTGGGTGAGGTACAAGAAGGGGTTGGCAGATATATATCATCTTCACAACAGATCTTATAGTACGTTTATATATATGAGGGTTAACCCACTGGATTAAATTAAATTGTCATATCCATTACTTTTAATTCAAATAAATCCTCTCAAAGTAGGTTAACCCTACAAAAAGTTGTAACGTAAACATGGCATAACGTTAGCAAAAATATTTGGATGTGTGAAATTTGAAGAGAGTTGTATGCTTATTTTGCTTTCTTTGAGGGTTTTGATTTTCAAAAATCTTGAACCCTATCTGGGGGAGGTACCAGAAGAAATCGTCAGATCTATACCATTTTTATAACAGATCTTGTATTAATGGAAGTATTGGGATGTGCCAAGCCTGGATGGAATCGAATGTTAATTTCGCGTTTTAAGATCTTCATGGATATTTTGACCCTTTGTGGGGGAGGTACCAGAATTTTACACAAGACCTTGGTTTAATAAAAATTATTGTGATGTCTGTAATTTTAAAAGAACCCGATGCTTGTTTCGTTTTTATGATCGTTTTGGTTATTCAAAACTTTGACTCATTGTGGGGTTGGTACCAGTAGGAATGGTCCGATCTCTACCATCTTTATAACAGATCTTGTGTTGAAAGAAATATAGAGATGTGCCAAGTCTGAATGGAATCGGATGTTAATTTCGTGTTTCAAGAGCTTCGTGAATATTCAAAATCCCTTTTGAATATTCCCTTTGTGGGAGGTACCAGAAGTTAATGCAGAAAATGTTATAACAATTTTTCTTTTAAGTGGAAACTTTATTTTAGTAGCCCTCACGAAACCCAAAAACGGCAACCAAATTCTATGTCGATTTAGCCACGTCTGCCTTTCTGGTGAAATCACAAAAGTGTTCCATACTATGGAGGGTATATTAAGTTCGTCATTCCGTTTGTAACTCCTCGAAATATTTACGTCAGGCCCAACAAAGGATATATATCTTGATCAGCGTTAAATTCTAAGTCGATTTAGCGACATCCGTATGTCTGTTGTAATCACGCTACCTTCCCAACGAATTGAGATAGATGACTAAAATTTTGCACACATATTGCAAGTTGGTCCTCGTTTTCGTACAGCCCCCATATAACAGTACCTCCCGATATTCGGTATTTAAATGATTTTAGCGGTATTATAGACCGGAATCATTTCAAACTTAGTGTTGGAAAATGTTAATAGGTACTATAACCTATGAAAAAAAATACTTAAGTAGCCTTACGCCTTCGTATAGCCCCTATATAACTATACCTCCCAGCTTGTGGTATTTTTATGGTGTTAGAGACCTTTTAAACCGGAATTGTTTCAAATTTCTTATTTTAAATTCCTAATGTGTACTACAGCCTATGACAAAAATTTGCGTATGCATGTCCCTGCCTTCGTATAGCCCCTATATACATTCTCATATTTATTCAACAGAATTGTTTCAAATTTGGATTTGAAGTTCGTAATGGATACTTCAACCAATGACAAAAAAATGTATATGAAGGTCCATGTCTTCGTATACCTCACATATAACGGTATCTCCACTTTTTCGGTATTTTCGTGATATAAGGGACATTATTCAACGGAATTGTTATAAATTTCGTATTTGAAGGTCCTAATGGGTATTACAGTCTTCATATAGCACTCATATAACTTTTTTCTTAACATTTTGCAAGTTCTTTGCAAATGGTTAAATATAGCCCCTACATATCGTATCTCCTATTTTTCTGTAAATTGTCGTTTCTGTCCCAATTTCCCTCCAAATCAGTTGTAATTTGACATTTCGGGTTCTCAGTGGGTAGTTGAAATACTCGCAAAATATATTCAATATTTTTCCTCTTTTTTGGTATGGCCCGAATTTCGATTTGTCAGTACTTTGAAGGTTTTGGTCCCAATATTCATCCAAATCAGCTGATAGTTAAACTCCTCCCAAATATTATTTAATGTAGTTCCACATAAATCTGGAATCCATGAATTTGGGTTGACTTATCATAATACACTGTATGGTAGTGTAAGGCAAACAAAGATGTGTTTCAAAAGAATTTACATTGTTCTTTCTTTTCAACACAATCCTCACCTGACCTATATATGATGCCAAAAAGTATTTCCATGCATCCATTGTTTCCCAAAAAAAACCAAAACACATTGACATCAATTGCTTCCAACAACAATTACAACCAAAACAGACATTCGAAAAACAAATATTTCCCTGATTCATGACCCCCTTTAAATTGGCTATATAAACGCAATTACCGCTGGCATCCGATAACAGTTTAATTAAAATTTAAATACAAACGTCAGTATGTTATGTAAATATTTAACAACAATTTTCTTTGGCATTTGTCTGTTGGTAAGTTAACAACATTTTTGGAAATTTTTATTTAATTTTACGCACACACACGTACATAATTCTCTTTTAGAATTTATCAATCATATTTAATCACTTGTCTCAATATTTGTATGTTCTCTTCACACTTTTGTAGATGTCTGCGGCAAATGCAACAGTAAGTATAAATTGAAACTGGGCTGTAAAATCACCTTCAAGGAGTCCAAATCATTAACTTTTTTTTAATTAAAAATATTTTTTTTATATGCAAAAATATTAAATAAATAGATAAAGGCCTAAACGCAGGAGTCAGATTGGGAGATATTTTATATGTTTTAAATAAAAATATTATAATTTCATATTTTGAAAATTTTTACCCTTGTCATAGAACCCTATACCCGACAAAGTATCACCAATATTGGCATCATGTGGTTCACCAACGCAGCAAATGGTTAGGGTAAGTAAGAAGCTATTTTTATTTTTTTTTTCTGTAATGTATATATGTCTTCCCATAGTGTATTAATCAATGGGCCTGCCAGCAAGCTATACGTTTGGATCTAAGGTAAGTATTATGAATCGAATATTTAATTTTAAAGTTAGTAATTGAAAACTGGATATACAGGGAGAGATAAAAAAAATGTAACAAAGTCAAAGCCATAATCTTTACATTTTTTTAAAACTTTATTGAAAAAAAACAAAAAATGTCAGAAATAGTATCAAATTTTAAAATAAGTAATTGGTCCCCTTTGACACGAATTATGGCCTTCAAATGGCCAATGAAACCGTCACACGCTGCCCGAATGTTGCTATGCCGTATTTTGGCCCATTCCCGGGGAAGCGCTTTCTTGAGGTTCTCGACACTTTGGTGTTTTTTAGTGCCAGCCTTGCTTTCCAAAATACTCCAGACACAATAGTCCAACGGATTGGTATCGGGAGATTTTGGTGGTCATTGTGCACTGAAAATTAAGCGAGGAACCTTATGTTGTAACCATTCCTGGGTGGCGCGTGCTGAGTGTGATGGTGCTGAATCCTGTTGGAATGTCCAAAATCTGAGGCCAAATATTTTTCCGTGCCCAAGGCCTTAATACACCCTCCAGAATATTTTCGCGATAATATTCGGCATTTATTCTGATGCCACGGTCGATTAATACGAACGGAGAGCGACCATCGGCTGTTATGGCGGCCCACACCATCACCATGGCCGGCGCTTGAGTTCTGGTGGCCAACCGATTGAGCATATTTTCAGCTGAACTCTTTGGCAAGTAAACACGATCATTTTGTTTGTTTACAAACTGCTGGACAACGAATGTTTTCTCATCGGAGAAAAAATTCGGCAGTACACCACTTTCGGCCAAGCGGAACAACTCTTTAGCTCTTTTGAGCCTATTTTCTTCTGTAAGTTCTGGCATTTTTTGGAAATTCAATGGCTTTACACCGACCACATTTTTCAATATTTTCCGTGTGGAATATTCAGCTCACGAGCCATTTTTCGGTCACTGCTACGCGGGCTTCGATCAAGTCGCTTCTTTACTTTTCGAACCATTTCTGCTGATGTTGCTGTTTTCTTCCGTCCATTTCCTTGACGTCGGGCTACGCTACCAGTATCAAGGTAACCAGCGATGGTACGAGACACGAAAGATTTATTCACATTTAAATGCCGGAGTGCTCTAACGATAGCCACTTGTGATTTTCCAGTCAAATATAAAGAAATCACACTATCACGCTTGAATTCCATTGCGAATAACTTTTTTTTTTTTGGAAAATTCTCACCAAAATGCTTTTGTACGCTTGTAAACAATATAATGAGCTGTCACTGGAATAATTTTAGCAGCAGTCGGACGAGTGGCTTAGAAATGACATCAGTCTGACGTTGGTTGCAGTTTTTTCATCTCACCCTGAATATGCAATTTTTTCCATAGGCTCTAGTACCCATTAAGATCTTCAGATACGAAATTTAAAACAATTCCGGTCTATAATGTCTCTCAAATGATAAAAATTATCGCAATTCGTTCGAAAGATAGCGTGATTACAACAGACAGACTGACATCGCTAAATCGTCTTAGAATTTTACGATCCATAATATATATACTTTGTAGGGTCTAACGTGAGTATTTCGAGGTTTCGAAAATTCCTCATATTAAAGATTTCAGATTTCTTATTTTTTAAGGAATTGAAAATTTCCGCCTTTTTTGTCTAAGATTCTATTTATCAGTTATTCAGCTAATCTGAATACCACTACTTTTTCCTGAGTTACTTTGTTTAAAATCGACGAGTTCCTAATTCTATAATCATTATAATTAACATTTTTTAATAGTTTCTGATGATCTTAAAATAATATGTATATTCGTTTCAGATGTTTATTAAACCTCAACGGAATACCACTATTGGGAGGATTACTCGGCGGCGAGGGAGGTTTGCTTAGTGGTCTGACTGGTGGATCGGGCGGCGGTGGTGGCGGAGCCGGAAATATTGTTAGCGGTCTTCTCGGACGTTAAACATACAGTTTAATCGCTTTCCATATTACCGCATTACAAATTCTAAATGTCCAACAAAAAATACAAATTACTATTATGCACTCAGAAAGGATAATATTCCATGCACCCAGTAGATTTCATTGCCAATTGTTCACACATACACACACAAATAGTATCAATAGCCATTAAAGTCCGTTATATTACATTTTTTTATATTGTTGTAACTTTAATTTTCATTAATTAACAATACATTTATGATTTTTATCCACTGAAGGTGTGTTGCCATTTCTTTTTATTGTTATTACTTTAAAAGTGTTCAGCTAGGTTTTATTTTTTGCCATTAAATGGCCAAAGAGTTAATTTTCCGGGTTATCTCGAATTCAATACTAATATAACACCAAGACACACATATATGGTACGGAGCGGAAATGGCATAATCGATGTTCAATAATCCCGTAACCGTTATAAAAATGCAATTATCCTTTACAGTAATAATCAAAATTATATGCCAATAGAATTTAAGAAAAAAAAAAATTAAACAAAGATCTGCAAATGTGAAATGCAATGAATGGAATATTGGAAAAATAGACTTGTTAATCCTAATTAATTTATTAAACTGCAAGACATTGTAGAGTATTATGGCCAGCAATGATGAATATGGCTTAGTCTAAAATATTTAAATAGAATTGTGAATGTGAATTAAAACCCAAAGAGATAATTTAACTACGTTTTACTATATCGAGAAATTAATTAAATTTCGAATTTCAAGAACGAGTAAAATCGAAATAATATTCGTTGCATGTACCAAGAGGATTCTGGCTAAAAATTTGAAACACGTCGCACAATATTAATATCTCGATGAATTATTTCTGTTCGTGTTTTCGTCCATCTAAACTATGTTTGACAGAAAATTGTCTGTGCAGGTCCACGTCTTCGTATAGCCCCCATATAACGGTACCTCCCAATATTCGGTATTTTGATGATTTTAGCGTCATTATTCACCAGAATTGTTTCCAATAACGTATTTAGAGTTCGTAAAGGGAACTACAGTCTGTGACAGAAAATTGTCTATGCAGGTCCAGGTCTTATTCGGTATTTTGACGATATTAGGTATAATACCCACCGAAATTTTTTGAGATGTCGTATTTGAAGTTCGTAATGTATGCTATAGCCTGTGACAGAAAATTATTTATGCTAGTCCAGGTATTCGCACAGTTCCCTATATACAATATTTTGATGATTTTAGCTACATTATTAACCCTTTATTCCAAGTTTCGAATTTGAATATGGTAATGGCTTATGGCAAACGATGCCTATGTAGGTCCACGTCGTGTGGACTCCAATATAACGGGTATATTCGGTATTTTTAAAATTATAACAGAATTTTTTGAGGATTTTATTTTTTGAAAATTTTCAAATTCGTTCCAAATGGTGGAGGGTATTCAAAGTTCGGTCCGGCCGAACTTAATGCTTTCTAACTTGTTAATTTTTTTTTAAATTTTATTGAATGTAAGCAAAATATTTTGGAAATGGCATCAAATTTGAATTGGTCACCATTGGCACGAATTATGGCCTTCATTACGGCCAATGAAACCGCCATACGCTGCCCGAATATTGCTATGCGGTATTTGGGCCCATTCCCGGCGAAGCGCTTGCTTGAGGAGATCGACACTTTGGTATTTTTTTAGTGCCAACCTTGCTTTCCAAAATACTCCAGACACAATAGTCCAACGGATTGGTATCGGGAGATTTTGGTGACCACTGTGCGCAGGACATGAAGCGAGAAACCTCATTTTGTAACCATTCTTGGGTGGCGCGTGCTGAGTCCTTTTGGAATGTCCAAGGTCTGCAGCCAAAATGTTTGCGTGCCCAAGGCTTTAATACACCCTACAGAATATTATCACAATAATATTTTGATGCTAAGGTCGATTAATACGAGCGGAGAACGACCATCGGATGTTATGGCGGCCTACACCATCACTATGGCCAGTGCTTGAGTTCCGGTGGCCAACAGAAGGTGCACATTTTCAGCTGACCTCTTTGGCAAGTAAACACGATCATTTTGCTTATTTACAAACTGTTGGACATCGAAGAAAACCAAATTCGACAGTTCACCATTTTCGGGCAAGCGAAGCAACTCTTTAGCTCTTTTGAGTCTATTTTCTTTCTGTTGTGGTGTAAGTTCTTGCACTTTTTGGAATTTCAATGGCTTTACCTCAAGCTCATTTTTCAATATTTGCCGAATGGAATATTGCGATATGTTTTTAGCTCACGAGCCATTTTTCGGCCACTGCGACGATCAAGTCGCTTCTTTACTTTTAGAAACATTTCTGCTAATGTTGCTGTTTTCTTCCGTCCACTTCCTAGACGTCGGGCTACCCTACCCGTAACACGGTAACGAGCAATCGTACGAGACACAAAACATTTATTTACATTTGAATGCTGGAGTGCTCTGACGGTAGCCACATGTGGTTTTATAACCAAAATAACCAAATATTTTTTATAAATAACCAAATATAAAGAAATCACACAAAGACTAAGAAATCACACAAAGACTAGTAATCACTCCTGAATTCCATTACGAATAACATTTTTTCAGGAAAATTTTCGCCAAAATGCTTCTTTACGCTTGTAAACGATATAATGAACTGTCACATGAATAAAAAAATTAAAAGCTGTCGGACGAGTGCCTTAGAAATGACAGTAGTCTGAAGTTGGTTGTAGTTTTTTCATCTCACCCTGTACTCTTAGTATACATATACTCTCAGTAGTCATATGCCTGCATGTTCGTACCTTGGCCACTGCACAACGCAGGAAATCACTCTCTTTTCCCCAAAAAAATAAAACCCTTCACACAAATATTGAATTGATATTGAACTCATGTCTTTATTTGAAATTTTCTTCATAAATATTTTGTAAATTTTTAGTTTGCGATATTGTTGTTTTTGTTTTTCTTTACATAGTAAGGGGGTTTCATTTGTAGTTCTTCTTCTTTTTTGTTTTTTTTTTTAATTCATTTAAATATTGACAAAATAATTTAATATATTTTAGTAATTGCAAACATAAATATATACTAATGTATTCATATGTCAGTGTGTATGTGTGTGTGTGTGAGTTAGTGTATATATTTTGTGAGACCCTCATTAGCACTACATTCTGAGCATTTCAGGTTTCATCTTCACAGTACTGAATTTTTGATCCTTGTCTTCGAAATAAGTTTCTTTGTTTTCGTTCCATAAATCGTATTCTGTTGTTTCAAAATTTTAAATATATATTTTCTATATATATATGCTTTTGTGGAAAACTATGAAAAAACATTTATTAATTAATTTTAAGTTGTTGTTTTGTTTTTTTTTTGTTGCTTTTGTTTATTTTGATTCTATATATTTTGTTTTGAATTGTTTTCTTTTTTTTAATTTTTGCTTATTAACTAAAAACATCGCTAATAATAATTTAGAATTTGTTTCAGTTTTGTCAGAGTAAATAATTGTTTGCTCCATTCCTAAAATCTATTTGCTAAGATACACATAACCGCATATAAATATATACTATTAGTGATAGCGTGTAGTACGGTCTGACTGTCGTTTATTTATCCAAGTCGGTTCATTTACCGCTCAATACCAACTGAGTTTTTATTTATATCTTAATTTTTATTTCAAACTGATTGTACAAGATACCGCGTGAAATTGAAATGTTGTAAGAAAAATTGGAATGGATCATATGTATGACTAAAAAATTGGAGGAATATTTCTCGTATACCCCATAAAGTCCGACCGGTTATGTATGTCTGTGGATATAAATTGTCCTCCCTAAAAGGGTATGATGAAGTTCAGATTTTAGGAAGATACCTATAAAAGATAGCCCAAATCTTTTGGTATGGACTGCAATTTTTTTATAGTGGATTCGTCTGATACACTCTCTCCACATTTTTAAATTGCCTAATTTTCCACAGTAACTTTCAATGTATCCATATTTTTTTTTTTTTTAATGATGGTCCTTGATAACTTCACATCCTCTTGACCAACTAAATTCAACGAGTTGGCCATGCTCATAGAACTCACAATATTTAAGATAGGAATCTAAAATTCTATTTTTGTGGGGCTATGTTAAAGCTCATGTCCAGAGCATAAATTTGCCCGTTTCCATCTATGAAAAAAAGTTTACTCTTTACTCCTGTGGATCCTGTGGGAGTGCTCCCCAGACGTTCCTGTTTGTAAAAATAGAGTGAGAGCCGTGTTTGTATAACATCAAAAACCTGGGCATATATATATGGGAGCTATAACTATCTCTGAACCGATTTTCAAATTTGACATACTTGTTTCTAGGATCAATTTGGTCGTAATTACCAAATGCCATCCCTTTTGGGCTAACATTACTCTATCTCGTTTCCTGACCACCTTGTGGTGTAGGGTATAAAAGTGCTCGATAGGTGCACCCTTTGCTCTTTTTTGAACGAATTTTGTACCCACGAGCAACAAGCCCTTATTCGAGCGAAGCTGATATTAGAATTTTGCTCATTTTGTTTTTTCTACAAACAGAAGTGTTCCCGCACGAATTCGAGTATAGAGTGAAACTCGCTCGAAGTTTTTCGGATGTTTCCCTTGTCTGCACAGATGTGGCCTCTTCAATCAACGCATTGGAAAACAACATTGAAGAATTTATACTTAAGATACGGGGTTTACCAAAATTGGACTAAGCGTATGGACTATTTGAGAAACAGTGGAGGTCAACATTTACATGATATCAAAAATTATGTGACAGATCGAAATATTGGTCCCCGACATGGATCTTTCTATCTCGCCGATCTAGCTATGTTTGTCCGTCGGTCTTTCTATGTTCATTTGTATCGATTTTTGCAACAAACTTAATTTGTAATGGTCCAATTTCCATTAATTTGAATATGGAGGAGGGGTTAGGATCAGAATAGAAGCCTATTATTATTTAGAGATGATTGCAAAATATTTAGAGTTGAAATGGACAAAAAAAAAACAGATTTTGCTCACAGTCACAATTATAAACCGATCGACGCGGGATTTTGCATGGAGTTAGAGTATGGGGTTGAGCAGAAGCCTGCCAATTTGGACGAAACTACGATTACACGAAAAGGTCACTTCTGACTATTATAGTGATGCTGATAGCCCATATATATAGCAAAATAGGTACAATATACAAGGTGAGATGAAAAAATTGCAACCAACTTCAGACTGCTGTCATTTCTAAGCCACTCGTCCGACAGCTGTTAAAATTATTCTAGTGACAGCTCATTATATTGTTTACAAGCGTACAAAAGCATTTTGGTGAGAATTTTCCAGAAAAAAAGTTATTCGCGATGGTATTCAAACGTGATTTCTTTATATTTAGCTGGAAAACCACAAGTGGCTATCGTTAGATCACTCCAGCATTTAAATGTGAGTAAATCTTCTGTGTTTCGTGCCATCGCTCGTTACAGTGAAACTGGTAGCGTAGCCCGAAGTGAAGGAACATCAGCAGAAATAGTTTGAAAAGTAAAGAAGCGACTTGATCGAATCCCGCGTCGCAATGCCCGAAAAATGGCTCGTGTGCTGAACATATCGCAATATTCAATTTGGCAAATATTTAAAAATGAGCACGGGGTAAAGCCATTGAAATTCCAGAACGTGCAAGAACTTACACCGCAACATAAAGAAAATAAACTCAAAAGAGCTAAAGAGTTGCTTCGCTTGGCCGAAAGTGGTGAACTGCCGAATTTGGTTTTCGCCGATATGAAAACCTTCGTTGTCCAGCAGTTTGTAAACAAGCAAAATAATCGTGTTTACTTGCCAAAGATGTCAGCTCAAAATGTGCACCTTCGGTTGGCCACCAGAACTCAAGCGCCGGCCATGGTGTGATGTGGGCCGATGGTTTCGTCTCCGCTTGTTTTAATCGACCGTAGCATCAGAATAAATGCCAAATATTATCGCAAAAATATTCTGGTGGGTGTATTAAAACCTTGGGCACGCAAACATTTTAGTCGCAGACCTTGGATATTCCAACAGGACTCAGCACCATCGCACTCAGCACTTACAAAATGAAGTTCCTCGCTTCATTTCCAGCGCACAATGGCCACCAAAATCTCCGAATACCAATCCATTGGACTATTGTGTCTGGAGTATTTTGGAAAGCAAGGTTAGCACTAAAAAATACCAAAGTGTCGATCACCTCAAGCAAGCGCTTCTCCGGGAAGGGGCCAAAACACCGCAGAGAAAAATTTGGCAGCATGGGACGGTTTCATTGGCCATAATTCGTGCCAAAAAAGGCCAATTGGATCAAATCTAAACTTATTCTAAAATTCGATTCTATTTCCGACATTTTTGCTTTAATTCAATAAAATTTAAAAAAAAAAGTGTAAAAATTATGGCGTTTGACTTTGTTGCAGTTTTTTAATCTCACCCTGTACATAGCTTCAAAATAGATAGTAAATCTTTTTATATTCCATAATTTACACTTTGCAATATAATAACAATTAAAATTGTCATCTGGCATCTTCCAATAACATTCTGAATAATTAGAAGTCTCGTATATGGAAAAATATATTACATTATTTCAAATTCACACATTCTGAGCTAAATCTTGATTGATATCCATAACAATTAGCAGCGGTCGTCCATTCTCCGAAAAAATACCCGAAGTGTATTTTTCGCTAACCCTCAAAATATATAAACTTCTAAAGGAAGCCTCTTCAATTTTGTTATGATTGACTACAGCAAAAAGCCCCATCAAGTCCTCAATGGGTTTAGTTACAGGGATTTTTAGGTTTACATATGCATCTTCCAAATTTTCTAAACATAGTGGAGAAGAATTTCAAAACTCACAGGTATTTGAATGCAGTCAAAAAAAACTGTTAGCGGATCTTACAAACTCATTTGAAATTACAATTTGGCATTTCTTTTCAAATAAATCACAAAGCCTTTCTTTTTCACTATACACATTTTAAGCTTATAAAAAACTGCAAAACTTTCCTATACTGATTTCAAACGTTTACTTAACATTTCTATTGTCTTAATTTTGTTCGGCTTATTTCTTAACAGCATACTATCTCTTTCTCGTTTGCTCAACTAAATTACCTACACAAATACATTCATTCTTTCATTATTATTTGAAAATTTGTTGCTCTTGAATTAGTTCTTTGTTTTTTGATATCTTTTCATTTTAGTATTGAAAACTACTCTCCTAATTTAGATCGTTTTGAACTTTGCGTACATTACACAGCCACTTGATTATGCGTGCGTTTCTCTCCACCACCGACGGTGGCTCAGTGGGCCTATAGGTTTGGGTGGTTTGTGGCTGGGTTTCGGTGCTGTCGGGCAAACGCATCGAGTCCACGGTACTGACATCCGAGAAGAACACTGTACTGTGTTCCGAATCACTGCCATTACTGTGCTTTCGCTTCGACATGGTGTAGATCTCATGGAACTTGTCATCGTTGAGGCCCAGACGATCGAAGAATTTCTCCAAGTCCATCATGGACTCATTGCTGGGCGGTGGTTGATGGGCGTTGGGATGTAGCAATTCCTGAGACCGTCTAAGCGAGTTATTGGCATATTGATCCCGAAACTCTTTGATTTGTTGCTGATGGGAGATGGCCTGTGGCGGTTGTGGCAGATGTGAGTGGGACTGCGATTGGGTGTGGGGCTGTGGATTGTGGGTCTGCTGTTGATATTCATCGGCCGAGAAACATTTCGGAAAGAAGTAACGCGGTGGATCCGAACGCCTGTACGAGTCCATTGATGATGGTGTGGGATGGGGCAAATCATTTGACGATCCCTGCTGCTGTTGCGGCTGCTGCTGTGGCAATGAGATGCGACTGCGGTTCTTGAAACGAATGCATTTCTGCCGCTTGAATTGTATCGGCGGCGGACTTATGTCCTCAATGGAAGGTTGGGAGCCGGGTGATTGTACTATGGGCTCATCGGATGATGCCTTGTGTTTCATATAACCCCCCTGACCGCCCAGTATCTGATGAGCCGAGGAACTATAGTAGCGAGTATCATCATTCTGATAGTTGTGCATGCGTGGGGAAGGTGGTATATAGTCATCTTGAAAAGCTTCTGGTACTTCCGGGGTGGTAAAATTCAATAGATAATCGGATGAGTCGTAGTTGTCCAGCATGGCTTTGCATGAGTAATCGCAATAGGAGTTGTTACTGTGCTGCGTAGAGGAACCACTGTCACGACGATATTCGACTCTGGTTGTGGCACTGCAACATTTTTTAGTCGGTCCGTCTCGTCCATCTCGGTCAATATCGACACGATGCTGACGATAGCATGGTTCGCTGCGATGTGTGTAGTGGCCCGACGAGCCGCCGGAATCACGATTCAAAGATGACTCTCCGGCCGATTTGATTGAACGATTACCGCGACTGCAGCAGCTGAGAATCTCACTGTGCGGCGAGTGTCGATTGATTTGGGTGTGTAAATCGGGCAGGGACTTATGGCTGTTAATGTTGTAGGAAGCGGCAGTGTATTTGGATTTATCATTGGCCATTTCGTGGGAGTGAGAATAGGAGCGTTGGTAGTTGTATCTGGCGAAAGAAGAGAGAGAGAGAAAATGTTTAAATTCTTTTCGATTTTATGTGAATGAATGTTTATATTGACCAAAAATTTTGCACAACGTTATTGAAATATTATTTGTAAATCCAGTACTGAAATGATTTTATCCTAATATCGTGTGTAAGACTTCTCCAATTGCCGAAAAACATATCAAGTTAGACTATCTAGTGGGAAACTAAGTTTTTTTCATGACAGGTAGAAAAGTTTTAATGCATGACTACCAATTAATATCGACCTCACACTTTAGGATTTTGAAATTGTGGGTATTATTTAGGTGCGGTGGCGGGCATACAATTTAAGTCGGATCAAACTTGATTTAAGAGAGAGCTCAATTTCAGGTCTCCCATTTGCAATATATTTTTCTGAATTTCTAAAGCAAATTCAACCTAATTGCCTTTTTATAATCCCTGATTGGGCGCCAGGCCAATTGTCTACATTCGTGGTCTACTTTACGTGTTGACATAATTCTGCAAAGCCTATGAAAGCTTTTAATGAACAATTAGCTAAAAATGTCTTGTTGTGTCTTTTGTTGAAATACATAAACCTCTTATCACACCCTCAATAATTAGGTAAACTGCATATATGCGCACATGGGTGTTAACAAATAAATGTACATATCAATAACCTCATGCGGGGCTACATACACACACTTTATATAAATGAATGGACGTATAATTAGAAAGAAATGCCCAGCAGTAAAATAAATCAATAATACGAATAATTACAATAATCTAAAAACCAATATCTAATAAAGAAAGGCCGTGGAATTTGCCGATTAATTCTACAATTCTAAAATCAAATTTAACCTGTAAGGAAAAGTCAAAAGTCGGGCCGGGTCGACTATATGACACCCTACACCACTACAGGATGAGATGAAAAAACTACAAACTACTTCAGACTGCTGTAATTTCTGAGACACTCATCCGACAGCTGTTAAAATTATTCCAGTGACAGCTCATTATATTGTTTACAGGCGAACAAAAGCATTTTGGTGAGAATTTTCCAGAAAAAAAGTTATTCGTGATGGAATTCAAGCGTTAAAGTGTGATTTCTTTAAATTTGGCTGGAAAACCACAAGTGGCTATCGTTAGAGCACTCCAGCACTTAAATGTGAATAAATCTTTCGTGACTCGTACCATCGCTCGTTGCCGTGATAATGGTAGCGTAGCCCGACGTCAAAGATGCGAACGGAAGAAAAAAGCAACATCAGCAGAAATGGTTCGAAAAGTAAAGAGGCGACTTGATCGTCGCAGTGGCCGAAAAATGGCTCGTGAGCTAAAAACATATCGCAATATCCCATTCAGCAAATATTGAAAAATGAACTCGGGATAAAGCCATTGAAATTCCAAATAGTGCAAGAACTTACACAAGAGCTCAAGAGTTGCTTCGCTTGGCCGAAAGTGGTGAACTGTCGAATTTAGTTTTTTCTACGATGAGGAAACATTCGTTATCCAGCAGTGATCGTGTTTACTTGCCAAAGAGGTCAGCTGTGAGCCGATGGTCGCTCATCATCAGAATAAATGCCGGATATTATCGCGAAAATATTCTGGAGGGTGTATTAAAGCCTTGGGCAAGCAAACATTCTGACCGCAGACCTTGGACATTCCAACGCGCCACCCAAGAATGGTTACAAAATTAGGTTCCTCAAAATCTCCGAATACCAATCCGTTGGACTATTGTGTCTGGAGTACTTTGGAAAGCAAGGTGGGCACTAAAAATACCTCAAGCAAGCGCTTCGACGGGAATGGGCCAAAATACTGCAGAGCAACATTCGGGCAGCGTGTGACGGTTTCATTGGCCGTTTGAAGGCCATAATTCGTGCCAAAGGCGATTATAACAAATCTAAAACTCTAAAATTTGATGTCATTTCCGAATTTTTTGCTTTCATTCAATATAATTTTAAAAAATGTAAAAATTATGGCATTCGACTTTGTTGCAGATTTTTTATCTCATCTTGTATATACTTTATGGGGTCTACGACGCATATTTTGGGATATTACAAACGGAATGGCAAAGTTAATGTACCCTCCTTTTTCAAGGTGGGGTATATAAAAATCGGTTATCGTGGTAAAAAGTTTTAAAATCTTGCAGCTCTGGAACAGATCATGTTTCTGAAGTCGTCCATTAACATAACAATTCTGCAAAAGAGGTTATTTGAGAGGGGAATTTTGACAGTTCTTTTGCTGAACGTTTGCCAATTTTTGCTGGAAAATTTTCTTTTTTCACCCACTTGCAACTCTTCTTCTCCTTCCCTTCCCTTTTTGGGCAAACAATAAAGCACAAATTGTTTTATTTTGACAACTCAGCTAATTGCTTGAAATTTTTGGCAGGAATCCCGTTTGTTTACATTTCTCAGTTTCCAAAAGAGAATAAAACTAACTTACTCTCTCTGAAATATTAGCAGCTGGACAGTTTCTGCAGGAAAAGTAACCACACAAAGTTATTTTTTTTATCAATTCTAAAATATTTATTCCATATTTACCAGCAGAATTTGTTGGTTTCACTTACCTCGGTCTAGATTCGTTGTGTGTCTCTGATGAATCCTCAGCATATTCTGCCGGTGGACTTATGGGTCTATAGTTCTCTGTCAACACCAGCGGCTCTTCGCCACTGTCGTACATGTTGCCATAGGATTGTTGGGAGAAATACACCGGGGGTGGAATACGAAAAGCTACATCCTCCTCAAAGGAAACCGATTTTGTCTGAAATGGAAAAGTTTTTCTAATAATTGTGTTCAATAGAGAAATTAGAAGCCTAGGTTCTGCAATAGAGTCATGCATTTCACTGAGACTCGACTAAAACTTATGTACCTGATATGCGAAACCTGTTCATTCTGCATTACTCTTAACATCTGATGTGACTTTACTATCCGAAGCGTTAATTCTATTTTGGTCTTAATATATTGACAAATTTATGCTATGTTCAGAACCTGCAAGAATCTACTTGTTTTGCATTTTTTTTATTTTTGATATCATTAAGTCGGGTATCGTAGTCAAAATTGTTACATTATCGCAAGAATTTTAAAGTTTTCCCAACGATATCGCGAAACCAGTAAGGAAAAGTCAAAAGTCGGGCGGGGCCCAGTGTATGCTACCCTTCACCACCATGCACATTTAGTAGAGCTCCCGTAACAAAAGAATTTATTTGAAGTAGACTATCAACCTTTGACTTTAAATCAGTTATAATTTGGTTCCAGAGGGAACAAATATATAGGAGGCATATCCAATTCGGAATAGATTTTCACTTTTTTCACATTTTTCGAATGTGAGGGACTTAAAACCAAATCGGATGAAACATATATATGGGAGCTAAAGCTATATCCCAACAGATTTTTTCTTCTAGACTGAATTCGGCCGGATGTACCAAAATTCAGGTCATTTGGACTGATATTGGCCATTTGGTGCACAATGAACCCGAAATCCGTTGAAGATATATATGGGAGCTATATCTACATCCGAACCGATCTTGATACAATTTGACAGAGGTAGTTCTGGGCTATTTTTGATATCTTATACCAAACATCATTCTTGTAGGGTGTAAATTACGAATAGGGGGGGTCTTAAACACCAAATCGGATGAAACCTACATATGGTAGCTATAGCTATATCTCAACCGATTTTCCCCGTATTCGATGTACTTGCTTCTAGACTGAATTCGCTCGGATGTACCAAAATTCAGGAATTTTGGACTGCTATTGGCCATATATAAGATATATGGGAGTTTTATCTAAATCTGATATAATTATCACAAATTTCAAGAAGGTTCGTGCTTCGGTCTAACAAATATTGTTTGGAATATTTCATCTCAATCAGATAATAAATGCGACCTGCATTTTGTTCACAAGAATATATGGACAGACGGACGGAAAGACGGACTGACATGCATAAATCGACTCAGAAAGTGATTCTATGAAGATCCTAAAAAGTAACTATGGGTCTACCTCGCCTCCTTCTCCATGTTACAAACAAATGCACAAAGACATACTACCCTTACCACTATGTGGTATAGGGTATAAAAATGCAAAACTAGTAGATTCTTGTCGGTTCTGGGACAGAATTTTTCGAAAAGCATATTTAGTTTTGTCGTAAAATGTTGCGAAATGGCACTAAGTCCTCCAGTGCCAATACCCACAAAAATTAGACTAATTTTTGGAAAATTTGTTGAGATCACAAAATAACGGATTACGATAATCTCTCAAAAAATCTTTACCATCCAGAAAATTTACTTTCACACTTACCTCATTCAAAACGATTGGTTCACCGAATTGCTCCTTACGATAGCGTGACAACTTATCCCTCTCGTGACCAGAATCTGTTGACATCGATAGACGAAATTTACCCTGGTACAGGCCAGAGTTACCCGAGGAAACATGGCAGCCAGAGTTATGACTATGATGATGGTGGTGATGCAACTGTGAAGACCTACGATGGGCTTGGGTGGAACCATAACGCCGTTCTGCCTCAACCGCCGAATAGGTTGTCTCTCCATACGAAGGATTATATTTGCCCTCGTCCAGAATAACACTGGAGCTATTGCGATTCCTTTTGCCACTGCATACCAAAGTGCTGGCGCCGAAATTGGTGCGCTCCATTATGGGATTATCGCTCTTCACAAAATATGGCTTGGATTCGGCCAGCAGCTCTACGGCCGATTTACGTTTCGATTGTTGACGATCTCCTCCAGAACGATATAAAGCCGATGATGTCGGCTGGCTGTGACCCCAAAAGTTGCGACACATATCTGACGAGTTATTGGCACGTTGCACCGATGCCGTTGAGGAGTTATAGGATTTCTGCAGCGTAGAATGCTGCGAGGAATAGCCGGAACTTACAGGCATTCCATAGGCCAAGGATGAAGTGAATTGATGCTGATTGGGCGTGGTCATGGTCTGTTGTGCACTGGAAGATCTGTGATATTTTGGCAATGAGGGATACATAGCCGAGTCGTTATGAAGATGAGGAGTTTTGCTAAAACTTTGGCGACTTCCCACTCCCAAGCCACCGCCCGCCCTTAGAGAGAGGCAGCTTCCAGCAAGGGCTCCCACACCTCCTCCTCCTCCACCGCCACCACCTTCAACCAGTTGGCTGTAATTGGTATCCAATTGTCTCGCAGTTGTCGCTAATGAGGCGCAACTGTTCAACACTGCAGCCATTGAATCTGTTGAATGGTAAGAATGAGAAAAATAGGCTTTGATTAGAATCGGAGGTGACCAACACAAGCACACACCCCACACACACATACACCGTCAGGTGTAACTATTACAAGTTTGCTCTTAACAATGGTGCTCGACACAAATTCGGGTCAATGTAAACAAGTCTAAAAATCACAAAAAAAAAAAACGAAACCAACCAACACCACTGCTGTATGTCCCTCTGTCTGTCAGTCTGTCTGTACGTCCGTCCGAATATGTAAAATGTTTTTTTTTTTCGTTCCGTATAATTTTCAAGGCGTTCAAAGCTTTTTCGTTGGATTGTTCGGACCTGAGTGTGTTTTTGTTGTTTTTAGGTGCAGATGGTTTGGTTTAGACAGCATTCTGCTGTAGACAATCCAAGACCTGCGCACACCGAACAAATGTTTCTATACTAACACAAATTTTCTTCTTCCACCAGCTTTAACCAAAGAAAAAATCCCAAATGTAAAGGAATTTTTCATAATTTTCTTCATTTTATTCACTTAGAAATCGATTTCAATTTCAGTTCTTTAAACATTTCAGACATTTAATTCAGAGATTCCCATTTAAAATGGGTCCATGGAGGTCACACTTTATCCGTAACATTTTGTTTGCCCGATTTTTTTCTACGATTATTTAACTACCTTTTCCTCGGGTGGTATTAAAATTATTGTGCTTTTTTCTTTTTCCAAACAATTCCTCGGTTTTGTTAGTAATTTTTGTGATTTTTCAGTAATTTATTCATTGAATATTTGTGCGTTTTAAAATCCTGTTTCGCTCGTACGTTAAGTGCAATTCTTAACTTATTTACTTCTTATGACAGGTTATGGATGCTTTTCATCTTTGAGACCCTGTCTAACAGAAGTTCACATTCGAAACGGAATTCGAACATCCCCTGTGTGAATTGTCAATGTTAAGATTTGTGGGAGGGAAAAAGCTTCACGGGCAGAGAGGGTGGAAATGTTCTTGTGTTGGAAATTACCGTTATTTTCAAATATACATTTACCATTTTTTTCTTTTGTATTTCCTGCAAAGCTAAAAAATACTGAAAGCAGATAGATAGATCGCAGCTATAACCAATTTGATATGATTTTATTATTTTTTTATAATACATATCTCCCTAAAATTGTTGAAATCTGTCAAACTTTTATTATTATCTTACAGTGCAAAATTTGATATTTTTCGTACACTACAGTACTACAGGGTGATATAAAAAACTGCAACAAATTCAAACGCCTCAATTTTTACATTTTTTTTTAACAATTTTGTTGAATTAAAGCAAAAAATGTCGAAAATAGCATCAAATTTTAAAATAAGTTTAGATTTGTTCGAATTGGTCGCCTTTGGCACGAATTATGGCCTTCAATGTTGTCCTGCGGTATTTTGACCCATCCCTGGCGAAGCGCTTGCTTGAGGTGATCGACACTTTGGTAGTTTTTAGTGCCAACCTTGCTTTCTAAAATACTCCAGATACAATACTCCAACGGATAGGTATCCGGAGATTTCGGTGAACATTGTGCACTGGAGATGAAGCGAGGAACCTTATTTTGTAACCATTTTTGGTTACAAAATGTGTGCGATGGTGCTGAGTCCAATTGGAATGTTCTAAGTCTGCAGCCAAAATGTTTGCGTGCCCAAGGCTTTAATACACCCTCCAGAATATTCGATCGATTAATACGAGCGGCCCACACCATCACCATGGCCGGCGCTTGAGTTCTGGTGGCCAACCGAAGGTGCACATTTTCAGCTGACCTCTTTGGCAAGTAAAACTAGCCAAGCGAAGCAACTCTTTAGCTCTTTTGAGTCTATTTTCTTTATGATGCGGTGTAAGTTCTTGCACGTTCTGGAATTTCAATAGATTTACCCCGAGCTCGTTTTTCAATATTCACCGAATGGAATATTGTCATGTGTTCAGCTTACGAGTCATTTTTCGGCCACTTCGAGAATCAAGTCGCTCTTTATTTTTCGAACCATTTCTGCTGATGTTGCTGTCTTCTTCAGACCACTTCCTTGACGTCGGGCTACGCTACCAGTAACACGATAACGAACGATAGTACGAGACATTAAAGATTTATTCACATTTAAATGCTGGAGTGCTCTAACCACTTGTGGTTTTACAAACAAATATAAAGAAATCACAACATCACGCTTGAATTCCATTACCAATAACTTTTCTCCTGGAAAATTCTCAACAAAATGCTTTTGTACGCTTATAAACAATAGAATGAGCTGTCACTGGAATAATTTTAACAGTTGTGGTACGAGTGGCTTCGAAATGACAGCAGTCTGAAGTTGGTTGCAGTTTTTTCATCTCACCCTGAATTTAATTACAGTGTTGTTTCTTTTCGTACCTTTTAATCACAAAACATTCCAAAACGTACGTTTATCACAGATAATCCAATATGCCATCGTCTCATGGTCTCATTGGAAAAGAATTGCAAAGCTAGTAGATTCTTGCAGGTTATCGGTTATGGTAATAAAAACTTATACGTTATTGCAGTTCGGGAACACACCATTTATTTATTGAACAGGTAAAAAAAAGCATGAGGTTCCACCGGGCCGTACTTTTAATACCCATACCAAAACGGGAACCTCTATAAACAATTTTATAATTCAAGGATTAAATACCAAATTTGAAACAATTTCGTGGGTAGATGTGACTAGGAATATCAAAATACCGAATATCGGTGGGTATCGTTATGTGGGTATCAATGTTCTGCCGCCGGAGCTAGATCCCATTATGAACTACAAATGCCAATTTTTAAACAAATTCGTTGGAAAATACGGCAAAAATCATCAAAATGCCGAACATCGATGGGTTCGTTGTATGGGGGTATACCAAAACGTGGACCTATACATAAAATGTTTCGCCCCACGAGCTAGAACCCATTATGAACTACAAATGCCAATTTATAGACAATTCCGTAGAAAAAAAGTGGAGAAAATCATCAAAATACCGAATATCGGGAGGTATCGTTATATAGCGGCAATACCAAAACGTGTACCGATATATCTCATTTTTGATACCAGCCATCCTAGACAATACAATACAAATGGTTCAGCCAAATTTTGAATGTCTACGTCAAATAATCGTTAAATCGACTTTTCCAATTTGCGAACGAATGGGGGAAATATGATCTGTTCCAGAACTGTAAGAATGTAAAATGTTTTACTACGATAGCCAATTTTCCATTAAAACATCGGTTTTCACTACGATAAGTTTTACAATCTTGTAGTTCTGAAAAAAATATTATTGAAAATGTAATGCCTTGTCTTTAGATATTCAGAGTCGATAAAACCGTCTCCTTGTGGTATTTGTTTTATCGATAATGCGTGTCTTTCAATGATGCTCAGCGCCTTCATTTATATCATGGCTTTTAACAGAATGAACGCAATCCTCTTTTTCATATCAAGCATCATCGTTAATATAACAATCACATGGATACGGAATTATCAGCTCTAAACTTATCCTTGTCATTTTTGTGTCATCTATGACAAGTGACATGAAAATATGTTTTTATGTCATTGCCATGGTCAAAATGCATTTAATTTTGAATTGAACGTATGAAAACGTAAACAAATATTTTGACCGAAGTGTGAGGGGTTTTCATTAACACTAGTTGTTACAAAATTATTGTTTTGCTTTTTGCAAAATTTTATACCTATTCAAGTTTTGCATTTTTTTTCGATATCATGAAGGGAAAATCGATTATCGTAGTAAAAACGTTGACAAGCTTGCTGTTCTGGAACCAACCATAAATTTTTCATTCACAGTTTTGATTTTCATTTTTCTTTTACTGAATGTGCCAAACAAATTCATAGATTTACTTCAAAACATAAATTCTGTACGATGCCACGCTGCCTGAATTAAGACGCACCTTTACATTCACATGTGTTAATGGCATTTGTATGAACAATGAAATACAACTCTGAATGTTTGCAACGAATGAAGGCAATAAAGAAATGCCAAAATTGGAATAGGGATATAAAGTTAAAGAGATTTTCGATTATTGCGATATGTGTTCTACTCCAATCTTAAATGCATCTAATATTAACTGAACACAAAATATTCGCATTCATAATTACAAATATAAAAATATATATCTTATTTGGCAATGTTAGAGAGTATTGTTTTTAAAATTTTTCTCATGATAATAATTTAACTTTAATGTTTAAAAATTGTCGATAAATCGATTAAATAAAAGTCGACCTGCGTAACCCTGGCATAGATTTTTGCAAAAGCGTGTTATTTTTATTTTCCGGGTAGTTTGTTGTTTTCCTATGCCGTGAAATGTGTGCAGTAATAATAGTTTTTTAATAATTATTTGTGTTGTTGTCGAGTCAAACTATGTCTAAACGCAATATTGCCTATATTAAGCCACAAGACCCATCCTTTTTAGCAAAACTGAAGCAAGAAATTGGTTACAAAGAGGGACCAAACGTAGATACAAAGGTGATTAGTTTGCAACGTTTTTAGTGATTTGTTTGTTTATAATTTGGTGTCGGCATGCTTGTGCATGGAATTCGAGTTGTAAATAATGTAAATGTTGATTTATTCCACTAATTAGAGGCAAAAACTTGAAAATTTGGAGGATAATTTTTCGGACAGTGAAGAACCAGAACGTGAAGACGAAAAACCTTTGGTGGTGGTGTTAAAATCTGGTGATCTTACCGCTCAAGAAGCCGAAGAGGAACAGAAGCGCTTGGAAAAAGGTAAATATAAACAAACATTTATTTTCAGGTGGAAATAATTTCGAATATCTGAGCCATTGCGACGTAACCGTAATGCGCCTCCGATTGCACCACGAGATGATTGTGTAGCGATGATGGCGATGTTCGCATGTCTGTCCGCTCGTCCGTCCGTCTGAGTCTGTCCGTCCATAGCTTTACTTTATGCTTGTTTTGTGTTGTTATTCGTTGGCGATGTGTGAGTGTGTTCTGTCAGTTAGCTGTCATTTTGGTTTTAGTTGAGTCAGAAGTCGAGCGTTGGTCTGTCGTTAGTTATTTTTTCTTTTCGTCGTTTCCACGCTCCTCTTTTTTTCTACAAAAAAAAAAAAAAAAGTTCAACAAAATATATTTTTCGCAATCTAGCAAAATAACATTGTGAATTGAAGTGCAAGAAAAATCCAACAACAAAATAGTGAATATTCATCCACAAGTCTTGAAAAAATATGAACAAACAGTGCATAATTAAAAAATTATAAAAAAATTGAATTTTTTATTAACAAAAATATTTATTAAAAGGTATGTCACATAAATTTTGATTGTAAATACTTTTCTGTTTTTCCACAAAAGAAGAAAAGCATATGCAACTATTTTATGTTTCTCTGCATCCAACAATGGAATGTACTTCGTTGTAAGAATTTTCTGGTCCAAATGCAGTTTTTCAAGTCCTTAGGAAAAAGATTTTTTCATAACCTCAAAAATTTTCACTCGACAAATTTTTATTGAAAATCTCAATTGTTTTATGTGGAATCCTTCACTGCCAAACAATAAACGAATGCAGGCAAGATTGTTTCATTGCAATGGAAATGGTTTGGTCCACTAGGGAAACGTTTACAATTCCTGGAACTTTTGCCAGCGGAGCACCCTCGATTCATCTGCTTGGGAAAAAATGAAGTCGATTCTATGTGACACTCATGCACACACATACACATATTCGACCAACAAACCAACAACTGGGGCTCCGCTAAAGCAAATGCGATGATAAAAATGAACATTAAAGCGGAATGAACCAACAACAACAAGAGTAGCGGCGACGATGAAAACGACGGAGGCAACAGAAGCAGCTGTCGTCAGACTATGCCAAGACAGCCCGCGCAATAAACCAACCAAGTAACATACAATATGTTACAGACACCATAACCATGGGGGACAACAAAGAATCTGCTAGGGCTGGAAGGATTTTCCAGACGTCTTTTCCCACTCTTAATATGCAGTGACCATTCACAGTATATAGCCTTCCATTCCCAATGCCTCACAAAAGATAATAACTCCTCCAAATTTACATCAGATAGATTCCATGCACTAGCGACAGACACTTTTTGTCCACAGTATCAACGCCAAAGCAGATGGCAAACACAGTAAGAAATCAAATTTGAAAAGGAATAACAACAAAAAGACACACGATGAAAGGTGCATGGGGGAATTGACAACAAAGTACAGGATAAAGAGTAAAGCGTGATAAATTATCGCATGAAAAACACTTGGTATAAGAACAAAAATGGATAGATGGTTTCATCCAATAACTGCGTGTTTGGTTTTTCACTGCTACAATAGCAACAACATGAGTTAGGTAGGACTGTCACTACATTGGTTGCTTCTCTGTGATCCCCCTCAAGTGGAAAAGAACGGTTCGGATGTGAGGGGCTAAAGCTCTATGAAGGCGTCAAATTCTGTCATTGTAATTTTAATAGAAACTGTATAAACGTCATCATCTTTAATACTTACCTTTAGGAGGAATGGTAATGGTCTCAACAGTTGTATTGTTCTTGACCTCAAAATTTTTACTTATTTCTAAGGGAAATTGACAATAAAACTTGTATGAACATTTAAAACGAATTAAAAATGTATTAAAATTTGCCTTTTTTGTATTTGAAATTTTAAAAGTAACGGACAAATGCTGCAACATGATATATGTTTGAAATAATAAGTTTGTTCACATCTTTGGCTATATAATTTATCCCAAATTTAGAGGAACTTGACAGATTATTTGAATTTCTTATTACTTACTATCAAGGAAAACTGTTTTTGTTTAAACCGAAGACAAGTTGCAAGTCTATTTTCATATATTAGTTATATAAACTTCATGAAATAAAATTCAAAGAGACCACTTTACATTATTTTAGTAAACATTTTAAAAAGAATACATTTTAATAAGAGTTATATCAGTAAAATTTAAGGCTTCGTCTATTTCATGAATTTATGGAATAACATTGTTTGAAATTTGGATGAGTTCTTACATACAACTATTACTATCCTTTGTCTCAGAGACGGCTAGAATTCCCCGTTTGTTTTTTTTTTTTTTTAATAATTACTTTATAAATTCGAAACGTTTTGCAAGGTTTGTACGGGAACATGCATAATTGACACTTATATATAAAGTAACTACTTTCGGAAAATGTTGATTATTTTTAATGTTAATAACTATTTATTATTATATAAATTTACTCCAGATTTCCAGCCACAAGTATCTACAGGGTGAGATAAAAAAACTGCAGCAAAGTCAAACGCCAAAATTTTAACATTTTTTTAACATTTCATTGCATGGAAGCAAAAAATGTCGGAAATAGGATCAAATTTTAAAATAATTTTAGATTAGTTCGAATTGGTCAACTTTGGCACGAATTATGGCCTTCAAACGACCAATGAAACCGTCACACGCTGCCCGAATGTTGCTCTGCGGTATTTTGGCCCATTCAAGGCGAAGCGCTTGCTTAAGGTGATCAACAATTAGGTATTTTTTGTGCCAACCTTGCTTTCCAAAATACTCCAGACACAATAGTCCAACGGATTGGTATCCGGAGACTTTGTGCACTGGTAATGAAGCGAGGAACCTCATTTTGTAACAATTCTTGGGTTGCGAGTTTCTGCTGGGACGGTGCTGAGTCCTGTTGGAATGTCCAAGGTCTGCGGCCAAAATGTTTGCGTGCCCAATGCTTTAATACACCAGAATGTTTTCGCGAAAATATTCGGCATTTATTCTGATGCCACGGTCGATTAATACGAGCGGCCGGCGCTTGAGTTCTGGTGGTCAACCGAAGGTGCACATTTTTAGGTTACCACTTTGGCAAGTAAACACGATCATTTTTTTCTTTACAAACCGCTGGACGACGAATGTTTTCTCATCGGAGAAAACAAAATTCGGCAGTTCACCACTTTCGGTCAAGCGAAGCAACTCTTTAGCTTTGTAGCGATGTAAGTTCTTGCACTTTTTGAAATTTCTGTGGCTTTACCCCGAGCTCATTTTGCAATATTTGCCGAATGGAGTATTGCGATATATTCAGCTCACGAGCCATTTTTCGGCCACAGCGAAATGCTGGAGTGCTCTAACGATAGCCACTTATGGTTTTCCAGCCAAATATAAAGAAATCACACTATCACGTTTCATTTCTATCACGAATAACTTTTTTTCTGGGAACTTCTCCCCAAAATGCTTTTGTACGCTTATAAACAATATAATGAAACTGGAATATTTTTAACAGCTGTCGAGTGGCTTAAAAGTTGGTTGCAGTTTTTTCATTTCACCCTGTATATTGGATAAAGATAGGCCTTATTTTCTTTTCCTATCACCAATAAACTGACAACTGCACTGTTTAGCCCTGACTGAACCCAATGTTTACTTAAACAGATTTACGTTTAGAATTATCCTACTTATAATTACGTCTCCTGAATTTTATATCCTCAGTTTTATGGCTACAGCGCTCTAAGCTTGACTTTATCCAAAATATCTACGACTGAAAGTGTTTCCATATGGAACCGTCGCAGGGATTGTTTTAAGTTCCCAACGGCCTTTGAGACTTTCAATTTATATTGAAAATGGGATTACGGTCCTGAATTTCGTTGCAATGATCGGGTGAAAGTTCTCTTACATGTCGATGATTTACTAAAATAATATCACCGATGAAAATTTATAATCCATGTTCGTCTTCATATTCTTTAAACATTTTATGTTAATAAACTGTGCCATTGAAATATTTTGAGCCAGTGCAAAATATAGTTAAGAAGTATTTTTGAGTACAGTGTACCTGAACCTCTTAAAGAATGGGAAACATTATTGCAATATCATTCTCGAGATTCGATAGATGAGCAAATCTTTTACTTATGTTCATAGAAAAAACGTAATAGCTTACAAATTTCCAAGCAATTTTATAGTTAAACAGCTCTTAATATTTCGAAACATTTAATAAAATAAGTTATATGAAATATAGCAGCTTTTAACAGCAAAAATAGTGTTCTGTAGAGAATTGTCATTTGGAGATTAAGAGACAGTTTAATTCTGGTGTCTAAAATCATGTTTTTAAATCTTTGTGTCTTACAGAAGCCGCTGAAGCCCGTGCCGATTTGAATAAACCAATAGTCTTTCGCAAACGACATAATCCCAAGGAGGCTTCAGAAAAAGCTCTAGCACCATCCTCATCCAAACCAAACAAGCCATCAAGTAAAGAGGAGAAACGCAAAAAATCGGATAACAAAAACAGTGTAAAATTATCCTTTAACGCTGACGACGAGGAGGAAGAGGAGGAATAGTAGTAGAACGAAAAGGAAGATAAAATAATAAAAGAACGAGTTCAACAAACAGTTGTCACAAAAAAATCGATCAATAATTTGGGAATTGCTCCCATAACACCATAACCATTGCAGCTTGGAGTGGCGATTTTTTATACATACATACACACATATAAATGTTGAACAGGTATGTAGGTGTGTAGCTATATCTATAACAAACATACTTATATATGTATGTACATATTTTAGTATATAATCAATGATTTGCAGTACAGACATTCTCACCATATATACTCCTCCAAATAAGCCATCACTAAATATGTATATATACCTACATACATACATACATACCAATGTATATAGCTTTGTATTTATAATACATAAGTTGGGTATATATGTGTGTGCGTGATGAGATTTATATAATTTTATAGTTATACATACTAAAATATGTATTGTCAGGCAAAAGGTATATAAGTATATACATAGGTACGAAGTAGTATGACCTTTTTTGAAACAAAAATTTTAATTTGTCCAGAAAAATGATTTGTGCAATGAAGCAAGGACTTTTAGTAATTCAGTGATTACGAATAGTTTGATTTTTAACTAACTCGTTCTATTTTGTTTTTTTTTTTTTATTGAACAAATAGGATACGATATATTGATATTTAAAAAATACTTGTCCTAAAATTTGAGTAATTCACCTTAGATTTATGGGATCTTCTACCCACAAAGAAGGAAGGGTGGCTATTTGTTCATAATTTTAATTAATGTATATAAAAAAGATTTTTATGGAATATAGAGGTTTTGGGAAACGTGAATATATAATTAAAATTGCAATTATTATAGTTTTTTTTTCAATGGTAGTTGGCACAACTTCTGATTCTACTTTTATACAAAAGCCGATATATATTACATTAGAAAACAGCTACGTAGGCAAGTTTTCAGAACGAATGCGAAGATGGCAAATAATTAAACTATAACTTTTGTTAGATGTAATAGAATTAATTTGATTTACCTACATTTAAAGGTATCATGAAGCAAATTTTAAAATATAGTTTTTATTTCTACGATATTATTATGAAATAGATTAGGGAAAATTATATAAATATAACAGGAAAATAATTAACATCTTAAAACCTATTATAGATATTAATTCATTTATGGACATTATTGAGTGCGACTTCCAACAACCTCAAAAGAAAGAATTGTAATTTTTATTCTAGAAAATTTTGTGTAATTTATATAGGTATACATACCTACATACATACAATGCTGACCATTACTGATTTTTACCCCCGGTATGTCTCCCTGCCATTATGGTAAGCATTTTTTCACAGTTTAGTGAAAAGTGTTTAGCCAGCCAACCAGCCATCCATCCATCCCGTCCCCCCCGCCGACTGTACGTAACTCTTTCCAACCGCCTCCTTTTTATGTTACTATAGTATATTTCATATATTTTATAACGAAATCTGTTTTGCAACTTGTTTATCGGTTTTTGCTTTTGGTTTCTACCTCTTCCCTCTTTTGCTCAGAGTTTTATTCACTTTTCTTTCGCCGTGATATTCGTCGTACTGTGGATTGGTGTTTATTTTTTTTTTTGTTAAACAACCATACCTCACTTTTAAAAATTAAATTTTTGAATGCTACTCCAAGACTTTTACCCCATCGTTTGCGGCTCAGGAGTCTTGATAGCACCTTTTTTGTTTAGACTTTCTATGTTTTCCTTGATTTTTTTATTTTCCCGCTCATCATTTCCCTGCTATTGCACATGTAAAATGATGGATTATATGAATTTAAATCTCTTTTCAAGTAAATTAAATTTCCCAAGTCTTTAAAAAGCGGCATCTATGCTATGACGATGACGACGTCGACAACAGCAGTGAATGTGCGGCGAGACGAGTCTTTGTTTGTGTGTTCCTATTTAGGTTTTTCGTTTTCGTTTGGCATGTTCATCGGTTTTGTTTTGTTTACCGTATTCTTGGCAATTTTGCGTTGTGTTCATCGGTCGGTCGGGGTGCATGAGATAGTCGGTGAAGAGCTGTGTGGTTCAGAGCAGCACATTTGTTTGGCAGTGCTTTGCTTGCTAGGTTGATTTGTTGTTTTAGGAACGCGCGGTATGCGTTCAAGCAAAAAATTGTTGAATATGTTTGGTTGTTTCCTATTCTACTTCATCTTTAAATGACATTTGCTGCTGAGATGGATGTTGTTTGTGGGGTTAACACAAACAAAACATTTCAACAACCTTAAGAGATATTGGGAATTCTCTTGATTTTTACAGAGCCAAATGGTAATGCTCTCTCTCTCTCTCTCTCTTACATTGCTAACTGCTGATGGATTTCTCTTGCCAGTTGGTTGTCACGATTGAAATAAAAACCAACCCTCAGTGGTGAAGTTCAAATGTGTTCGGAGCAAATACTTTGAACTACTGCAGTGTTGCTTCGAAAAGGTACAGTTTTGTATCCAAGAGATAATACAATGTTGTACCCATGTTTCTGTGTTTTAATGAGGTCTTGTCGTTACATAATTATGATATCTACCCACGATTTAGTGGAATTATTCATTCAGATGGTCATATTCTACCTAGTTACTAAATATTTCTTAGGCTTGGCTATTTTGTTTTTTTTTTGTCTAACAGATTTCATGCATTTTGAGACTTCATTAAAAACCTAAATAGAATTTTGGCACACACCGTATTCCTTACAAGATTAATTGTGAGTATTAACCATGGTAGAATAATGCAGGTAGTCGCATCCATACAATGAAGTGTCAAACCAATTTTGCAACTTTTTTGATTTATTTATATTCAATTAACACAGTTACCTAGCCCGTAGGGCCATGGACGGTTCCAAAAACTTCTATACATGACTACTCTGAATTTAAAATTTTGTATGAAAAATTATTCAAATTCGTAAAAATTAAAAAAAAAAACGCATATCATATTATGACTTCGTATAATAAAACATATAAAAATCTACTTATTTAAAAAAAAGACATTTTGGCATATCAATGTTTCTAAGAGGTGATGCATCTACCTGTATTCTTCTACCATGGTATAAAGGTAGAATTTAAATGCTTAGGGCACAATTAACAGCTGATATCGATATTGAATAGAAGCAAAAAACTAACAAAATATTTTTACGTAAATTATCGATTTTTGTTCATCAACGGGACTTTTTCCAATAAACTTAGTAGCATGGTACAATAAGGAGGTAGAATAGCTCCGTAAAACTACAGAAATACAGCCCTCAGGCTATGTCCGCTTCCTGTCAAAATAATTAAAAGTTGTATGCAACCAGTTCTTTTTATTTATTTGAAATTTTTCTTTATTTTTTAATGGAACTAAATATCGCCTGAATTTTTTTCAAGAAATGAACTAAACTGTTCAATCTTTCAGTTCCATTGCAAAACTGGAAATATTTTGTTTTATTTTTCAAAACAATAACTGCGAACACAAAATTAACAGAAGTCGGGCACACCCATGGTACAATCAGGAGGTAGAACAGCTTCTTAAAACTACAGAAATACAGCCCAGAGGCTATGCCCGCTTCCTGTCAGACTCATTCAAAATTTTATACAAGTTGTTTCATTTTTTCATATTTTTCTTCATTTCTTCAAATGAGTTATATAGCGCGAAAAATGATTGAAATGCCTGGATTTTCTCTCAAAAATATGATCCAAACTGTTCAATCTTTCAATTTCATGGCTAAACTGGGTCGTAGCTTTAATGCGCGAGCTGCAATGTACGTGTCTTCCAATCATTGGTTTTGAAAATATTTGGTTCTCATTTTTCAAAACAATCAATTTATATACACAAAATTGGCAAAAGTCGGTCACACTTCGAGAGAAAATTATACCTTTTTATAGTACCATGGGCACACCTAGAAAAAATTGTAATCATCTGGTAGATTTACCTTACCTTTTTATTGTACCATGCTTAGTAGTTTTTATGATATAGTGATGTGAGATTTTTGAATTTTCAATTAAAACTGTGTATTGTGACAACAATCAGAAATCAGATGGACTTGCTGCCCGACCTTCTTGACAGTATATTCATAAATCCATGTACCAATATGCACAATTCATAGATGGGAACCTATTTTCTACGCAGTGAAATTTGTCAAGACATTTAATATGAGGTTACCTTCTTTAATCTATCATTCACTTGATTTCCTTAAATAAGTTTTGGTATAAAACAGGTAGTTGCGTTACTTTGATACACATTTTATCTTAAGTTTAAGTCTTTTTGCACCACGTTTTGGAGATAATTACATTTTCTATTCACTTAAATCAAAAATTTCGTTAGCAAACCGTATTAAATTCCAAAAGCTTTTTCTACAAGGTTGCTTCAATCAAGTTATAGTAATAATTCTACAATCAATGTATAGTTGTTTCCAAAAAAAATTATACTTATCTGTGGAATGTATTGATATATTTGTGTGAAGGCCCCGTCATAATGTTACCAATATGTAAAAAATTATAGCAACCCCTCATAATTATACCTACCAATCACGCGTCAGTATTAATACAGGTGAGCGAAATCATGTCATAATTGCTTTCCAGTAAGCATTTGGCAACCCTGTCGGTCATGGTTACCCAGTAAACAATTTTTGCCGAATTCGGTCCGATTTCTGTCAGAATCTCTGAAAAAATGTCCGATTCTGATTCCGAATTCCTTCCGATTTCGGTACGAAAGTTGTATGGACGTGGTCACCGAATTCGGAAAGATTTTCTGAAAAAAATCTGAAAAAATAATAGATTTTCTGGACGAATTCGGTCCGAATTCGGTGAAAATTCTTGAAAAAATAGGAGAAAAAATTAGATTTTCGGAAAAGATTCGGAGGACAATTCCGAATTTCTGAATTGCAATTTTTTTCCATCATATTTTTTTGGGAACGAAAGAGAAAGAGGCTGATTCACAACAACAACAAAACGCACATTTTTACAACGGAAAATCTAACAGTTCACAATAACAATAACAAATAGCATTTTTGCTTTGCGCTTTGTTGTTGTTGAGATCTTGAAATGAATGATCACAACAACAACTACTATGGGAGAGAATGTGTCAAACCACCACCATCCGTTTACATGTGGGAGAGAATATGCCAGAGCAATAGACAATCTACTCTCTCCGTTTTTTCGCTTAAAAACACAGGAAAATGTGCAGAAATTCTAAAAAAAAACGTTTAGAAAATCGGACCAATTTCTATCAGAAATTTCTGAAAAAAACGTCAGAAATTTCGGAAAAAAATCTAAAATCAGAGCAGTCGGAAAAAATTGTTTACTGGGTAATTTTTACCGAACTAAACAACCTTTCAAATACAACACTTGTAGCCGCAAAAGATACTCTGACAGCAAAACTCTCTCTTACAAAATATTCTCTCACGTTATTCGCTCATTGTGTGTGTGGCGGGATGGAAGGTTGACTGACTGACTGACTGACTGACTCTCGGTGGTTTGTGCGCTCAATGCTGCTCTTGACAATTTTGGCAATCTTTAGTTGTTTGTTGGTTCTCAAGAGTGTTGTGTGTCGTGTTTTGATATCACGGAATCTGTCTATGCGTTACCGTTAGCCGGTCAAAAAACTTTGTTGTAATTATTTGTGTTACGCCTCTTCTTCCCCACATCACTATCAAATCAACCTTCCTTGGAGGCCGAAGCCAAAAAATTCTCCAACGCACATTGCCATTATCAACTAACTCCCTTTCCAAGCATTTCGCATTGATGACAGCCCCAAACCAGGACCTGTAATGTGTTGGAGCCTTTGCTGGTAGCTTTTACCTTGACTCAACCCACAGTATGGACATTAAATGAAGTATTGGACTGCACTTAACTCTATTCATGGTATGAAGCAGCGCTATACTAAATACCCTAGCCATCCCCATCATGGAATACCCAAAATTAACTGATGGATTTTTGTAAGGCCAACCTGAGCTAGAAGCTGCAGAAATTTATATTCGACAATATCTTCTTACCCTTGCACCACGCCGCTTATCATGCCATTGCGCTCCGTCCCGTTCTTCTTCTAGTTTCTTAATTTTACTCCACACTCTTTGGACTGAATGGTTGGTTGGCTGACTGACTGATTCACTTATAGCGAAACCAGCAAAATATATTCTCGCTTTGTGCGTTTTCGTTTCATTTTCGTCGTTGTTTGTTGTATTTTGCTTTAGTCGATTGTTTAGCGTTTTGTCCGTCTAGTCGTTTGTTTCGCTATTCTTCACGCTGTCCGTCCGTCCATCTGTCGAATTGTTGGATCGTATGTTCGTACCACTATTTCGAAAGACTGAACACCAACGAGAGCAGTCAGAATGTCAGTTCAAACACGCTGTTCAAAACGTCGTATAGTCGGTCGATGTGTATGTATGTTTGTACAAGAAAGTTATATGTTTTGTTCAGCAGCTAACTTTACAAATTGACGGACAACACAATGTGTTTTGCTATTATATAAAAAACACGCATATACCTACCTACATGTACTTGGGTATATAATCTAATATATATAAATTTAACAATTCAAAAATATATAGGTAGTTTGGATATTTTATCAGTAAAATCTTAGAGTCCCTTCCGTCGAAATCCTCGCTTTACTTCTATTAAAAATTAGAAAGTTTTTGCATGAATTCTAGCTTAATTCTTTTGTCATTCGTTTGGCGCCAAATTTAAAGAAAAATGGCTTTTTTAACTATTAGACATTGTAGTTAAATTTTAACTGGACATTACCAACTTCTATGGAATCTAAGCTCGAATTCCATGCCCATGCCAATTTGATATTCATTATTGTGTATGAAAATAACTCCTAATAAAATTTTAACCTACTTTTATAAATTCAATTAATTATACCTATACTATATATATTCCGATTCCACGTTCTAAAATATTCGTCTATATTCTTTTTATTACAGTTTTCCTAACTACATTCGCATTTGAAGATATCCACACATTATTAAAATCCACAAATAATTTGGCATCAACAACTCTAGAATATGACTGAAGTTGATGTTTCTATGCCGGAAGGTTCAGGTTTATCATCAGCGGCTAACCTACAACATCCTGAGACACATTCAAGTGGCAGCCACGAAAATGGGAGTCTTACGAACACAGCAAACGATAGCTCCAACACTAACACAACTCAGACCACTGGAGTCAAACTAAATCAGAATAGTGGCAAAGATGAAAGCATGGAAGTAGATGGTGTTGACACGGAGGAAGACGATTCACAGATAACCTCTTCAACAGAAAATGGAGAGGGGGGTAATGCGGGAAACGACCGGGCCGATCGTGACGAAAATAGTAATAACAGTAAACCAGAAATACCTTCGAAGACCTCGGCCAACGTGAATGAGGATTCGTCAAATGCCTGTGAAAGTATATCACAGAATTGTGATAGTGTAAATAGTTCGGATGCAGGAAAAACACATTCTTCAAATCATGTTCGAGATTCAGACAACGACACAAATACCAATGACAGTCATCCCGTATCAAAGACACAACACAGCGAAGATGGCGAGGGCGCTATTAGTGCAGATGGGTCGGCTAATCATGTCGACGACACTTCCAATGATAATTCCAACCACACAAATCCCGATCCCTTGGCTGTACCGAATTCAAAACAAAGCCAGAATGGGTCAGCGTCGGCGGAGGAGAAACAATCTGATGGTGTTGTAGATTTGGGCGATGATTCAGATGTTGAAATGTCTGAAACCTCAAACATCAAAGACTCGCAAAGCAAAGAGAAACCTCCACAAGCACAAGACTCAGATGGTGCTGTTGTCATCGGTTCTGATTCAGAAAACGAAAGTGAAAAACCGGCTAATACATCCACAGCTGCTACGGCGCTTCCTTCTAAGCCATCTGAGGCAGCACCGAAGGCACCCGCAGTAGTTGAAGACGATGACGACGATGATGATTGTGTGGTAATAGAAGACGATAGTCCGCCGCCAGCACCGAATGATCTCTCGAAACGTAAGCTGGATGCTACTGGTGGCCAGGACGATTTATCTCAGCCTCCCAACAAACGGCAACGTAACAGTCTAACACCAACTCAAGGTCAGTTGAGTATAAAAGACGCTCGGTCCTTGATGGGACCGGCGGCGGATACAACAACTAAAAACGCAATTGTATATCCTGTAAATATAACACCCGCCTCCCCTGTAACTGGGCCACCAAAACTTGTACCCGTTGGAGCACCCATTGCGGCAGCATCTGGTGCGACAGCTTCGTCTATACCAGGTTTGCCGGTTATGCCCGGCATGAATAACACAACCAATGCCAATTGTTTGCCCGGCCTGACTGACGATATGTTTGTTTTAGAGGCCCCCTCGTTCATAGTTCCGTATATCTATGAGAAACCTCCCTCTGACCAAATAAAAAATGTCGTCAAAGAGTTGGAAGACAAATTTGCCTTTACAAAAGAAGACTTGGCAGGAGTTGACAAAACAGATGAGTTCGACATGATGACCGAGCAGAACAAGGAAGATCGGGAAGAAAAAAGTGCCAAAAAGAAGAAACGAGGGCAAGGTGATGATGACTCATGGTCTGAGGAAGAGGAAGATTCGGAGGAGGACGACGATGACGACTCTGAGTCGGGCGTACGTACAAAAGTCCTAATAAAGGAAGCGTCAGATGACATATCCGCCCTAAAAGGAGCTATAAAACCGGCGGCTGCGGTGGCAGCAACAGGCACCAATTCAAGTGTACCTGCTAAACCTGGCCAGGAGAACTACTTCGAGAGTCCTCTGGGTAAATTTTTCATGGACATTGGTGTCGGTTTAGTTCAAGAATATGTACAGAACGACCTAATACGTCTGCAGAAGCGAAAAATGCGCAAGAGTCTGGGTCGCAATACGGGTGAATTCGAAAAGGCAATTGCCGCACTCACAGCTAACATGGAGGCCTCAAAGAAAAAGAACGCTCCATTCAAGTTCAATATGAAACGCTGTGAATTCTGTAACTTCAAATCGGAATCCGCACTTGCCATGGCAAACCATTACGAGACGCCTCATATGAATGGAGCCATGTACAAGTGTAACTTCTGTATTTTCGAAATACGTAATGCCACAGAAATTGTTTACCACATGGAAGCTGTTCACAACATCAAGGCTCGTCTCATCAAACCCTTGCCCTATCATCAATGTCCTAATTGTGGATTCGAAGACAACGGCAAAGCGAAACTGGCCCGCCATCAGCCCGTGTGTGCAAAGAAATTCCGACCTGAAATCAATTTGGCTCCACCAAACGATTGGGAAGCGCCTGCTAAAATTCCCCGCATTAAGCCAAGACATGGACTGGTTGGAACTGCCACGGCTTACCAAGCTATGGCTGCACAGGCTGCAGCTCAAAAAGCAGCCTTGGCTACTATACAACAACAGCAGCAGGCTAGAAATATGCAAGCAGCAGCACTGGCAGCCCAGACTGCTGCAGCCAACAAGCTTAGAGGACGTTCTCCACAAATGCCCGTGGGCAATAAAAACATGCCACCATCAACGGGAGCTATGATTCGTGCCGCCAATCAAGTTCGAAATCCTGCAGCTACAAATGTTGTTTTGCCCAACAACTATCAGCTAGGAAATATTACAGGACAAATTCTAGCTGGCAACGCAGCATCGTCGAAAAAGCAGCTCAGCACGGGTCAACCTAGCATTTCCATAACGCCACTACCTCGTCAAACAGCTGGTGCGACATCCCAGTCGCCAACTACCAGTAAGGTACCACCACCTGGTATGAAACCGGGCCAGAATCCGGCTGGTGGTAAGGCTCAATTTGTTATATGCGAGATATGTGATGGATATATCAAGGATTTAGAACAATTGCGTAATCACATGCAGTGGATGCACAAAGTCAAAGTAATTTCGACAGTGTGAATTCCAACTGAGCTAACTGTATTCATTATTTTAACATCTCTTATTTCAGATTCACCCCAAGATGATTTACAATAGACCCCCACTAAATTGCCAAAAGTGTCAGTTCAGATTCTTCACAGACCAGGGTTTAGAACGCCACTTGTTGGGCTCTCATGGTTTGGTGACAAGCTCTATGCAAGAGGCCGCTAATAAGGGCAAGGACGCAGGAAGATGTCCTGTTTGCGGTAGAGTAAGTATCTTAAAAAATGCTATGTGTAGCCAATGAATTAAAAATAGTTAAACGAGTATGTGTTATTGGTACAATCAACAACACAATTTAGTCATTTTTTTAACATTTCAACTCTCCCAATTTCAATTCATTCTCATTTTTTTCTCACTGCACGCTCTGAATGCACCTTAAAATATTTTTATTATATTTATTTCCTCAAATTCCCTGTTAAACTAGAATTAATGGGAATAACATTACCATCAAGATTTATTTAGATATGTAAAAAAATAAAAATATCTCGATTTTACCTCCAGTCTATTCAAAACAAAAATTCTTTGGCACCATTTATTTTAAAACTTACTGAAATAATATATTTTTCTTTCACGTTTTCAGATGTATCAATGGAAGCTATTAAACCACGTGTCACGAGACCATCACATGACTCTGAAACCAGCACATTTATCCTACAAATGTACCGTTTGTACGGCCACGTTTGGCATGTACAAGCAGTTCGAGACGCATGTCTATACTGCACACAGTACCGTGGCCAAAAAGGCTATGGATGGCAAAAAGAACTCACCAGCTACAAATTCATCGGCAGGTGTTAGCGGGCGTAATAGTTTATCAGCAGCAAATGATTCACTTTTGAAACCATTAAAAATAAATGATGAAATCACAATTATACCACAACCTGCATCAAAATCGCGCATTTCAAACATGGATACTCATGTTATTGGTAAGAGCTACAATGTGAATGAATGACTTCAACGAATAATGCTAACAACTATGAAATTATCTTTTGCAGATTAAATGTCTCTATTAAAATATGGTCAAGAAAAAGATATACACACCGAAAATGTGTTGGCGACGTAGCAGCCTGTATGACTTTGTTCAATGCTAGACTTGGACCGCAGCACACTATACTTTAGAGAATCAACTGGAAATCTGGTTTTATGTTTAAACAATAGTTTTAACAAGTCCATGCAAAAGTGCTGGGACATTCAACGATTAGAGAGGCTGCTGTGTAAAATATTTATAAATAATTACAGAATTTTTCTGGCCCATAGTCAACCCAAAATGACATAAACCCGACAAACATATTTGTTGGTATTTCCTCCTATTCTCCATTGACTTAATTTTTGTCTCATTGCCAATATTAACACCCTACCGGATCTTTTGTTTCTACTTAACTTTCCATTTTTATTTACATTCTATTTAAGCACATGCTACTACAATAATAATGAATTTCAGATTCGAAACCCACCCTTTGTTTCTCTTTTTCTTTGCCATTTTCTTTTAATTGGAGCGGAGGAGAAATGAACAACAAACAAACACAGTAATTACAAATTTCAAACATAAAAAAGTTACAAAACCACAAGTGGTACTTGTATATTAGTTAAATACCTAATAAGCATAGAACAGTAGACTATATAAGCAACAAACTAAAATGGCAAATAAAACAATAAACTCAACAAAATTGCATATATTGGATAAAAGAAAAACAAGCGTTTGATTAAGTATCGTGCATTTGGTTAGCGAAACATATTCGGAACAAGCAACACAAAAAGCCACACCCACTCTTCTGCATCTTCAAAATGTATTATCATATGAGAATGCACGTATCCTCTTCTAATTTGTAATCAATTATGAATATTACATATAAATATATAAAAAAAAACTGAGAGATAGTATACATACATATATATATCTATATACGAATGATAAGAGACAATTCTTTGAAAATGTGAAACAAAACATCTTTAGAATATTCATAAAGAAACAAAAATAACACATTTAAGTAAAAATATAAGGTATACACACTAAAGGTAAACAATTTATAATTATATTACACATAATTTATATTATTTTTAATTTTGAGTAAATAAATGAAAAAAAAACTTCTTATTAATACTATAAATAATATAATAAATGCAAACATTTTAAAACTTATATTTTCATTTGTTTTCAATTTTGGGTCAGAAATAAGAAGTACGTGAAACCTTGTAGTATGTGCAAATGTGTTCTCAATATTTTGTAACTGTTATATATTCAAAAGTGCTGTAAATGAGTTTGCATCGAGGAATGTTTTGTGATCATTTTGACACAGATAACTCGATAAATTGTATTCTTTAAAATCAAGGTATAAATACGCGGTGTGGCTGGCAAGAAAAAATATTTATCCCATTTATAATTCGAAAATGCAAGTACGAAGAGTTGCATATGGTATTTATAACAAAATGTTTAGACATGTTATGAAAACTTTTTCAACTTTCGACTTAATGTTGAATTTTAATTAAATGTTGATTTTTTAACTTTTTATTTTGCGAGAGTAAAATCTGGAAAGGTTCAAGGCCAAATCCAATATTTTTGTAACCTCTCTCTTTTGTGCATATACACAACAGTCTTCTAACCCTTTTTTTTTGTCCGACGAAGGGTTTAAACTTGCCATATTCTAATTGGTAGTTGGGCAGACCATGTACTCAGTCCATGATACTTTTATATCCACAACCATACATAGCATGGAAAATAATTACTTTAGATTGAACTAAATATACAGGGTGAGATGAAAAAACTGCAAACAACTTCAGACAGCTGTCAGCCACTCGTCCGACAGCTATTAAATTTATTCCAGTGACAGCTCATTATATTGTTTACAAGCGTACAAAAGCATTTTGATGAACATTTTCCAGAAAAGAAGTTATTCGTGATGGAATTCAAGCGTGATAGTGTGATTTCTTTATATTTGGCTGGAAAACCACAAGTGGCTATCTTTAGAGTACTCCAGCATTTAAATATGAATAAATCTTTTGTGTCTCGTACCATCGCTCGTTACCGTGATACTGGTAGTGTAGCGCGGCGTCAAGGGAGTGGACGTGGAAGAAAACTACAACATTAGCAGAAATGGTTCGAAAATTTAAGAAGCGAATTGATCGAAACCCGCGTCACAGTGGCCGAAAAATGGCTCGTGAGCCGAACAAATCGCAATATTCCATTCGCCAAATATTGAAAAATGAGCCATTGAAATTCCAAAAAATGCAAGAACTTACACCGCAACAGAAAGAAAATAGACTCAAAAGAGCTAAAGAGTTGCTTCGCTTGGCCGAAAGTGGTGAACTGCCGAATTTGGTTTTCTCCGTCTTCGATGAGAAAACATTCGTTGTCCAGTAGTTTGTAAACAAACATAATGATCGAGTTTAATTGCCAAAGAGGTGCACTAACAAATACCAAAGTGTCAATCACCTCAAGAAAGCGCTTCGTCAGGAATGGGCCAAAATACCGCAGAGCAACATTCGGGCAGCGTGTGACGGTTTCATTGGCTGTTTGAAGGCCATAATTCGTGGCAAAGGTGACCAATTCAAACAAATCTAAACTTATTCTAAAATTTGATGCTATTTCCGACATTTTTTGCTTTCATTCAATAATATTTAAAAAAAAATGTAAAAATTATGACGCTTGACGTTGTTGCAGTTTTTTTATCTCACCCTGTAGGTCAACATTTTCCAATAGCCTAACATAACGGTGCATTCGCTATTTCGATGATTTTATCCACATTTTCTAACGGAATTACTTAAAATTTGGTGTTTGGATTTCGTAAAGGATTTTACTCCTCTAGCAGAACAATCCTATCTTACCAAATGGTAAAAAAAAGTCCAGCCCGGCTGCACTTAACATTGTTTTTATTTGTTTTTCTTTTTTTTTTTGCACCCCTGCCTTGGTAAAGTAAGTTTTTTGATATTATAATTGTTTTCGAAATAACTCATTATTTTTTAGCTTACTGGTCATGCGGAAGGCATATAGTTGTCATTATATTCAGTTTACTGGTAATGCAGAGGTCACGTTCGGTCGGATGTGCACACTCTATACCGGCGTTACTTATTGCATGGTAACATAGAACCATTTCATTTTTGTATTTTTTATACCCTCCACCATAGTATGCAGGATATATTAAGTTTGTCATTCTGTTTGTAACACCTCGAAACCAGCGTAAAATTCTATGTCGATTTAGCGATGTCCGTCCGTCTGTGGAAATCCCTCTAGCTTCCGAACGAAATGTAGCAGGTTGATAAAATTTTACTCAAATGTCTGCAGGACATTTGGTATTGAAAATGGACCATATAGGTCTACGTTTTGGTGTTCCCCCATAAAATGGTAACTACCTATTTTCAGTAATTTTGTGATTTAAGCGAAAGGTTTCAAATTTTGTATTTGAAGTTCGTAATATATACTACAGCCTGTGACAGAAAATTGTCCGCGCAGATCCACGCCTTCGTATAGCCCCCATATAACGGCACCTCCAGATATTCGGTATCTTGATGATTTTAACGACATTATTCACAGGAATTGTTTCAAATTTTGTATTGAAGTTCGTAATGGATACTACAGTCTACGACAGAAAATTGTCTGTGCAGGTCCACGTCTTCGTATAGGCTCCATATAACGGCGCCTGCTGATTCGGTCTTTTGATGATTTAGCGACATTATTCACCGGAATTATTTCAAAATTGGTAGTTGAAGTTCGTTATGGATACTACAACCTGTGGCAGAAAATTGTCTGTGAAAGTCCACGTTTTGGTACAGCCCTTATATAATGGTACCTCCCTATATTCGGTATTTTGATGATTTTAGCTACATTATTCACCGATTTTTTCTCAAGTTTCGGTATTTATTAATTTTTTTTAAATTGCCGGATTCGTTTTAAATGTTGACGGGTATTCAAAGTTCGGCCTGGCCGAACTTACAGATTTTTTACTTGTTTGATATACCTTACTACCTCCATATGTTAGGGTTCCTTATTTGTAGCACAATATAATTTAAGTTTTCCTAATGCAGAAAACTGTACAATACTCCGAAAATATGTGCTTCGTAGAGCACAACCCAAAAAAAGGTATAATAAAAACTTCTATCGAAGAGAGATTCTTTTTAACTTTTGTAAAAATGTTATATTTCTTTGCATATGTGTAGGTATGTGTATTTATGTATACTGATCTACAGTATACATCTTAAATAAACAAAACAAAAAAAAATACCTATGTATGTATAGCTCAGCTAACATGTACCAGCCAATTTCTCCTATTGTTGTAGCTTTAAATAAAAATATTATCCAATTGTTTGTTTTGCAGTCTTTTTCTAAACTCTACATTCTATAGAAAAAACGTAAAATTGTACAAATTTTCCTCAGTTAACTTCTAACGAATTTGATGCGTCATCATCGGTGTTTGTCTTAGAACCTGTTGAGTGAAGGCCCCCGGAGGGGAAGAGCGATGCAACTTGTGGCAAACTGGCCAGATCGTCGTCATTGATAATTTTGGGTTTTTCATCCTCATTGGTACTGGACCTTGTTAGCTTATAAAAAGCCGTGTCGCTGTGTGTGATGTTCACGATACTGCCAGTCAACGGCAGGGACTCCAGCAATTCTGCAGGGCTGCTGAATGCTCCAATGTTAACTGGTGCAATTCCGGTTAAAACCTGACCCGTTACATTTGTCTGGATGGGAAGTGGAATATTGCCCAAATCAATGTGACTTTTGTTTGTGTGCGTATCGTAGAATGTCAAATCGACACGTTCCTGGGATTCAAAACTGGTATCGTTGTCACCAACCTCGGTGAGAATTCCAATTTCATAGACAACAGCCTTAACCACATAACTGTAATGGCAAGCGAGAGTGAGAGAGAGCGAGAATTAGCACTGTCATTGCTGATGATTATGATATCACTTACAGATTCTTGGGTGTGTCATTCAAACTGGATTGTAATGCTTCAATTGTCTCATTATCTATGCCGGAACTGGCATCCAGAACTGGCAATGACAAACTAAACGAGGCCAAGGTGGCTAGACAACACCAAACAGCTATTACGTGGTAGTTTTTCATTTTGCCTCTGTCGATTTTGTTAATCCACTTGTTTTAGGTTAACTTAGCTGTTGTTAGTTCACGGTTGGTTATCCTTAGTAGTCCTGCGATTTAGAAATCACAAAACAATACTACAACCACCAGAATTGAATAGAAAAATTAAGGCAATTAGTTTTGCTCCTCCTAGCCACCAGCTCCGAACGAAATACACAATGTTTTGAGATCACCATTATTATGGAACACACTTTTATATAGGATCTACAGTTTTAACACCGACAACAAAGTGTCATAAATACATACAAACATACAGACCGATATGATAATGTAAAAAAAAAGTTTGTGACTGTATCAATATAGCCCCCAGTCGGTCCATCATGCGGACAATTAACATCCCTGTTGTTAATTGGCAATCTGGCTGTGAAACGTGGTAAAGTGGATCCAACAACAAAAAAAGTGCTAGATTTTAATGGTGACGTTAGCAAAACTGAAATGTGAGGGAAGCCACCCTAAATCCTCAACTTGAATACGGAGAAAACCCAGAAAGAGAGGTTAGTGTGAGAGAGAGAGGTCTGATGACGACGTTGTTTACTTTGAACGAATGTGCTAATTAATTGGGGGTAATTTGGAGCGTGTTTCCTGGCGAAGAAATAAAAAACGCTTAACACTCTCTGCCAATAGCCGAAAATTATTAGAATTATTATTATTTCTTGCCTTTGTTGATCTGTTTGTTTTCCTTAAACGTGGAAATGACATGGTACATATCTAAATTCATGTGTTAATATGCAGAATTTATTGCAATTTAAACCATTAATATACAAATTCACGAAGGACACATGACCTGCATTTTGTTCAAAAAAAAAAAAAAAAAAAGAAAAAAAAATACATAGACAGACGGATTGACATGCATAAATCGACTCAAAAAATGATTTTATGAAGATCCTCAAAAATAATATCTCGCTTCCTTTTCCATGTTACAAAAAAATGCACAAAGACGTAACACCCTTACCACTATGTGGTGTAGGGTATAAAAATGGGTTAATACCCTCCACAATAAAGTAAACAAACCCTATAAAACTATAGGGAAACTATACATACAGGGTGAGATGAAAAAACTGCAACCTTCTTCGGACTGCTGTAATTTCTAAGCCACTCGTCCGTTAAAAATTATGTTAAAATTATTCTAGTGATAGCTCATTATATTGTTTACAAGCGTACAAAAGCATTTTGGTAAGAATTTTCAGAAAAAAAATTTTGTGATGGAATTCAAGCGTGATATTGAAAAATGAGCTCGGGGTAAAGCCATTGAAATTCTAAAAAGTGCAAGAACTTACACCACTACAGAAGAAAATAGACTCAAAAGAGCTAAAGAGTTGTTTCGCTTGGCCGAAAGTGGTGAACTGTCGAATTTGGTTTTCTCCGACGAGAAAACATTCGTTGTCCAGCAGATTGTAAACAAACAAAATGATCGTGTTTACTTTCAAAGAGGTCAGTTGAAAATGTGCACCTTCGGTTGGCCACCAGAACTCAAGCGCCGGGCATGGTGATGGTGTGGGCCGCCATAACAACCGCTGATCGCTCTCCCCTCGTATTAATCGACCGTGGCCGAATATTATCGCGTAAATATTCTGGAGGGTGTATTAAAGCCTTGGGCACGCAAACATTTTGGTCGCAGACCTTGGACATTCCAACAGGACTCAGCACGTGCCACCCAAGAATGGTTACAAAATGAGGTTCCTCGCTTTATTTCCAGCGCACAATGGCCACCAAAATCTCCGAATACCAATCCGTTGGACTATTGTGTCTGGAGTATTTTGAAAAGCAAGGTTGACACTAAAAAATCCCAAAGTGTCGATCACCTCAAGCAAGCGCTTGGCCGGAAATGGGCCAAAATACCACAGAGTAACATTTGGGCAGCGTGTGACGGTTTCATTGGCCGTTTGAAGGCACGAATTATGCCAAAGGGTGACCAATTCGAACAAATCTAAACGTATTCTAAAATTTGACGCTATTTGCGACATATTTTGCTTTCATTTAATAAAATTAAAAAAAAAATTACAATTTATGGCGTTTTACTTTGTTGCAGTTTTTTTTATCTCACCCTGTATATATGGGACCTTTAGCTATATCTTAACCATTTTTTTTACCAAATTTTATACATTTTCTTCCAGGCTGAATTCGTTTGTGTGTGCCATTCGATTCGGGTTTATAATAACCATTTGGTGCACAATAAACTTGACATCGAGTGAAGACATGTATGGAACCTAAATTCAAATATGAAGCGATCTCTATAACATTTGACAAAGGTATTCCAGAGCTGTATTTGATATATTTCTCCGGATAACGTTGTTACGAACTATAGCTATGTCTGAACCGATTTCCACCAAATTTGACACTCTTGTTTCTAGGCTGAATTTTGATATATGATTCAATTTCAAATACATTCATTTTTTTTCGATATCTGGAATTGACGCTTGATCTAGCCGTCTAACGGTCATAAGTTAAGGCTCAAATTCAAAAATATAAATAAAATATTTATTAAATAAATGTAATGAAAATATTTTTTTGTGTTATCTAAATTATATTTTTGCATCGTAATTTATAATGGTAATTATGGTTTCCTCATTATTTATAATTACAATTATGTATTCAGATCCTTCTTTAAGTATGCAAACATTTATTTGGATGACTGTATGTATGCGAACACAGTTAAGCAAATGTATTTAAATAATTGGGCTATCGTGTAATTCACGCTCAATATCAAAAAAAAATATCTCAGCACCAAAGGCTGTCTTCGATGTGTGTACAGGGTGACGTATGAGCAACAATTATCGTATTTGTACGATAATTATTGTTCATGGGAAATGATGCGGTTTTGAGAAAAACCAAGTCATCAATGGGTCAAGATGCAATTTGAAAATACCGTTTTAAAGATATTTTCAACAAACCACTGAGGATTTATTAACAACCCACAAAGGGACAAATCTGTCTCAGAAGTTACTGAATGCTTCCCAGTAGGTATTTGGTTTGTTTTGAATATCGTTTAGTTTGTTTTGTTTTCATTCCATAAAACAATGGAAAATTTCCAAACTCAAACATTTAATTCACACTTAGCGAACATACAAACATTTAGATTTGAACGCGTAAATACTGCTGAGAGAGGATTCAATATTGATTTTGTCGTTTCGAGCAAAAAGCCCATGAAAACAACTTGCCAATAAATTGATTTAAACAAAATGATCTAGTTTGAACTTGTGCTTCTTATTAAAATCAATATTAATTGAATACAACATACATCTTATTAACATGATAAATAGTCAATATTACAAAATGACTAATTAATTTGTACGCAATAATAATGAAACAAAAATATATATTTCTACTAAAGTGAGCGCAAATCCAGTTGGAGACAGTATTCTATTGGTTATTTGGGTGATCAACAGCTGCCAACCATATTTGCTAACAATCCCTTGATTGTTATGGCCAAAAGATACAATGACTATTTTTTTTAATTGACGTTTAAAAACTTCTTTATTTCAGTAAGTTCTGTATCGCAAAGTTGCTTTGATCCAGCTTTGAGTTTTGTTCTCGTTTTGTCTAACCTAATCCGCATTTATTCAATCTTCGCTGGTTTATTGTAATTATCACCTTTTGTATTAGCTAAAATTGATATATCTAAATCTAGTCTTGTGTTCTAAATAAAGATTGAAAAATTACAAAAAATATGAAACTAAATTGATTGACGTGTAATAATAGAGAGTTTTAGATGTTATGACATACCGCATAGCATTGTCTGCCGTTGCTAAAAGTTTTTTAACGGGAAAATTAGAAATAATTGTTGTTGAAAAAATTGTTTTTGATCACCAAAATTAGTATCTCTTTATCCATTACGAAATTTAAATACAAAAATTCGTTGAATAATGTCGCTAAAGTCATCAAAATACCGAATATGGGGAGTTACCATTATATGGGGGTTATACGAAAACGTGTACCGACATGGCCAATGCCTACTGCCTACTGGTAAAATACACACGTGTGCAAAATTTTAGACTTCTATCTGAACTCGTTCGGAAGAAAGCGTGATTACAACAGACAGACATACGGGCATCGCTAAATCGTCTTAAACTTTTATTCTGATCCAGAATATATATACTTTGTAGGGTCTATCATGAGTTTTTCGAGGACAAAGTTAATACACCCTCCATCGATTGACAGAGGGTATTAAAAACAAAATCTGGCCATTAGAAAAGACCGACAGAAATTATCAAGATTGGTTCGTATCGAGAAAGGATAATCCTATTTTGATCCAACTTTGAAAATCCTAAGATTTGCATCAGAAGTAGGTGAGTTGCGAAAATGGAAAATATTGTTCCAATCCATCATGTACCTCCCCCACAAAGGGTCAAAGTTTTCAATATCCACGAAGCTTATACAATGCGAATCTAACATTCGATTCCTCTTGGCACATATTTCTATCAATTCGAGAGCTGTTATAAAGATGGTAGACATCGGACCATTCCTTCTGATACCTCCCCCACAAAGGGTCAACATTTTGAATAACGAAAACGATTATAAAATTATCTTAATAATGCAAACATCCCATCATTTTTACTAACACAAAATCTGCTGAGAAGATAGGATATATCGATCCACTCCTTCTGGTATTACATCCCCCCTCCCCCACAATTGGTCAAAAATTTGAATATCCATGTAGCCCAAAAAAATGGCAAACCCGACTGATGCTTTTAACTTGTTTTATACTTATTCGGATATGTCAAAAATAAATACATTATTAGTAGACCTATGGAAATATTACAATTTTCGCCACGAACTTCGTCGAAAAACGGACAAAGTGTATTCGGCGCAAGGATGGAACATATCATTGTACTGTGACGAACACTTCTCCTCAATACTAATACCTCAAACTACAAGGTGAGATAAAAAACTGCAACAAAGTCAAACGCCATAATTTTTACATTTTTTTAATGTTTAACAAATGAAAGCAAAAATGTCGGAAATAGCAACAAATTTTAGAATAAGTGTAGATTTGTTTGAATTTCCATGGCCTGCGGCCAAAATGTTTGCGTGCCCAAGGCTTTAATACACCCTCCAGAATATTTTCGTGATAATACTCGGCATTTATTCTGATGCCACGGTCGATTAATACTAGCGGAGAACGATCATCGGCTGTTATGGCGGCCTACACCATCACCATGGCCGGCGCTTGAGTTCTGGTGGCCAACCGAAGGTGCGTATTTTCAGCTGACCTCTTTGACAAGTAAACACGATAAATTTGTTTGTTTACAAACTGCTGGACAACGAATGTTTTCTCATCGGATAAAACCAAATTCGGCAGTTCACCACTTTCGGCCAAGCGAAGCAACTCTTTAGCTCTTTTGAGTCTATTTTCTTTCAGTTGCGGTGTAAGTTCTTGCATTTTTTTGGAATTTTAATGGCTTTACTCCGAGCTCATTTTTCAATATTTGCCGAATGGAATATTGCGATATTGCGAGCCATTTTTCGGCCACTGTGACGCAGGTTTCGATCAAGTCGCTTCGAGACTTTTCGAACCATTTCTGCTGATGTAGCTGTTTTCTTTCGTCCACTTCCTTGACGTCGGGCTAAGCTACCAGTATCACGGTAACGAGCGATGATACGAGACACATACGATTTATTCACATTTAAATGCTGGAGTGCTCCAACGATAGCCACTTTTGGTTTCCAGCCAAATATAAAGAAATCACACTATCACGCTTGAATTCCATCACGAATAACTTTTATTCCGGAAAATATTCACCAAAATGCTTTTGTACGCTTGTAATCAATATAGTGCACTGAGGGAAAAATCCCGTTGCGAAATCAAGCACGTATGTTGTCATTTTCGCAACGACCCGTTGTTATATTTTTCAACAACGGCTGTTGGTGAATTGTGCACGAACGTGCTCAAATTGACACCGAGACGTGGTCAACTTTCGGTACCAACAACAGCCGTGCTTAATTTGTCCATTTGTAATATTGGTAATTGCAGCCGATTACACACGAGTAAAAAATGACAACGGTGGTGCATGATTCACACACGGTCGTTGTCAATATGACACCGGTCGTGTATGAATTATGCACCACCACCTGCATAATGATGCACCACCGTTGTTACTTTGTACACCGACGTGCATGAATCGTACACGATCGTTGCCATTTTAGCAACTACCGTGTATGAATCATGCACCACCGTTGTCATTTTTTTTACTCGTGTGCAATCGGCTGCATATTTACCATTTTTTCCGTGTTATTGAAAGAGAAAGGACGCATTGTGCAAAAAATTTATTGAAAATGAATAATAATTCGCAAGATCCTCAAAATATCATTGGTGAGTTGTTAGAAATCGATGGCAATATTGTTGTGGTTCGCGATACAAACCATTGCAGCAGTCAAGATGCGGAAAACAATGAGGACGATTATATGTTAAGGGAGTTCTTAAAAGGAATAAATATGGAGTCGCTTTTTGAACAATTAAAAGGTAAGTAAATAAAAATGAATTTTTCAGTTAATCAGTGTAATTAACAAAGAATTTTCTTTTTTGTTCTTTTAGCATCACATGTAACATTTCGCAGCTTGCAGTACTTGAAAAAAGAAGATTTAAAGGAAGCAGTGCCACCATTGGGACTGCGTGTTGAATTCAGAGAAAAGCTCTTTGCTTGGAAAAAACGAAAGGTACGTATTATTTGTTTTACAGAGTTGAACTCAGTATTAATATTGTCATAACAATAGCTCGGGATTGATGACGAAACTATGTCAGTTCCATCTAAAATAGGTGAATGGTGGAAACGCAACGAGACACCTGCAAGTACTCCTGGTACTCCCGACACTACAGGTTCGAACTGCTCAAAAGCCAAAGGAATTTTGTCAGAGGTAAGGTAAGAGTAATATTTGTGTAAGCATAGTTAATGTAGTTTTTTTATTTAATATAGGATCTAACGGAATTGTTAACACATACCTCGAAGGGGAAACTAGCGCTTGAATGTAGTAGCGTTAATAAGAAATTAAGTGACGAGCAAAGAGATGATATAATTAATATAATTATTGAAGATATTTTAACCAACAATGTTACTCTTTACACTCAAGACTATATGCGCATATTGGATGAAATTTGTTCCGTTTTTCCTCTTGAAAACGAAATGAGGGTAAGATTAACAATATAAACAACGTATCTGATTATGTAGTTTCTTAACTTATAATATGTCTTTATTTTTAGGATTATTATTACATTTCAAGAAAAGGAAAGAACAACGCAAGCGGAAAACTTTATGCCAAGTATAGAAACAAGAAGTCCAAAAGAATAAAGCTTTTGATTTCCGAGCCTAGCACAAGCAAAGCAGCAACTCACACATCTCCTAATTTTTGTAACAAAGATGTTCCCGAAATTGATGAATCAGTTGAAAATTCATTGAAAGCTTCCTTACTAAGAGAATGTAATGATTGGGGATCGATCTGCGAAAAATGGAAAAGATCTTTTAACATACGGCAAAGAGATATAAAAAATTTAAGTAGCCATACATTTCTCCTTGAATGGACGAAGTTGTCCGATGCAAGAGCTTCAGAATTGGTAAGTAGCCATGAGCTATTTATTTGTATATGGATACTAATGTTTCGTTTTAGGTCAACATTGATTTCGATATTATGTATCCACAGAAAGGCAATCTTCTACTTTCTAAATGGGACCAATTTAAGAAAAAAATTTACAATTATTATGGGAAAAATATTCATAACGAACATTGCAAACAACTCTTCGCAAATGTTTTGACGGCAAGCAGCATAGGTAAATTTTAATTCCTGATTTATCATAAACATTAAAAGTAATATTTATTTTATATTTCGGTTGCAGATGCTCAAGATTATATATACGCAATACTGTTGAATTCAGTTTTACCATCACCTGCTAGGTTTAAATGTGGAAACGGTAAATTACGAAAAAAAGTAACAATAGCTGATTCGCAGGAAAGTTTCGTACTGCGACTACCGACAATTAACGATTATAAAAGGCAAATTGATACAGTCACTGAAAAGTATTACAATGCTGGATTAACTATACAGCCATTTATAATTGTGGAGGGTTTGTCCGATTTCAATATAAAAGGTTTTTATGTTTTTTTTAACCACAATTTGTTAAAATTTCAATCGTTCCTCGAATGTTTAGATACATGTTTTAAAATTTTTCATGCACTTTCTTTAAAATATCCAAATGCCTGCCAAATTCCATGGATTTTTATCCAAAAATATTTTTATGAAATTAATACTGTATATGATATAAAATCAGTTAATTTGACTTCACTTATTAATTTCTGCAACAATAATTAAAGTACAATTCAAAATGTATATTTGCTTTCGTTGCCGTAAGCATTTTGATAAGGCAAATCTTTTAATAGCTCATTTGAAAACAGACCATTTAATGTCCACTAATTGAATTGTTTTGTTAAATCAAATATGTATTTATATTGAATTTATGTAATTGGTTTCGTTCAATAAAATACTTTTCAAAAAATGTCGTTTCTTCTACTAAGGGTATAAAATGGAAAAGGAACGGATATCAAAAAATGACCACCATTGATTTCAATCTGACAACGGGCGTTGACAATCCGACAACGGAGCGTTGACAATCTGACAACGAAGCGTTGACGATCTGACAACGAAGCGTTGACAATCTGACAACGGGGCGTGCTCGAAATGACCACGTATGTGCTCATTTCATGCACATCTGTTGTTGAAATCGTTGCCAAAATCTCGGTGTCAAAATGACAACAGCGTGCTCATTTTGACACCAAACGTGGTTGATACACTATCATACACGGATGTGGTCATTTCATACACGGATGTTGTCATTTTTTCTCTGGGTGTGAGCTATCACTGGAAAAATTTCAACAGCTGTCGGACGAGTGGCTTAGAAATGACAGCAGTCTCATCTCATTTCATCTCACCCTGTAAAAATATTTTTCCATAAAACATGCATGTGCTCATATTTTTGAACGATTTATGGGAGAGAAGAATTGATAATATAAATTTCGAACGGGTCTTATATACTGTACTACAGTTTTCGTAGAGATTGTTTGTAAAATTTTAATCTTCATGATTAAAACTTAATTGAATCTTTGATGATTAACAGCATTTTTTACCCTCCTCCTCATGATGGAGAGTAAAAATAATATTGTGTTAACACATATGCTTACATTTCCCCCCTTTTATAACTATAGCTATGCCGCACTGTAAATGATATACTTTTTAAATAATTAATAACTGAATATTTTTTAGAAGTAATAACTGTAGCTTTCTGAGGCATTTGTAGTTCGGTGCTTTTTTTTGACAAAATTCAAATGAAATCTCTATTAACACAAACATTTCGCACCTTTTGGGACAAAGCGATCAGCCCACAAAACCCCAACAACAGCAGATTAAAGCAGTTGGTAGGTACAGCGGCTAACTCACTTTCCAACCAGCGAATAGTCGAACGGCTTTAAAAGCTCCGCAACAACAGCAATGACCGTCATTATTAAAGTCACCGCTGAAGCGAAACATTCGGGAAAACATACTCGGTGAACATTTTCGGTAGGTTACCGTCACGACTGGAATGAAGAGCTTCAGATTATTGGCAGTGGTGTGTTTGGTGGTGGCCACGGTGTCCTCCGCACCCGTGGATCAGTCTAAGCCAAACAATGATTTATTTGCTGGTATTCTGGGCTTCGCCCAGCTCGGAAACCCACCGAAAGAAAGTGAACTGGTAAAGAGACGCATTTACGAAGAAAATCACGACAGGGAATTGAAGCAAATCTCATTGCAATCGTTAATAAATAACATGGAAGATAGTCTATTTGCCTCGGCCTTTAGTGTCCATAATGTGGCGCATGACCCATCTGCCGTAATTCCAGAAATTAGATCAGAAGGCGGAAAAGTAAAACTCGACCATGATGTGAATAAACGTAATTTAATAGCCGAGACCACCACAGGCCCCAGTGTGGAGACAACAACTCTGATTCCGGTGGAAGGTGAAGAACGTAAAGTAGTTCTTCAAACAACTGAAAGGGTTCCCGAAAGTGCTGGTGTACCCGCTCACATCATAATCGATCGCATCGCCATCCAACCTCATCATGGCAATTTTGTTCCTTTAATACCCGCATTCGAAATCAAACACACCCGTACGGCCAATGGCGAAAAAGTACCGGAAGTTACTAGAATAAGTATTTCTAAAACGGAAATTACATCAGTGCCAAATGCAGCATCCACTACAGCAGTGCCAACTACTAGCTCTCCAGAAACAACTACAGCAGCTACTACTGCAACATCAACCACAAGCTCTACAGAAGCAACTACAACCTCAACAGACAACACGTCCACAACATTAGCAGGCACTAGTTCAACAACAACAGCAACAGAGACAACTCCAACAACATCTACCCCCACAACATCTTCAACCACTGCTGTTGTGGCCACCAAAGAAACTGAATCGACTACCGCCAAAAATATAGAACAGCTAAAGGAAGAGGAACAAGAGCTCAAGGAAAAAGTGGCCGAAATTGAGGCCGAACCCATCATCCTTTCAGCACGCGTCTAAAATTCAGGGTATTTTGGCACTTTCACAATTTTCCTTTTCTCAAAAAAATGTACATAACTTCAAATCCTTATTTATTGTATTCCAAAGCTTTTTTTGTATCATTCCCATTCGATCAAGCCGCATTTCTAACGACTGGAAATCGTTGTTTGTCCGTTTAATTTTCGAAAAATCATGTGATGTGAAATTCTCAGTATTAATTCGTATCGACCACTAATTTGTAGACTTGATTCATTTCATTATTGTTTTCAGCAATAATACAAGCATAACCGTGTACAGCAAGCAAATGTACATATGTATGTATGCATGTGTAGCTCTCTAGATATATAAGTAAGTGTATGTATTTTTGTCATTAGCATATAAGTGAAGATTTTGATTTTTGCAAAATTTGTTAAACAAATAAAAAATTATGGCGTCGTTTTGTTTAATTGTCGCATCGAAATTAAAGTTTTTTACCTCATTTCGAATTCAGATTGTCTGGATGATGTGAAAATGGAAATCAATAATTATTTTCTTTTTAAATGCAGAGAGATTTTTCGTTTGGAGATTGAGTTTGTGGTGTATGATGAGACATTTTTATACCCTCAGCAATATAACTAGAGAGGATATATATAATTTTATACGGCCAAAACGTGCATCATCAAAACAACTGTTTTAGACCCTAGGTATCTTTGGACCAAATCCGTTTCAGCGCATTTGGAGTCGATTTAGCGATGTCCGTCCGATTTAGCGATGTCTGTCTGGCTGGTGAGCATGATAAGTCTCGAAAGGAGTATCCGATTTGGTCCAAACTTGGTATATCGTAATATTTTTGTCAAACTTAGATCGAGTTTGGAGAAGGGCAATAACGGTCCTCTCCTTCTGTTACCTCCCACACAAAAGGTCAAAAATTTCATAGAAAATAACTTACCACATAGGAAGAGAACGGATAATCTGATTTTGTTCAAACTTTGCAAATCGTGATATTTGTATTACCGCAAAATTGGGTGCAAGAATGGATAAGATCGGAGTACTGCTTCTAGGGTAAAATTTTGGAATAATCGTAACGTCTATAAAATGTGATGTAAGAGTCCGATTGTCTTGAAATTACACATATAATAATATTTTTATTAACACAAGATCTGTCATAACGATGGTACAGATCGGGCCATTTCTTCTGGTACCACAAAGGGTCAAATGTTTGAATAACCAAAACTGTCTTCATATTTCACACATCCCATTATTTTTACTTACACTAGATCTGTTGTGAAGATGATATATACAGGGTGAGATAAAGTCGAACGCCATAATTTTTAATTATTTTTTTAATTAATTTTTTTAATTTTTTTTTAAATTTTATTGATTGAAAACAAAAAAATGTCGGAAATAGCATCAAATTTTAGAATAGCTTTAGATTTGTTCGAATTGGTCACATTTGGCACCCATTATGGCCTTCAAACGGCCAGTGAAACCGTCACACTCTGCCCGAATGTTGCTCTGCGGTGTTTTAGCGCATTCCCGGCGAAGCGCCTGCTTGAGGTGATCGACACTTTGGTATTTTTTAGTGCTAACCTTGCTTTCCAAAATATTCCAGATACAATAGTCCAACGGATTGGTATCCATCCGGAGATTTTGGTGGCCATTGTGCGCTGGAAATGAGGCGAGAAAGCTCATTTTGTAACCATTTTTGGGTGGCGCGTGCTGACTGCGATGGTGCTGAGTCCTGTAGGAATGTCCAAGTTCTGCGTCCAAAATGTTTGCGTGCCCAAGGCTTTAATACGCCCTCCAGAATATTTTTGCGATAATATTCGGCATCTATTCTGATGTCAGGGTCGATTAATACAAGCGGAGAGCGACCATCAGCTGTTAAGGCGGCCCACACCATCACCATGGCCGGCGCTTTAGTTCTGGTGGCCAACCGAAGGTATACATTTTCAGTTTACCTCTTTGGCAAGTCAACAGGATAATTTGGTTTGTTACAAACTGCTGGACAACGAATGTTTTCTCATCGGAGAAGACCAAATTCGGCAGTTCACCACTTTCGGCCAAGCGAAGCAACTCTTTAGCTCTTTTGAGTCTATTTTTTTCTGTTGCGGTGTAAGTTCTTGCACTTTTTGGAATTTCCATGGCTTTACTCCGAGCTCATTTTTAATATGTACCGAATGGAATATTGCGATATGCTCAGCTCTCGAGCCATCTTTCGGCCACTGTGACGCGGGTTTCGACCCAGTCGCTTTTTTACTTTTCGAACCATTTCTGCTGATGATGCTGCTTTCTTCCGTCCACTTCCTTGAGGTCGGGCTACGCTACCAGTATCACGGTAACGAGCTATGGTACGAGACACAAAAGATTTATTCACATTTAAGTGCTGGAGTGCTCTAACGATAGCCACTTGTGGTTTTCCAGCCAAATATAAAGAAATTACAATATCGCGCTTGAATTCCGTCACGAATAATAAAATAATGAGCTGTCACTGGAATAATTTTAACAGCTGTCGGACGAGTGGCTTAGAATTGACAGCAGTCTGAATTTGGTTGCAGTTTTTCATCTCACCCTGTATATTAGTTCCTTCTGATTTCAAATATAACTGTTATATAGCCATAATACGCATTCAAAAGAAGTTAATAACTGCTGAGATCTACTTCACATTAATTCCCCATAGAAATGTATACTTCTTACGGGTAGCTCTGCTAAATATGTATCGTGGTGTAGGGTATCATCTAGTCGGGCCCGCTCAACTTTTGACCTCTTTGCTGGTACTTTAGGTCTGTTCAGGCCTCAGATTACAATATGCCATCCCTGACAGGTCTTCAGATAGATTTTGGATAACCGTATATACATTATTTGAGTGAATCGAATCCAATTCCCAAACACTGTGCATTGTTGTTTGGCAATATTTACTATTATATCTTATCAGAAGTCATTTATAATGCGATTTCTTTTCATCATTGTTTTTCCAGCTTTGCTGAATATGGGGGGAGGGTATAGCACGACAGGTGTGTAAAACAACAACTGTATGCATTTCGCCCGCCAACAACAGCACCAACGAAACTTATGTTTTAAGAGGGGGGCTTCTGAATTCCCCGCCATCATAATACTACGGTTCGTTGTGCTGTGCAAACACAGATCGCTGGAAGGGAGGCTAGGTAAGGCAGATGATTCAGGGTAGGGTAGGGCAGGGCAGGGCAAATCGACTGTTTTAATTCGAGAGTGTACTTGCAGTCAGTATCTAACCAAGTGTTTAACCGTCTACTTGATGCGAGAACCCATTTAAAAGTGACAAAAACCTATCAACAACCGATCGATTTCAAATAACAATTGTAACAACATCAACAACGACGACGACAACGGTAAACAAACATTGTTCGTTTATAACAAATTTCAAAAAAAAGGAAAAACAAACAAAACAGCTACGAAAATAATTGCGATTTAAAAATGCTCACACAAAATGGTTTTGGGAGCAGTAGCAGCTGGAGGCAGCAGAAACGCCAGCAGAGGGCAGATTGCTCCCGCATATGTCAAATATAACAGCAATGAGATAGTTATTTCAGTAGTGTCGTCTTCTGTACAATTTCACATTAACAACAGCAACAACACGAAATAAAATTCTCCCAATTTTTCATATTTGAAATGAGTCATGGATCGGACTGTGTGCGCCTCAGTGTTTTGTTGGACTAGTGACTGTTGGGGTTGCTGCCGCTGCTATCATTAAGTAGTGAAAATGAAAACTTGAAGATGATCTAACTATCGTTTCGTACGGACGTCGCGTAAATGTGGGTGCAATCTTTAGTCTCTGTATTTACTAGATCCATACAAGTGCCGGTATCTATTTTTAAAGCGGGTTATCTCACAAGAGTGCAAGCGGCGCGAGTATAAACACAATGACGCCAGTGTAAACGCAGTCATTGTTTACCCACCATTATATTCCCATTCAGTCCCTGGCCCTGTTTTGAAATATTCATGCATATTCGTTTTTTTTTTTCTCAATCACTAAGGACTTTTTTATTGGAATATGGCGAATTTGTCAATGGAAAAATGACTTACAACATGAATGGTCCTTTTCAAACCACTTGTGGCTTCTTTGGCAAATGTGAAACAAAACAGATGAACCAATTAAATTGTGATTGTGAGGCGGAATATCGTATTGGTATAGCGAACTCATTTCAATCGACATGGATTTGTGTTTGTACATTTGAGTTTGATTTGAATACAAACTTTAAATAACTCTTCGCATTCGAAAAGCTACAATGTACTAATAAAAATGCATTTCGATCGAAATTGTTCTCAATGTGGATTGTGAGAACATTTTTTTCGATATTTTTTTAATATCAAACTCTATTTTTATACCCTCCACCATAGTATGGCGAGTATATTAAGTTTGTCATTCCGTTTGTAACACCTCGACCCCTCAAAGTATATATATTCTTGATCAGCATAAAATTCTATGTCGATTTAGCGATGTCCGTCCGTCTATCCGTCTGTGCTTTGACTTTTGGTATTGAAAATGGGTGATGTAGGTCCACGTTTTGGTATAGCTCCCATATAATGGTACCTCCCTTTTTTCGGTAATTTGGTGATTAAACGACATTATTTACAGGATATGTTTCAAATTTCGTACTTGAAGTTCGCAATGAGTACTAGAGCCTATGACAGAAAATTGTAACGGTACCTCCCGATATTCGGTACTTTGACGATTTTAGCGACATTATGCCCTGGAATTGTTTCAAATTTGGTATTTGAAGTTCGTAATGGGTACTACAGCCTATGTCAGAAAATTGTCTGTGCAGGTTCACGTCTTCGTATATCCCCCATATAACGGTTCCTCCCGATATTCGATGATTTTAGCTACATTATTCATCGATTTTTTTATTCAAGTTTCGCATTTGAATATTGGAATAGTTTATGCCAAAGTTTCCTATGCAGGTCCCCATCGTCGTATAGACCCTAATATTACTGCTACATTCGATATTTTTAAAATGTTAACAGAATTTTTAACGGATTTTATTTCTTTTTGAAATTGCCAAAATCGTTCCAATTGGTGGAGGGTATTTAAAGATCGGCCCGCCGAACTTGCTGCTTTTTTATTTGTTGCAATTAAGTATGTATGCAAATCTTGATTAATTATTATTATTTTTTTTTTTGATTTATGGCAAGTATTTTTCTTCCCGTCATATCCCGTTTCATCGTAAAAATATTCCTAACTGTTAATATACCTACCAAGGGGCATATCTGTTGTGCAGTTGTAAACCTCGTAACTGAATGTTTTCTTTTATCGCTTTCAATCGACGAGTGACACAATTTGAATTGCATTAAATAATGAACTTTCAATAGTCAGTCGTAAATAAATATACGAAGAAGAGCTCACTAATTGCCAAAATAAAAATTAAAGACACTTGTCGAAAAATAACAGCCAATGGAAATGAATGAAATTCCTATTTACCGGTGATATTGATAAGATATGACGAAAATTTGTATGAACTTGGAATTGTTTCTTCATGCCACACAGTGATGGAATAAAGTCTATATACACGCCTTAATTTTTAATATTTTACATACTTCTGGTACAATTATTCAAAAAAAGTTAAGTCGGTATCAGCCGACAAATGTATGCGCCCAGCCTTGAGTTATGATTATTCTAACTGGTGACCCTTTATGGGGGAGGTTCCGAAGAAGTTGACTAATATTGTCCAACCAATAGTTTAGCATAGACGGTGAAACAGGACTGTTGCTTTTCTCACTAAAAATTTTTTCCCTGAAGATGACTGTCGAAGACAGTCGAAATATCGGAAAATTAAAATCAAAATTATAAAAATAAAACAATGATGTTCTCAATTGACCTTAAGCCAAAATAAAGTTAATAGGAATCCAATTTGTATGTAAAATAAGTCTGATGTAAATATTGCAACGTACCATATTTTAACTATATAAACTACTTCCTATACTTTATATGAGATATGTGCAAATTTTGGGAAAATATGGAAACATTCATGAGGTGCCAGATCTAGCGGACCGAAGTATTCCATTTCCATTCTTCATCTAATACAGATAAAAATATTGGTATGTGCAAAATTTGAAGGAAATCTAACATATCCGATTTTATGCGAAATCGTTTTCGCTTTCTATGAGTGTCTTGTTTTTCAAAATCTTGAACCCTATGTGGGGGAGGTACCAAAAGAAATGGTCCGATCTCTATTACTTTTATAATAGTTCTCGTGTTTATAGAAATATTAAGATGTCAAGTCAGAATGGAATCAGATGTTAGTTTCACGTTTTATAAGCTTCATGGATATTCAATACTTTGACCCTTTGTGGGCGAGTTGCCAAAACAAATGGTCCGATCTCCACAATCTTTCTAACAGATCTTGTGTTGATGGAAGTATTGAGATGTACCAAGTCTGAATGGAATCGGATGTTAGCTTCGCGTTTTATGAGCTTCATGGATACTCACAGTTTTGACCCTTTGTGGGGGAGGTACCAGAAGGAGTGGACTGATATATCCCATCTACCCACCAGACTTTGGGTTAATAAAAATTTGACGAGCGTCTCAAACTACCTAATATCGGAAGGTACCGTTATATGGGACCTATACGAAAACGTGGACCGGCATATCTCATTTTGAATACCAACCATCTTAAACTCAAAATTTTAAAGCTCTTCGTAAAAAGTTGTCTGCTTGTTGAAATCGCGATCGTTAAATCGACATAGAATAGTATGCTGATCGTGAATATTTACACGTTGTGGGATGTACAACGAATATTTATAGGTGCTACAAAAGGAATGAGAAATTAAATATACTCTCCTTTTCAAGATATAAAATATCACGATTTTGGTTCTGCAGGCGTTTGAATATTCTAAAAAAAGCGTCGAGAACTTTAAAATATGCTAAAAGAACAATATGTTTTATCTGTAGTTTTCTGAAATATATTTCATAAAAATCCTTAAACAATCAAATATTTTCGTCACGAGGTCCTTAAAAAAATATTCAAATTCACCATGGTATAAAATCCTGTAAAAGCCGCTATGTTTGGCCTGAGCGTCTTTGAAAAAGTACTTTTAAAATGGACGATGTTTGTTTCAATGGTTGGTCATTGAAAAAAATCAAAAAGGATCATGATGTTTGGTGTCAGGATAAAATTAAAAAATACACGAAAATCCAAAAATATATTATAAAAATATTCTTAAAGAATACGTGAGTAAGTGGTTAACCAGAAAGACCCCAAATATATTCTTTGAACTTTCACTGTGTTTGGTTAGGATGTTCTTAAATAACATCCCTAAAAATCTTTGATTTGATTCTTAATAATCTACCATGCTATGTGAGAAGTTCCTTGAAAATATTCATTAAAAATCCACAAAGGTTGGTAAAGATTCTTTAACCCCTCGACATTTGGTCAGGAGGTCCTTGTAAAATATTCCTTAAAAACCCATAATAGTTAATATTTGCAATATTTTCTATGAACAAGTTGAAAGAACAGTATTGAGTTACTGGAATTTTGCAAATTTAATACTGGAAAATATGTTTCCAAGTTTGATCAGCTGATTTTTGCATTTTCAATTTTCAAAAAATAATTTATATATTTTAATTGATATTTCGATAATATGCAGTCTACATTAAATTATACCGTGATGCAATTAATAACTAAAATGTTTGCATGAAAAAACAACTTCTCTCAGCAGAAGTTACTGTTTTATATATGCGGGGAATTTTATTGGACCGACCCAACCAACATACCACAATATTTGCCAGGTGCAGAATGAAATATGGGTGTGTGTGAAGTTTATAAAAGATAAATTATATTCCTTTTCTTATCGTTATAATGTGTAAGTCAAATTCGGTTATATCATTAAGAAACATCAATCAAATCGGCAGTAACAGTCCAAAAATAAATACAAGGGATATCAATTTCGAATTTTGGTAATTGAAACATTCCAGTACAATACTATGAAATATTTTGTAATCGTAAATACTATGTGATCGAGACGTGCTTAATGATCAAAAATTGTCTGTGCAAAAGGAATGTAATGGAGGAATTACACAACCACTATCTTACAACAAACACCGTTACAAACTACAACCGTTACAAATTAAATATTTTCGGTGAAACTGTGCTGCATTACCCCAAGGACAAACATTTCATATACAGGGTGAGATGAAAAAACTGCAACCAAATTCTGACTGCTGTCATTTCTAAGCCACTCGTCCGAGGGCTGTTAAAATTATTCCAGAGACAACTCTGGAGAATTTTTTTTGGTGAGAATTTTCCAAAAAAAAAGTTCTTCGTGATGGAATTCAAGCGTGGCTTATATTTGGCTGGAAAACCACAAGTGGCTATCGTTAGAGTACTCCAGCATTTAAATATGAATAAATATTTTGTGTCTCGTACCATCGTTCGTTACCGTCATACTGGTAGCGTAGCCCGACGTCAAGGAAGTGACGTGGAAGAAAACTACAGCACCAGCAGAAATGGTTCGAAAAGTTAAGAAGCGACTTGATTGAAACCCGCCTCGCAGTGGCCGAAAACTGGCTCGTAAGCTGAACATATCGCAATATCCAAATTGGCAAATATTGAAAAATGAGCTCGGGTAAAGCCATTAAAATTCCAAAAAGTGTAAGAACTTACTCCGGAACTGAAAGAAAATAGACTTAAAAGAGCTAAAGAGTTGCTTCGCTTGGCCGAAAGTGGTGAACTGCCGAATTTGGTTTTATCCGATGAGAAAACATTCGTTGTCCAGCAGTTGGAAACAAACATAATTATCCTGTTTACTCGCCAAAGAGGTAAGCTGAAAATGTACACCTTCGGTTGACCACCAGAACTCAAGCGCCGGCCATGGTGATGGTGTGGGCAGCCATAACAGCCGATGGTCGCTCTCCGCTCGTATTAATCGACCGTGACATCAGGATAAATGCCGAATATCATCGCGAAAATATTCTGGAGGGTGTATTACAGCCTTGGGCAAGCAAACATTTTAGCCGCAGACCTTGGACATTCCAACAAGACATTCCATGGCACTCAGCACGCGTCACCAAAGAATGGTTACAAAATGAGGTTCCTCGCTTTATTTCCAGCGCACAATGGCCATCAAAATCTCCGAATACCAATCCGATGGGCTATTGTCTCTGGAGCATTTTATTCTAAAATTTAATGCTATTTCCGACATTTTTTGCTTTCATTCCATAAAATTTACAAAAAATGTAAAAATTTTGGCGTTTGACTTTGTTGCAGTTTATTTATCTCAACCTGTATTAGTCAAATATTATTCATTTAAAAAAAAAAAAAAACATACATAAATATTTTTAACTTGGTCCTATTAAATCCCCCATTATTAAGGATGAATCAACGATCAAAATATTTATATATATACACTTGTAAATCTATCACATGCATTTTTATATTTGTTTATTATCTTTAATTATTATCGCTCTAACGTGTTTCTATAAAATGACTCATGTGATTGATTTGTATATTTCTTAAAATGTGAATCGCATTTGGGGTGTTTGGTAAACAAGTTTGCCGATTTGTTTAAAAAATCGCAAGCCTGCCTTGAGAACATTCATAAAACTCTCCTTGTAATGATTATGTACACCTTATCCAAAGAAAAAAAAACCCTTCAGTACGAATATCCAATTATTAGTTTTATGAATAGTCAATTGTTATTTGTATAACAAATCTTTTTATTAATATTCCATAAAAATATTTTACTCTTTATCAAACATATGCTTTTTAAATTTTACCAGTGCCAAATTGAATTGAAATTACCTTCATTATAATTGTAATCAAACTTTCTTTAAACCATTACAACAGTTTTGCCCAACATTGACATTGCTTTCAATAAAAAGCAATCCTCTGTCGCCCTTTACTATTCACCTTTCGCCAAAAAAGAGAGAGAGAGCCCCACGAAATCTATTAATATGGAATAAAATACAAAAATCCAAAATGAAACTCATTATGGTCGCACATCGATAAGATATCGCAAAGTTAGTACTAAAATATCTATGGTCTAAAAATTTTCTTTTTTTCTGGTTTCTAATCAAAAACAGCAACAACGACAAGGAAAGAACCAACGTTTTTTTTCATTATTTACCTGATCACTTGAAATCGAAACGACGATTTGCGTTCGAATTATTTGATTTTTCGTTGCCTTTATCATTCAAAGGCCTGAGGGCTCATTGTTCAGTTATTTATTCAGTCAGCCAGTCGGTTATATGGAAGATTATGACCGTGTGCTGTACCCACTATATAGAATAAATTAATAAGAAATAATTAATAAGTACATCAATTGGAGTAGCAGCAACGCGAAGGTGATAATCCACGACGAAGTGACGAAATGTCAAATTCTGGAGTTAATGGCGCTTTCGCCAAATGTTTTATACTGTTTATGGCGGTAGTTATATTGGTAAGTAAATTCGATTTCAATTAATGTCCACGGAACTGAAGAAACACATTGGTCTACTAAGTAAATAACTGGATGAGTAATTTGTTTGGAATGGGTATTCCGTGCCAAAAAACCGTGTCGACAACTTGAAAATATTTGATAAGAAAATATATTTGCATTATTGTTATTAAATATTTGAACTTTAAGATCAACTACAAGTCAATACCATGGATGGAATGCTGAGGTAGACAGTTGGCCCACACAATTTAAACGAAATTTTAGCCTTTAAGGAATCGCATTAGTAATAGGTTCCCAAGTAAAAACATTGCCACTGTCATAACGGTAAAATGTCGATAGATGTTGTCGGCTAGACATTACGACTCAAACAATAACACAATCAAGTTTTATATATATTTATATATATTTTAATCGTTTTAAAAGAATGGTTTTTCACAAAGATTTGGAAACATCCAAGATATTCAAATTCTGTATTAAAGATTATTTTCCCATTATTAAACTGAAATCTGCATAAAACAAAAAGTGTTTAAAGGGAGAAACGTTCGTAATATATAAGAAGTTTTTAAATAACCCTTTTTAAAATATTCGTGACACTTAAATGTAACTGCAATTTTCAAAACTGTTGAAAGTCTTTTATTTTTAGCAATGCTGATCTATCAACGTTTACGTCAATGTGTATAATTTATTAGTTAACCATGACAGTATGAAAAAAAAAAAATTAAAAAAAGTTACCTTTATGTGGGATTCCAACTTTGTGATTATTTAATTAAAAATTCCCCAAATGAATACCAACAAGCAAATACAATACAAACTTATCTTATCTCTGTTAATAGTTTTTTGCTAATTAATCTTTAAATTTCTTTGAAAGGTAGACCAATTTGATTTCTTCATGTAACCAGAAATGTACGCAAGAAATTAAAACTAACAACAAATGAATTTGCACCCTTATTATTACAGCTACAAGGTTGCCTCTATTTGGGTCTTTCCATATGGGGTATTACTCTGAGAGAATGTTCCAAAGGAACCACAGATGTAACGCAGGATCCACTAAAATTTGTATTTGATTTAATTTACTTTTTGGGTAAGTACTAACAACACAATAACAACTTATTTTTAAAACAATATGATATGTTGGGCTTGATGTCAATTTTAATCTTTTCATTTTCCATGAATTACATTAACCATTTCAATTTTTAAATGAATCCATTTAAATTAAAAAAAAATTATATATTAACATTTTTAGATGAAAATTGTGGAAATCCATCAATTTCTGTACCAACTACCGAAAATTCTTTGGCGATAGAGGTAAATTGGGGTGAATCTGATAATGTTACAAATAGAACATACATTATTATGATTGTATATGCCGCAATTAGCGCCCTGTGGATTGTTACCTCATTGTTGGTGATTACAACAATTTGTGGTCCGGTAACCAAGGTGGTAAGGGCTTTATGCTTTTGGCCTTGGTTTTTAGTTGTTATTGGTGGAAGTATATTGGATGCAGTGGCCACTGGATATAACATACATGACATTGTGCACACAACTGTAAGTAGAGGAACGTTACATATTTACGGTAAAGTCCTTAATTGTTTTATTTTGTAGACCCTCGAAAATACTTTTAAATATCTGCAACTTTCTGCTTCCGACATGGCCATGGAAATTTTGAAGCCATTTTCCACATATTTTGTAACGCCTTCGATAATAATGACTTGCATTACTTCAAGAATTGTTTTAATTTGGTTTTTGAATATTTTCGGATGCAGCTTTTGTCTTTCTCTGTCCAGTGCTCTATCAAAGAGGGTAAGTTAAATAAACGAAAAGAGTATTTTTCAATAAAGTTTTCCTAACTTCATTCCAAATTATTTTCTTTGCACATAGAATTCTTCGACCAAGAGCAGCATAACAAGTGCAAACACAGCCAGCACCCTTCCAGTTGCTACACCTCAAGAAAGACAGCCATATCGGGAAGCACAGATTATGGCTGAGGAAATACAGCAACAACAGAGATCTGCTACCCCTCCACCACAGCGTGAATCAGAGTTAATTCGACCCAAGCCATTGATTGTTCAGAATCCTGCCAGCGTACAAAGGCAATCATCTATACCACCGCCTCAGAACAACCGACCCTATGAACAGCAACAACCACCATCTGCCCCAGCCCCATCACCGATTTACCCATCCATTAACGAACAAGTAACTTATCGCAATACAGAAACACATCCCGACAGATTAAATTACCCAACTCAACAACAGCAACAGCAACCGCCTTTGCCCCAATCCCAACCCCCACAGTTACAGCTGCAAGTTCAGCCACCAAAGACATCCCCATCTCATGAACAACTATCGCCGATATCCCCATTAAACTTGCGTTATTCGACAAGTTCTCCCGGGCCTCAATCCCAACAAAATCAAAGAGTAAGCGAGGAACTAAGAGGTCAATTACCTTGGTCCTACACCAGTATTCCACCACCAACACCAAAGAAACCACAAATGCAAGTTTATCCAGAAATACCAGAACCTGATTACGGCCATTAGTTAAGCGGCTGCGTAAATTGTGTGATACAAATGTAATTTGTTTTTGTTCTCTTATTGTTTCATGTTATTTCCTAATGTAGTAAATTTAACAAAATACTTTTGAAATAAAAAAATGCTTACAGTACGTTTATATATATGAGGGTTAACCCACTGGTTTGGATTTAAATTGTCATATCCATTATTTTTACTTCAAATAAATCCTCTCAAAGTAGGTTAACAGTACGTTTATATATATGAGGGTTAACCCACTGGATTTGGATTTAAATTGTCATTTCCATTACTTTTACTTCAAATAAATCATCTCAAAGTAGGTTAACCCTACAAAAAGTTCTAACGTAAACATGGCATAACCCTACAAAAAGTTCTAACGTAAACATGGCATTAAATTGTATTTTACAATAGAGCTAGACTAGTTTTATGTTTGAGGTAATCGGTGATTTCTGTCAAGGCCAAATTGATCTCCAATTCCTTTGACACTCCATTAATATGGACTTCGACTTTGGGGACTTGTTCGCATGATTTGGAGCCAATCACAATTATAATTGGATAACCCATTCTGAAAATGAAATGTTTATCATTATTATCTTTGAAATTACTATTATACACAGTGAGTTAGTTTGTTTGCCACTCGACAACACAAAGCCATTCCATTCAATGATACAGAGCCCACAAGGTAAATTAATAATATAAATAATTATTTACATTTCAAGTAGAGCTTGTTTATAAAATCAAAATCGTCAAATACAGCAGGGACTTGGCAATCATTGGATTACATTTATTTTTTGAAAAATTATTTTATTTACCTTTTTGCATCCATTAAGCGCTTTCCAATAGTCAAATATTTTCGATCGTCATGTAAGAGTTCTCGCCTACAAATAGTCTTCAGTTGTTCTAACAAGTTTTCCTCCACCAAATCGCCTTGATGGGCTTCTTTACTACCTTGTTTAGGTCCAATTACACACACATCATAAGGAGCTAACAGCGATGGCCATTTTAGTTCATTCTCAGTTGATAACACTTCCAGAGAAGCTGCCAATATTCGACTGATGCCAATGCCATAACAACCCATAATCAAGGTTTTCGGTTTACCATCCGTATGCAGATAAGTGGCATTAAAAACTTTTGAATATCTATCACCCAGAAGAAAGGCATGCGCCACTTCCATTCCCTTGACTTGTTCAACATCAGAACTTTTACACTTGAGACAGGAAACATTATTGTCCGTTTCTCCTGTGACTTCAACATTAAATGCATAATTGCAATTTTTACATTGCAAAAGATTATCTTCGCCAGCCGATGATATATAATGGTATTCATGTGACACTTTACCGCCCATCATACCAGTACAAGCTTCAACTAAATATTAAATATTTTTCCATATTAAAAATGTGAAAAAGTTGAAAAATCTGTTTTTTGCTCAAGCAATACCTTTTTTAAACGGCACCTCTAGCTGCGTAAAAAGTTTTGTGTAGGCTTCATTGACCAGCTCATATGTTTCACGAGCTTCATCCTCAGTCCGATCAAAGGTGTACATGTCTTTCATGATAAATTCTTTGGCTCGCATTAAGCCAAAGCGAGCCTTTAATTCATCACGAAACTTTGGTCCAATTTGATACAAACGTAGTGGCAATTGTCTATACGAAATAGGTGCAGTCGATGCCAACATTGAGGTAATTGCCTCTTCATGGGTCTACAAATGAAAGTAGTTAATGACATGCTACCCATTTTATTGTTGTTGATTGTCTTACCGGACTCAATAGGAACGATTTGTCATGACGATCACGTAACATAAAGAACTCTGTTATATCTCCCTTGAGACGCCCAGATTTTTTCCATAGCGATGAAGATGTTAACACAGGCAAGGAACATTTTTGTCCATCTACAGAAAACATGGCGTCATTGACTAAATTGCACAATTTATCCAACGAACGTTGGGCAATTGGCATAATTTGGAATGTGCCATTTGTTGCCGGCTTCAGAAGACCCAGGTCTGTCATTAACTACAAAATAGTGTGATGATGAATTAAACTCATTGCAATATTCCTTTCAAGGGCTGTCCATTTATACCTTTTGGCTTTTGGACACTGTATCCACAGGCTTTGTAACGGCATTTTTGGGAGTCACCAGCAATGGCCAATATAAACGAGATACCTTCTGCATGTTTCTTTCTGGCCGCTAGCAGGCAGTGTTCTTGTTACGTCAAACGAAACAAAACAATAAACAGCTGTTAATGTTATCAAATCATGTGTGTTAAAACATGCTGCCAATATACGGTATGTTATACCATGTTCTCATTGCAATCTGAATCACATTGTTCATTCCATGGCAGAATAGAAGTTGTGGCTGCTGGGACAATGAACTCTCAAACCAATTTCGAAATGGAATATTTTGAATGAAAATTTAAAAAACTGTTTAAAAAATTGTTATAAAAATGTTTAAAACTGCATATATTAACAATCTCCGATAGGTGTCTTATAAGTATTTTTTCGAAGAAATATAGTATTATAAATTCCACACCATTCCATTTCTCCATTTTTTTTTTTAATTTTTACAATCAATATATTTTTCTATATTCTAAATTTTTTCATACACAACATTTGAACGACATCATATAAAAAATAAATAAATATTTTAGACATATCAATCTACGAGTGTTGATGCATCTACCTGTATTCTTTTACCATGGTATCAACCAAACCTATATAAATTCATATCTAATCATTTTACGGCGAGATTAGCTTAATTTCTCCCTATGTTATAGTAAACCACAATTAATTTTCCATTTTTTAATAAAGATGGGATTATATTAGCTTTACTGGCCCTTAGATTCAAGAGTTTTCACTAATTTTGCAAAATAACGAATTAAGTAAATTTTGTTGAAAATATAAAATTCATCCAAATGAATGAATTCACTCGTAAATGCACCGAAATATAACTTGTCAAAATTGTTAATACATTATGCTAGGAACACAATTGGAGCGAACGACGAATTTTTTCGCGGCGTATGTTCGTCGTCAAAAATAAAACACATATGTGTATATGGAAGTGCACACAATCACGGCACCGGCGAAAATTTCGTCGGTCGCCGCGAACTCAATTAGCTTTATGCTAGGAACACAATTGGAGCGAACGACGAATTTCGCCCTACGCGGCGACAAAATGAGCCGCGAAAATTCGTCGTATGGAACACAATACCGACGAAATTATAAAACAGCTGATGAAGTTGTTTACTTTTTGCTCATTTGTTGACTACAATGAATTATACAAGAACACATAATTCTTTACGTTCTCTATTATAATTTCACTTATGTCCATCTTCTCTATTATAAATTCACTGATATCCATCTTCACTCAGGCGCAAGTACACAAATAAATAAACAAATTAATTATGTTTTTTTTTATACGAGTAACAGATAGTAGAGTGACCATAACAAATTTTAAAGTAAAAAGTAACTTTATTTACTAAAACACATAAAATTCGTACAAGTATGGCCACCTTGTACTGTTTTGTTCGCCGGTCGCCGGCGTATGAAATAGAAATAAAGCTAATTGAGTTCGCGGCGACCGACGAAATTTTCGCCGGTGCCGTGATTGTGTGCACTTCCATATACACATATGTGTTTTATTTTTAACGACGAACATACGCCGCGAAAAAATTCGTCGTTCGCTCCAATTGTGTTCCTAGCATTATTTCTATTTCATACGCCGGCGACCGGCGAACAAAACAGTACAAGGTGGCCATACTTGTACGAATTTTATGTGTTTTAGTAAATAAAGTTACTTTTTACTTTAAAATTTGTTATGGTCACTCTACTATCTGTTACTCGTATAAAAAAAACATAATTAATTTGTTTATTTATTTGTGTACTTGCGCCTGAGTGAAGATGGATATCAGTGAATTTATAATAGAGAAGATGGACATAAGTGAAATTATAATAGAGAACGTAAAGAATTATGTGTTCTTGTATAATTCATTGTAGTCAACAAATGAGCAAAAAGTAAACAACTTCATCAGCTGTTTTATAATTTCGTCGGTATTGTGTTCCATACGACGAATTTTCGCGGCTTATTTTGTCGCCGCGTAGGGCGAAATTCGTCGTTCGCTCCAATTGTGTTCCTAGCATTAAGTAAACTTGGCCACATGAAACTAGCTGATGTGCGCTGGCCAGTGTAGCCAATATCTTCTCCCAACAAACTCGTAATGCCATATTTTTAGGAAAAATTATCAATACTGGCAACACCGGGCCCGGCTAACAAATGCAGATAAATTAATAAACTAATAACAATTGACAATCGTATTTTAGGCAAAATTCCTAAAAATCGAGCTCAGCATGCACCAGGATCTATACAAACGCAGTGTCGACAACTGCGAAAGACAGGAAATTCGTCGGCAAAGGTTGTTGCAAGAACAAAAAATTAAACGTTTGGAACAACAAGATGAACTGAGGGAGTTGCGTGAAGTACACAAGCCTTGTGGAAATCGACGGAGGTATAAACAGCAAACCTTTCAAGAGATTTATGGATCAGACTTGGCCCCCCAGCTGTCCGAATGGATGAGAGAAAAACCAGAATGTTTAGATGATTGGCTATTAGTACCGTGTCCAAAAGGCCAGCGATGCCTGGTTGTATCCTCGAGAGGAAAAACAAGAATGTTTAGTAAAGCTGGACGATTTCGTATGTCTTTCAAGTCATATTTGCCTGGAGGTGGAGCATCTGTAAAACATGGAAGTGGATTTTCCATTTTGGATTGCATTTACAATACCGACAACGACACCTTTTACGTATTGGATGTATTGTGGTATGGCAAACAATGTTTCCTGGATTGCGAGGCGCAGTTTAGATTCTTTTGGCTTAAATCGAAATTTGATGAATTGGACGATGAAGCTGAAGAAAGAGATTACGTGGGGGATAATATTAAAAAAATCAGCCTTATAAATAGTTGTGACATTGCCAACAACGTTCTGACGGCCCAAATGCTACAAATGTATCCTTTGTGGCCTGAAAATAGGCCAGAACTGGATGGCTTTTTATTCTATCACAAGGATGCTAGTTATACATGCGGCCCCACGCCGCTAGTTTGTTGGCTCTTCCCCTTTATGGTGCAGGATGTTTTAGAAATGTCCGTCAACAGTAGTTATGAACCACCACCCAACTACTCCTCCCCCTGGCTCTACATGGACGAGTTTGACAAAGATTTGGCGCGCAAACGACACAAGAGACAAACAAAACAAATGAATTGTTCTGTTGACACAGATACCATGAACAGTTTTTCAACAGAAATGGGTGAGGGTGTGGAAGGAGAGGAGTTGAGAACGAAAGAAGACACAGCCACCGAACAATTTTTTGTGGGAGAGAAGGATTGCGATTCTTTGGAGCGTATAATGAGTGCCGAGCGTCTGCTAGAAATGGAGGGAATTTCGGAAATGTGAATGGATGCGATGCATATGCTTTTGTAGATGGAACGTTTTGTATTTCAGACATGCGCAGTACACTTCATATTCTCACAAAGGACACACAAAACCTATCTATGGCCGCGTTGGGGCTACAGACACAGTGAAAATTAGAATTAAAAGCACAACTGCAGACATGCAAATGTTTCGTAAAGGACAATATTAAATAAAGCAAATCCTAACAGAGTGTAAAGGAAAAAAATTGTGTGTTTCAGTTTTTTTTAAATCATGGTTATCCAACGTGGTTGGAAAATATTAAGTGATGCTGGTTCTACTTCGGCATCATCTACTGAGGCAAACCGTTCCCCTACGGGCCTAAACTCCTCTTCTGACGATTCCAATTGCTCCAATCAAACAACTCACTCAATGGTTACTAGCGCCAGTCCTGTTTCAAACCATCATAAATTGGAATCAACAACAGCTCCAAATAACAATTCTAGTGCCACCAGCAATACAAACAATAGCGATACAATGGTAAGGGGTCTAAGTAAATTATTGACCTTCTTTGCATAGGTGATTGTGATATATTTTGTAGAAATACGTTACCACTCCCCAAATGGCTGAGATGACTTTACAAAAGATACGCCAACGCTTTTCCAGCACGAGCCTGATGACTGGTTCCACAACTGAATCGGGTATGAGGTCCTTAGAATTGGTAAGAATTGCTGTACAGAGTGCATTCGACAAGGAAATTGACGAGCTGATAAAGCGTTATATTGAGGTACCGCTTCACACCACTAGTTTATGGTTTCTCTTCGATTTATGGTATTAATATGGTAATTCTTTCAGACATATTTTAAACCAGCTTTTAACAATATAAAGGAAAATTTGGGTCAAGGTGCCATCAATGAAGATGCTGTAAGACTTAGCTTTTACTATTCGCTGATCCACATCTAAACCATTTTTCTATTCTCCTTTCTAGTTACAAAAAATGTGTTGTGCTCTGCTGGAGAATTCCAAGTCGCAATATAAGACGGTACTTCGTTATAAAACCCAAGGATCCTCACTACCAATTACCAGCACACTTTCTTCGGTTGCCAGTGGGCAAGAAAACAGCACAATTCGAATGGCTTTGAAACGACCTGCTGCCAATAAACCCTCTACGGCTACTGTTATCGAAATACAAAAGCGTTTCTTCCCTGATAATATGCTCATAAAGGCCACAAATTCATCCCAGCAACAAACCCCAACACAAATGTTACCCGTTGTAGGAACTTTAATACAGAGTCAGCCTACTGCTTTTGTCCAACAGCAGGGGCAGCAACAGCAGCCGCTACAACAACAACAGCAATTGCAAAAACTTCAACCAAATATTGTAAACCAGCAACCCAGAAGACAAATATTTTGGAATACTGCACACATATCTACAAGCACTAAGTTTGTCCTGGATGTTCAAGCCAATCAGGCATTTGGATTCGGAACTGAGGGCAAAGAACGACGTTTGGCCAGCAAACATCCAGAGCTAATACGTTATTTGCCAGATAATGAAGATCGTGATTGGTTGGTGACACAACAGATTATACCACAGCCGAATCGCAACTCGCGCTTCCTATTTCTTATATACGATGAAGTTTGTCGCCTATATCAAACACATGAGGCATACAAAAATAAAACTTCTATTGACTTGTCCGTTATGATGACCTTTACGGTACCGGAATTCATGATACAAAAAATGAAAATTTTCTTCGTTGATTTGAATATAAAAAGCCGTGGTCTAATAACAAATTCGTATTCGATAGGAAGTGGCGTAAATTCCTCGGTAGCACAAAGCAATAGCCACCTACGAAATGCATTGCTTTTGGGTACGTCACAGGTCCCAACAACCGTTCCGACCACATCTTCGCCGTTGCCTTCTGTTATCGCTACATCCAGTGGTGTCATGGCAGATGCATCATCAAGTCTTAATATAGGCCAATCTCCAGCTACTTCATCACCATCTTCGAACATTAGTTCAACAGAAGGTTTGCTTCAACCACCACCACAACAACAGAAGAATAAATCAAGCAATTTAAGCTCTTCTCATGCTACGTTGACAGCGCTATTAAATAATTCATCAACATCAGCCTCTATGAACGATAAATCAGCAAACAACTCTATCAATATTCCAACGTCTTCTTCTTCAAATTTGTCATCATCATCAACACCGACTTTGTTAAATAAATTGAGAAAATAAAACCTTTGTTTCATCTAAGAAATGTCAATCTGTATGGTTCATAAATGCTAGTTGTTTTATTTTTGATTGGTGTTGTACCTTTTGCGAATTATCTGATACGAATTCAACTGATTACACTACATTATTTTTATTTGGGCTACAAATTTTTGCTTTGACTCATTGTTATTTCATTTTTTGGCTTATGGTGGTGACTATAAAGAAAAAAAAAGAATAAAACTTGTTATAAAAACTGGCATCTTTTTCTCAAACAATGATAATGACCTGTGCACCACAATGTTTCTTAACAACTAAAATTTAAGACCTGTCAGAAAAATGTTCGCGTTAGAAACTTTTCCTCCGGTAGCTTTATCTTTTTTTAATATTTTGCTGGAACAAGCAGCAACATGACATTCTAATAACTATTTTTGACAACAGCTTCGATTACCTTGTTAGTATTGAATGTATAGATATGATAATGGAGCACATCGCTATCGTAAAACGTTTCATTTAGCTAAGTTTTCTTAAGAGTGGCCACCAATGTTAAATAGCACACAGTTGAAAATGTTGCGGAAAAAAGAGCACACGAATTATTTGATTAAAGCATTTTTCGCTATTGTTTTCGTTATCATTATAATTTCCTACTATTACGCGAACTGCGATGTGTCAAAAAGAAGGAATCCTAAGTTAATGTCATCACCGAATGCTCAATACCAAAGACCCATGGAATATTTAGTCTGGAATGAAAACTGTCATATTCCATCAATGGATCCTTTTGCTGCGCATTATATGAAGAACTATAAAGAAGAAATCGGACCAATCTGTTCGACCAAACCTGCCTTGGTCAGTAAATCATTTAATAACTCAACAAAGTTATATTCTGTTAAAGTACACATGGAGTTCAAACATTTGTATTTAAAAGGAACATCAACTGATGACGATATCAAATGTTGTTATCGCCAGGTTTTGAGAAGGGGTGATCAACGATTTAAGTAGGTAATCATAAAAAAGGCATCTAATCTATGAGGCAATAAATCCTCTAATATTTTCGAATTTCCTTTATATTCAGCTTACTGGAATGCAAGCAGTTTGACCAATTTTTTACAGTCCCTGGGAATATAGATTACATGCTTGTTAGCTGTGTAACAACCAGAGATAATATCCTTGTCTATGAAGATGGACTGACATTCATTCAAAATCGAAAATTGGTAAATGAAAAGCTTCGTAAAAGCATGCAGCAGCAAAGGCAATTTGGTATATTGCTTATCGGTATAGATTCTCTGTCGCAATTTAATGTTCGCCGTGTCATGCCGAGAACATTTAAATATGTGGAAAATGAAGATTGGTTTGAACTATCTGGATATAATAAGGTAAACAATTTAAGAAAAGTGTCGTATGAATAACTGGTTGAAAGTGGTGAAAAGTGATATTGAAATAGCCAGCCAATAATAAGGGAATATATATTTATGTTTTAAGTTTTTTAATTATCGGGACTGAATGTGATTACAAACAACAGTAATGAAAGGATGTTTTTATATAGTGGTTTTAGTAAAGCTTTTAATTGGAATAATCCTTCGCCAAAACATATTGTTTTTTTTCTAACGTTTGGAAAAATTGATATGTAGATCAATAAAGGACAGATTTATGGGTCGATAGTACATTGGAATAAAACTTTACTTAAGTTAACAGCCAAATTTCTGCATTGATGGAGGTATAAAGTTTGTCATTCCGTTTGTACCTCCTTGAAATATACATTTTAGACCCCTCGTATAAAATGTATATATATTCTTGATTAGCATAAAATTCTATGTCGATTCAGCTATCTATCCGTCTGTGGAAATAACTCTAGCTTCCCAAAGAAATGGAGTAGGTTGATAAAATTTTACTTGATCAAAACTAAATAAAGGTAATTGCTTCAAACTGCCATACAACTTTGTTCAGTAATACGATAACTGTGTACAGGTATAATCATTTTGTCATGTAGTAGTGTTGGGCAACAGGCTAATCATTGACATTGAGGTTTCTCTCTTTTCATTTTGGGACCAAAATTTGGTGACGATATCATTATCTTTCTTATAATAATAATGATTGGCGTTATACCGATAATAAATGTTTGATTGGTAGTCGTATACCGTTAAAAGACTATTGATTGTATAAAAACCAAATCGCCATAAGCCAATGAATTTATACATTAGGGTGTAGTGCTATGGTTATCAATAATTAATGTCTACTGATTTATCATATATTAAGATTATAATTTATCAATGAACATGGGCGGCCAAGCTATGACATACGAATCAAGTAAACACCAAATGTAATGGAGTTTAACCCTTTAGTGTGACTAAATGTTATGTATATATTTAACTCTGCTAATTGTAAATGTTGATTCAGTGATACCTATGCTAAGTCCTGATTTATTTTATTTATTTATTTATTCAAACTCATTTGTGTAATACAGGGCCTCTAAGACCATAAAATCATATTACATAGCTAGCAAAACCTGAGTATTTAATACTTATAATTAAATACAAAAAAAAATTAAAACTATAAAATAATTTCTCTTCATTGGCTCCCCAGCCATAATAATATAATAAGTCAAGAAAAATATAGCGTCCAAGCAAACAATAACTCAAATAGTTGTAATACAATGCAATCATTATGAAGATCATTTCACCAAAAGTCAGAAAATCAGAAGCATGGCTATTTAGAAAAGAAAACTACAGCTCAAAAGAAGCAAAATGAATAAAAAGTTTCTTCCTAAAAACATTATTAGAGTGGGAAAATATCCTCAGTTCATAGGGTAATAGATTCCAATTCCTTGCAATTCTAACTAAGAACGATCTCGCACAAACATCTCTATAAATCCTTGGTATAACTATTTGAGGATTTCTTGTTGAATGAGAAAACACAAAAAGACTGTATAGAGATGTTGGTGTGCGACATTTGATAATATTATAAAAGGCAACAAGAATCCTATAAGACACAAAATCGGTAAAAGAACACCCCAGAAAAAGTTTAACATATCTAGATATATGGTTCCTTCGGGGAACGTTGTAAACAAAACGCACAACTGAATTTAAAATTCTCTGTAAACGTGTAAAACTGATCCCGATACAGCCCGAGATTACTTCCAAACCATATAGGATGTTAGACATCAGCACAGCATGAGCTAAATATTTTCTAATACGAAGAGGCATATATAATTTGGCGGAATAGATCTTTCTCAACAAAAAGCAAACTCTCCCAGATAAAGCATCAATATGTTGTCTAAAAGAAAGCTCATTATCCACTATAACACCTAAAATTTTGTGGTGAGTAACAAATTCAATATTATTGTAATTTAAATGGACATTGATATCGGAAGCCATATTATTCCTCTTACCAAACATCAAAGCCTTAGTTTTTGACGGATTAATTGTAAGATAATTCGCCGATGCCCAGACCAGGTGACTTTACTGGCGGCAATTTTTGTCGTACTTTTTTGCTATGCCTTCTGAATTTATACAAGTCAATTGGATTGCAGTAATTTTAGTTTTTCATCGTTGCTTTTTCTGTCATTGCTATAAATATTTTTTTATAAAAATAAAACACAAAAGGAAATGCCAGTAGGAGCAATTTTTATACCCTCCACCATTCTATGGGGGGTATATTAGCTTTGTCATTCCGTTTGTAACTCCTCGAAATATTCTCGATAGACCCTACAAAGTAGTACAGGGTGAGATGAAAAAATTGCAACCAACTTCAGACTGCTGTCATTTCTAAGCCACTCGTCCGCGAGCTGTTAAAATTATTCCAGTGATAGCTGTTTATAAGCGTACAAAAGCATTTTGATGAGAACTTTTCAGAAAAAAGTTATTTGTGATGGAATTCAAACCCGTTAGTGTGATTTCTTTATATTTGGCTGGAAAACCACAAGAGGCTATCGTTAGAGCACTCCAGTATTTAAATGTGAATAAATCTTTTGTGTCTTGTTCCATCGGTCGTTACCATGATATTGCAAATATTGAAAAATGAGCTCGGGGTAAAGCCATTGAAGTTGCAAGAAGTGCAAGAACTTACACCGCAACAGAAAGAAAATAGACTCAAAAGAGCTAAAGAGTTGCTTCGCTTGGCCGAAAGTGGTGAACTGCCGAATTTGGTTTTCTCCGATAAGAAAACATTAGTTCTCCAGCAGTTTGTAAACAAAAAAAATGATCGTGTCTACTTGCCACAGAGGTCAGCAGATAATGTGCACCTTCGGTTGCTCTCCGTTCATATTAATCGACCGTGGCATCAGAATAAAGGCTGAATATTACTGCGAAAATATTCTGGAGAGTGTATTAAAGCATTGGGCACGCAAACATTTTCAGCACCAACGCACTCAGCACGCGCCACCCAAGAATGGTTACAAAATCAGGTTCCTCGCTTTATTTCCAGCGTACAATGGCCACCAAAATCTCCGGATACCAATCTGTTGGACTACCGTGTCTGGAGTATTTTGAAAAGAAAAGTTGGCACTAAAAAACACCAAAGTGTTTATCATCTCATGCAAGCGCTTTGCTGGGAATGGGCCAAAATACCGCAGAGCAACATTTGGGCAGGGTGACGGTTTTTATTGGCCGTTTGAATGCCATAATTCCTGCTAAAAGTGACCAATTCGAACAAATCTAAACTTATTCTAAAATTTGATGCTATTTCCGACAGTTTTGCTTTCATTCAATAAAATTTAACAAAAAATGTATATTCTGGATCATCGTGAAACTCCAAGACAATTTAACGATGCCCATCTGTCTGTGTAATTACGCTATATTTCGAACAAATTGAAATTGAATTGAGAAGGTTAAAATTTTGCACACATTTGTATTTTTCCAGTATTAAGGGTTAAGTTCGTAAATGGGCCATGTCGGTCCACGTTTTCGTATAGCCCCCTTATAACGCAAACTCCCGATATTTGGTATTTTGATGATTTTAGCGACATCATTCAGACGAATTGTTTCAAATTTCGTATTCGAAGTTAGTAATGGATACTACAGCTTATGCCTAAAAATTTCGTAAGCAGGTCAACGTCTTCGTATAGCCCCCGTAAAAAGGTTAAGTTATGACCATTTATTTTTGAAAATTTTCAAGGTCGCTCCAAATGGTGGATAGGTGCGTTTTTAATGTTTGCAAACAAAGAATCGTTTCAAATTTCGTATTCAAAGTTAAAAAAAAAACAGCCTGTGAAAAAATTTCGTATGCAGGTCTACGTCTTCATATAGCCAGCCTCCGTAGAGTTTAAGTTATGACCTTATATTTTTGAAAAAATTCAAGGTCGTCGTGGAGAGTAATAAAAGTTCGGCCCGGCTAAATTTAGCTGCTTTTTTATTGTTTTACAAACAAATACTTGCTGTCAGAAAACGTGCCTAAATTCGAACTATGAGTAACCTTCCGGCACAGCCCAGTTACGAAAAACTGTTAGTGGCAGACACGAGTGTTATAAAATCTTGTAATAAATTTTTTTCTTTACCTTGGTTGATTCAATTTTTGTTGTAATACAAAAATTTGCATTTTGTTAATATTTAAATATTGTCAAAGATCAAAGAAGAAGTTATTGTATTTTAATTATTGAAACACCCTAATGACTTGATCTAGTTTTAAGTTCACATTGTGAGTTAATCCCTTGTTGTTGTTTACACATTAAGTACTTTTGTCTTATATTTAGCTATTCGAAATTCTGCATAAATTACTTAAAAGTACGTTCATTGCCAATCAATATTTGTGAAACAGGTTTTAATGTTAGCACTAATTTCTTGTTTGGATGCAAATGATAACAATAATAATATTTAATTAAACATTTAAATCTTCTTCGTCTGGCAAAGAAAAAGATGGCTGGATTTTTCTTGCAGTTGCTATTGACTTCTTGGAAGCAGCACAACGCGGGAAACTAATTTTAGATTTGTTGAAAAATCTAGAATGAAAACGTTAATATAATCGGACCGCATTTTGAATCATTTAAATTTTCGAGTGGTTTAAAAAGTGATCGAACATCAATGAAGCGTGTATATCAATAAAACGTAAAATATATTCAAATAAGAAACCGTTTGACAAAATCGTGGAGAATATATGTAAAATAATGCGTCAAAAATTCTGAATATTTTCCCAGTTGTTGCCATTGAATGTGTTAGATTTTATTTTTCAAATTACGTCGTATTTAACAATACTCAATCATATTAATAAAACGTAAAATATATTCAAAAAAGAAACCGTTTGACAAAATCATGGAGTACATGTGTAAAATAATGCCTCAAAAATTCTGATAAAAAGAAAAAAAAATTTTTTCCAGTTTTTGCCATTGAATGTGTGAGAGTTTATTTTTCAAATTACGTCGTATTAAACAAAACTCGAAAAGCTTCCAAAACGTATACATTTGACTTGTAAATTCACAATTAAATAATATCCCATAGATAATGTAAATCTTATTTGAATATTTCAAATTTCTCTCAGTATGTTAATTTTAAATCGAAAATCTAACTCTACATTTCAAAAAACCGTGAAAGTGTTATTTGCAATTTCTTTGGTAACTCTATTAACCGTGTATAACAATGAAACATATAATATATTCAATGAAATCCGTTGGAAACATTTCAAATTCAATGGCAAACCAAACCATAATAAAATGACGACAACACAACCACTTAAAGTGCCCAACGGATATTTAGTGTGGAGTGAAAACTGTCATATGCCATCGATAGATCCATTTTTACCCGATTACCAGGAGACAATGACAGAATCACTGGCCGCTAGATCTGTTCCCAATTGCACAGACAACGAGCTATTGGTGACGAAAGAGTACGATGTCGCGTTGCAATTGTACACTCTGCACATTAATGAGGCTCCGAGAGATGTTTATCTAAATGATACCGATGATGAAGATATTAATTGCTGCTATACAAGAATTATGCGAGATGGCGAAGAAGGTTATGGGTACGTGCAAGACATCCGATTTACTTGCCCAGAGAATTTAATTATTTGTATTGACTTCCACGCACACACACAGCTGGTGGGAATGTATGCCATTTGGTGAAAATTACCCAGTACCAGGGGAGGTCGACTATGCCTTGATCGAGTGCAATGGGACAATGGAAACACCAACCTTCTATCAGGATGGTATGAGTTTTATTCAGCAACGCGATGACATAAATGAGAGATTTGAAAACAAAAGCAACAACAATTTGAGACAATTCGGCATTTTATTGTTTGGCATCGACACCATGTCACAATTCAATATTCGTCGCATAATGCCGGCAACATTTGCATACATAAACAATCATCAATGGTTCGAGATGTCTGGTTATAATAAGGTAAATCGTTTGTTTTGTTTTCGTGGTGCATTGTTTAGGAATTTACAGTACAGTGGAACAAAAAATACACATTATTGTAGAAAATTAAAATTGTAAAAGAGTTGAATATCAGTGTTGACGTTATACCATTAACAATTGTAAGTTGGAAAGTATCGACTATTTGATACCCTACAAAGTCTGGGAATGAAAATTTCTTTGGGAATGACAGGCCTGGACGAATATTTCACCCTTTAAACTTAGTTATTTCTAAATATCTCATGTCCGCATGTCTGTCTGTTGAAATCACGATACAGTCCACATTATTTGATGTAGAGCTCAAAAATTTGGCAGAACAATTTGCATTGTGTCTAGAATGGTCGGCATAGAAAATGAAATATATTGGTTCACGTTTTGGTGTAGCCCCATATAACGGTAACGGTATATTTTCATGATTTTCGACACATATTTTCACGGGTTTGTCCAATAATTGGTATTTGAAGTTCGTGGTGGGTTCTAGCTTCGATGGCGGAATGTTGCATGTATAGGTCTAGTATTTTAATAGCCCCCATATAACGATATTTCCCGATATTCGGTATTTGGTATATTTTGCCACATTTTCTCACCGATTTGTCTAAAAATTGTTATTTATAGGTTAAAATGGGTTCTAGTTTCGGTGGCGAAACATTGTATATATAGGTCCAGGTTTTGGTATAGCTCCCATATAACGGTACCTACCGATATTCGGTATTTTCATGATTTTTGCCACATTTATCCACAGATTTGTCTAAAAATTGGTATTTGTAGTTCGCAATGGGTTCTAGCTCCAGTGGTAGAATATTGAATATTTTGGTTCCTATAGCGCATATATAACGATACCCACCGATATTCAGTATTTTGATAATCCTAGTTACATTTACCCCCGAAATTGTTTCAAATTTGGTATTTAAGAAGATTTGAAAGATTACAATCCTTGAATTATAATATTGTCTATAGAGGTTCCCGTTTTGGTATGGCCTCCAAAAAACGGCCTCACCCACTTTATGATTTTTTGAAAAGTTTAACAGCATTACCCAAGCGGTCTTACTGGAATTTGTAGTATATAGTAGAACACGTTTGAATCCAGATACTTTTTTTTTAAAAATTTTCTTCTTATACAAAGGGTATTAAAAGTTCGACCCGAACGAAGTTCCCTGCAACTTTGTAACAATTATACTTTTCGAACAATTATAGTCCACATTTCCAAAAGCACTTCTCCCCCTTAATTCCAAATAATTAATTAATAATTTTCTGTAAAAATATAGGACGCATTTCCAAACTACCGCCAAATCTCTTCACCCTATACCAAATATAGTACAATGCAGTACTTTTTGTATACTTTCCGAAACCACCTCCATATTTTCAGGTTACGAATGAACAGCGACCCTAATGCCAAATTTCAGCTTTGAAGCACTATATGTTACCCTAATACCAAATGTAGTATTATTTAGTTCTTTTCGTGCGCCCAATCAATGACTCTCATTCAAAAATTTACTTCTAGCTAATTCTGTTTGTCCGATACAAAATATTCAATTTTTAGTATATTTTAATTCTATGCACCAAGGGTGAATCTCGCGCAAAATTTCAAGATTCTTCAGCCGTGTTGTCTGGGCGTTGATTCTTGAGTCAGTTATTTGACTACTCTTCAAGAAATTGAATGATATCGATATTTTTTGAATACCAATATCTATATAAGCATAAACCGATATTGAACAGGTTTTATTGGAACTACAGGGTGAGATAAAAAACTGCAGCAAAGTTAAACCCATATTTTTTTAATTTTATTGAATGGAATTTTGGAATAAGATTAGATTTGTTCGAATTGGTCACCTTTGACACGAATTATGGCCTTCAAACGGCCAATGAAACCGCCACACACTGCCCGAATGTTGTTCTGCGGTATTTTGGCCCATTCCCGGCGAAGCGCTTGCTTGAGGTGATCGACACTTTGGTATTTTTTAGTTTCAACCTTGCTTTCCAAGATACTCCAGAAAGAATAGTCCAACGGATTGGTATCCGGAGATTTTGGTGAACATTGTGCACTGGAAATGAAGCGAGGAACCTTATTTTGTAACCATTCTAGGGTGGCGCGTCCTGAGTGCGTTTGTGCTGAGTCCTGTGGGAATGTCCAAGGTCTGCAGCAAATGTAAATGTTTGTGTGCCCAAGGCTTTAATACACCCTCTAGAATATTTTCGTGATAATATTCGACTTTTATTCTGATGCTACGGTCGATTAATAAGAGCGGAGAGCAACCATCGGCTGTTATGGCAGCCCACACCATCACCATGGCCGGCGCTTGAGTTCTGGTGGCCAACCGAAGGTGTACATTTTCAGCTGACCTCTTTGGCAAGTAGACACAATCATTTTGTTTGTTTACAAACTGCTGGACAACGAATGTTTTCTCATCGGAGAAAACCTAATTCGGCAGTTCACCACTTTCGGCCAAGCGAAGCAACTCTTTAGCTCTTTTTTCCGGAAAATTCTCACTAAAATGCTTTTGTACGCTTGTAAACAATATAATGAGCTGTCACTGGAATAATTTTTACAGCTGTCGGACGAGTGACATAGAAATGACATCAGTCTGAAGTTGGTTGCAGTTTTTTCAATTCACCCTGTAGTGTACTTATATTTTCTGCAGAGGGTGGTTTATATCCCCGAGAAAATTAAGTATCAAGTAACAGATAATTTTGGTTGCAAAATGCGTCTAAAATCTGTGCAATTTTTTAAATGCCAACACTGTTCTAGTTCTTCAAATCTGTAGATACTTTCATATGAGATCTCTTATAAGTAGATTAGATATATTGAATCCTTTGATAATAAAATGCTTGCCACTGAGAACCCTTGTTATGGCAGGATCGAAAATCAGCTAATCCGATGACCATAGACATAAATTAAACCGTGTTGACTTGTTTTAAAGCTCTGCATAAAATAATGTAGGATCTACATCAAGATTTCAACAGATCAGTAACTTCTTTATGAGAACCCTTTTCCACATACAGTGCACTCCAAAACTGTTCCTCTCTAATTTCAATATATTAACTTGTATTTTCTCGATTATTTTCAGATTGACGACAACACATTTCCCAACATTATGGCCATATTTACAGGTATGAATTTGGAAACTGCGCAGGAACGTTGCCACTATGATGAAGAAGGTGGTCTGGACAATTGTACGACACTTTTCAATTGGTTCAAAGAACAGGATTTTGCCACCGCCTATTCGGAAGATGCTTGTTGGATGAGCACATTCGACTATTTAAAACCGGGATTTATGGAACCGCCAACGGATTATTACCAGCGTCCGTTGCTTTTGGCCATCGAGGAGAAGTTGCAAGCCCAAGAATTGTCCGGTCTGAAATATTGCATTGGTCCACGAAGATATGGCGAATATGTCTATGACTTTGGTGTGGAATTTGCCGAACGATATTTGGGGAAATCCATCTTTGGTCTCTTCTGGACAAATTCGTTCAGTCACAATGATTGGATTGATCCCGCCACAATGGACGAACGAATGGTTGAATATTTCAAATACATGGACAAGTCGGGAATTTTCGATAACAACATTGTCATATTCTTTAGTGATCATGGTGCTCGTTGGGGCTTTTTGAGGGGGCAGAAAGAGGGCTATGTTGAAGAACGGTTGCCAATGTTTTTTATGCGGGTGCCACAATGGTTTCAAACACAGCATCCGGACATTGTCGAGGCACTGAGATTGAATAAGAATCGGTTAACCAGCCCCTACGACGTTCATGTTACGCTGAAACACTTGGCCCTATTGTCTCTGGGTAGAAACGGAACAATAGAACTGCCCAGTAGTTGTCCCACCTGTCAGACACTTCTGCAACCTGTCCCCCACAATCGCACATGTTCCATGGCGGGCATTGAGGATCATTGGTGTACGTGTATACCATTCGAAAGTACCGATAAAGATTCCGATGAAATGAAATCTATTGCCAATTTAGTTATAGAAAAAATGAATAAGTATCTTCAGGATAGCGTCTATGCCATGCACTGTGTATCCTTGACGTTGGATCACATCATTGAGTCGAATCTGAAATTGGATTTACACACGGATGTTCATAAAAATCGAATACAGGAATATCGTATAAATTTCGTTGTAGATCCCAATGAGGCGGAATTTGAGGCCACCTTTTTGTATGACACAAAAACGAAGGCGGTTCTTGTCGATGTCACGGAAATCAGTCGCTTGAATCGTTATGCCGAGGATTCGACATGTGTAGACGATAATATTGTTAAGAAGTATTGTATATGTAGTGATAATGTAAGAGAGAAGGCTGATGATTGAGGTTTCTTTGAGCAAACGTGTTTTATGTTTGCCACGAAATCAATAAATACAGTTTTAAGAAAAGTTGCCAAAGTTTTTTGGCAAAGAAACTTCTTAAATAACATCAGATTTTTTGTTTTTTTATACCCTCCACCATACTATGGAGGGTATATTAATTTTGTCATTCCGTTTGTAACTCCTCGAAATATTCATGTCAGACCCAACAAAGTATATATATTCTTGATCAGCGTAAAATTCTAAGACGATTTAGCCATGTCCGTCTGTCTGTCTGTGTGTCTGTCTGTCTGTCTGTCTGTCTGTTGTAATCACGCTATCTTTCGAACAAATTGAGATAGAAGGCTAAAATTTTGCACACATGTATTTTTTCCCAGTAGGCAGGTTAAGTTCGTAAATGGGCCATGTAGGTCCAAGTTATCATATAGCCCCCATATAACGGTACCTCCCGATATTCGGTTTTTTGATGATTTTAGCGACATTATTCACCGGAATTATTTCAAATTTGGCATTTGAAGTTTGCAATGGATGCTACAGCCTAAGACAGAAAAGTATCTGTGCAGGTCCACGTCTTCCTGTAGCCCCCATATAACGGTACCCCACATATTCGGTATTTTGACGATTTTAGCTACATTATAAACAGATTTTTCTTCAAGTTTCGCATTTAAATATTGTAATAATTTATGACAAAAGTTGCCTATGCAGGCCCACGTCGTCGTATAAACATTCGGTATTTTTAAGATTTTAACAGAATTTTTAACGGGTTTTATTTTTTGGAAATTGCCAAATTTGTACCAAATGGTGGAGGGTATTAAAAGTTCGGCCCGGCCGAACTTACAGCTTTTTTACTTGTTTTTTTTTTTTTTTTTTGCAAAAATGTCGTACAAAATCATTGATCTCATGGTATGGAGCCTTGAAGAATCCTTTGAAATATTCGACGACGATTTATATAGACTGGAATCGTAATCAATCATTAATTGAAAATGTAATTTTGACATCCATATCAATTGAAATTCATAGAAAAGATGATACACGGAAGTCCTTAAAAATCCCATCTCCGGTTCAAAGTTTTATAAAGATATTCGGATGCACATTTTTTTTTAATTATACCTTTCTACAAAAACGAGATAATTTATATATCCAATTGTCTTATTTCTGTAGAAATATTGTGGTATGAGAAGTTTGGGAAAATTTGGTTCTTTTTTACGCTTTATCCATTGTTGACCTTTAAGGGGGGAGGTACCGGAAAAAGTTGACTTATAGCATCCTTTTTTAGGCTTGAAGAAATCTGAACTAGTTTTACAGAGCCGCACCAATACAAATAAGTAAAAAAGCAGCTAAGTTCGGTCGGGCCGAACTATTTATACCCTCCACCATTCGGAAGGAAAAAAAATCCGTTGAAAAATGCCGCTAAAAAAACTTTATATCGGCGCTATACGAAGACGTGGTCTTGGATAAGTAATTTTTTGTCATAGGCTGTAGTAACGATTCCGAACTTCAAATACGAAATTAGAAACAATTCCGGTGAAAAATGTCGGTAATATCATCAAAATACCGAATAAAGGGAGGTACTGTTGTATGGGGGCTATACTAAGAGAAGTTGTAATACCCATTACGAACATCAAATACGAAATTTGACGCAATTCCGGTGAATAATCCTGGAAATACCGAATATCTAGCTAGCTTTATATGGGTGTTATACTACAACTTTGACTTATATAGACAATTCTCTTCCAGGGGTAAAGTACTGAGAGGGAACTCCTCGTGTGGATTTTCAGACATTGAAAAATGGGCTAAAATAATCAAAATCCCGAATATCATTGTGTGGGGACTATACGATATCGTGACCTATGTAGACCATTCTTTTTCAGGACGTAAAGTAATCACGAAGAACTGCTTTTGTAAAATTTAAGAAAATTCCATTGAAAAATGAAGTTAAAATCATCAAAATACCGAATATCGGGGGTATCGTTATGTGGGAGCAGAAATGATTCGAAAAGTTGAAGGCCATAATTCGTGCCAAAGGTGACCAATTCAAACAAAACTAAACTTATTCTAAATTTTGATGATATTTCCTACATTTTTTGCTTTCATTCAATAAAATTATAAAAAAATGTAAAAATTATATCTGTATATATATCTGACAACCCCTTCTGTTTCCTCACCCACAAAGGGTCACAATTTCCATTACTTATTATCTGTCATAACTTGCGAAACAAGTCGGCGAATATATACAACTTGCTACTTTAGGTCAGGTACGAATTAGACAATTTTGGCCAACTGCTTCGGAACCACCCCATAAAGGGTCAACAGTTAGAATAATCATAACTCAAGGCTAGGGATATACATCTGGCGGCAAACCCGACTGATACTATTTAACTTGTTTTTTCTCCGCTCCGGTTCTTTTTAGTTTACTTGAATTTTTACTTGAGTTCCACGTTTCCTACTCATCTGGAACGTCTCAGTGTTATAGATCATTGTTGGCATGTTTGTTCGGAATACCGTAGTATTTTGTTGCTGCAAAATAGTTGGACTTATTCCCAGTATTGTTGTTTTTATAAAAAACAACGTTTGTTTTTTAGTGGAGAACGATGGTAATGTTAGGCGGTAAGGCTGGGAATACCATCCTCATCCACGACTTTTGCCTGGGATATTCTTTAACTTTAATTTCTTTTAAGTTTTTATTCTAGCTTTGGCCCTATAGTCTATACCTTATATTTTTAATTTATAAAATTCCAGGCGAAAATCAATGTAAGTATAATTTCCTTCCCCCTTGTTCAGGGTATACCAATTTCTTTTACATGCGCTTCTGTTTGACATTTCAAGTTAATTTTTCATTTCAATTTAGGGAAAAACGATTAGCGAAGAAATAATGAAAATGAAATAAATATTCATAATTGTTGTTTTCGGTCGTGTGCGCTGGTTTTTTTCTTTCGATTTTTTTTTCTTTTATCGCACAAAATGTATTTTCATCAAAACCACAAAAAAATCCGACAAAAGCCTATAATTGCAATATTCTTCTACATCTTGTGCTGTGCCAATTTCTAGTAGAACAGACTGACGGACAGACAGACACATAGGCAGGCACACTGTTCGTATAAAACACTGACAACAGCTAGAAAAGAACAACGACCACGAAAAAAAAAACAATGTGTGAAATTGTTTGCAAACGGCTTTGAAATATTGTGATTTCGTCTTCTGTATATGAGCGAAAAAGATGCTGCTAGCCTCCTCTCCTGTCTTGCAATGTGGCCAGCATCACAATCATCAGCAGCAGAAACACAATGAGGCTAGATCGCCACCAACAGTCGCTGCGATAATGAAACACAGCAATGGAATGGAGCGGAGAGTACGGGCGGTGGAAAATTAAATGAAAATTTTTATAAACATTTGCAAACCACTATAGTGGAAATTGCTCAGCGGACGACTGACTGACTGACTGGCAGCCTCACAGGCTGGCTGCATGCAGCAAATATCCGAGTTTTTACAGTATTTTTCGAAAAAAAAGCGCACACACACACAATAAAAAAAATCAGAAATGGAACACTCATTTCAGTTTATGAGGATGGCAAACAACAACAATAATGTGTTTTTGGAACCATTTAATAGAAACTGTAAATGCGTTAAACTACACTATTAAATATTGGAATTTTATACCCTCCACCTTGGAAAGAAGGGTATATTCAATTTGTCATTCCGTTTGTAACACCTCGAAATATACATTTTAGAACCCACAAATTATATATATTCTTCTGTCTGCCTCTCCGTCTTCGGAAATCAATCTAGCTTCCGAACAAATTGAAGTAGGTTGATAACATTTTACTTAGATGTGTGTTTGGTCTGCAGGACTTTTGGTATTGAAAATAGGCTATATATGTCCACGTTTAGGTATAGCATCCCTATATCAGTACCTCCCTATAATCAGATTTTGCTAATTTTAGGTACACTTCGTAATGGATACTACAGCCTGTGATATAAAATTATATATTCAGGTCCACGTCTTCGTATGGACCCCCTCCCCCATATCGGTACCACCCTATATTAGGTATTTCGATGATTTTGGCTACAATTATTCATCGAAATTGTCTATGCAGGTACAGGGTTTCGTATAGCCCCGTATGACGATATTTTTATATTTTTGCGACATTATTCACCGGAAATGTTTCAAGTTTCATTGTGCGCTGGAAATGAAGCGAGAAACCTCATTTTTTAACCATTCTTGGGTGGCGCGTGCTAAGTGCGATGGTGCTGAGTCCTGTTGGGATGTCCAAGTTCTGAGGCAAAAATGTTTGCGTGCCCAAGGCTTTATGCACCCTCCAAAATATATTTACGCGATAATATTCGGCATTTATTCTGATGCCATGGTCAATCGATAGGAGCAGAGAGAAACCCTTGAATTCCATCACGAATAGCTTCTGAACTATTTTTCACACATTTTTAGGCAGGTTTTAATTTTTATAAGAATTTCCTAGACATACTTAATCCAGTACTTTTGGGGCCAATATAAATTTCGACAAATCTGCGATATTAAAAAGCAATTTTAATTGGTTTTAATTACTTTGTGTCTATTGCATTTAAATTAGCTAAAAAAGACAATAAAACCAGATCAACGATTACAACGAAAATTCAAATTGAATTGTAGTGAAGATATCCGAGATGATTTTCGAATTTGAAATCTTTTTAAATAACTGGTGAATGACATGCAAATGCATTTTTCATAAATTTATTAATGTATGTAATTAAATGTAGAATTCAAAAAATTAATGATAATTGTATGAGTAATGAAAAAATGGGAGAAAAAAACACAACAGATTCCTTAAATTTGAAATGCTAATAAAGCTTTCGCCTTGAATCGTTTTCCTAGAGCTGGGGGAACTTTTTCAAAAAAGAGAGATTTAAGACAGAATTTTTGAAAGTTCTTTAACTGAGAGTTTGTAAGTTCTCGATAGGTTATTGATTATACAAAGTGAGATTAAAAAAATTGCAACCAACTTCAGACTGCTGTCATTTCTAAGACATTCGTCCGACAGCTGTTAAAATTATTCTAGTAACAGCTCATTATATTGTTTACAAGCGTACAAATGCATTTTGCTGAGAATTTTCCAGAAAAAAAGTTATTTGTGATGGCATTCAGGCGTGATAGTGGCTATCGCAACTAAATAATATTTTGTGTCTCGTACCATCGCTCGTTACCGTGATACTGGTAGCGTAGCCCGACTTCAAGGAAGTGGACGGGAGAAAACAGAACTAAAGAGTTACTTCGCTTGGCCGAAAGTGATCGTGTTTACTTGCAAAGAGGTCAGCTGAAAATGTGCACCTTCGGTTGGCCACCAGAACTCAAGCGACGGCCATGGTGAAGTTGTGGGCAGCCATAACAGCCGATGGTCGCTCTCTTCCCGTATTAATCGAACCTGGCATCAGAATAAATGCCGAATATTATCGCGAAAATATTCTGGAGGGTGTATTAAAGCATTGGGCAGGCAAACATTTTGGGCACAGACCATGGAAATTCCAACAGGACTCAGCACCATCCCACTCAGCACGCGCCACCCAAGAATGGTTACAAAATGAGATTCCTCGCCTCATTTCCAGCGCACAATGGCCACCAAAATCTCCGGATACCAAACCGTTGGACTATTGTGTCTGGAGTATTTTAGAAAGCAAGTTTGGCACTAAAATATATCAAAGTGTCGATCACCTCAAGCAAGCGCTTCGCCGGAAATGGGCTAAAATACCGCAGAGCAACATTCGGGCAGCGTGTGACGGTTTCATTGGCCGTTTGAAGGCCATAATTCGTGCCAAATGTGACCAATTCGAACAAATCTAAACATATTCTAAAATTTGACTTTTTTGCAGTTTTTTAATCTCACCCTGTTATTATTTTTCTTGAAATTAGGTGCATTTGCTATTAGGCCATAACTTCATCTTATATATTTTTCCTCCCAAAAAGATCAACGGACCTTCAAACGAAATTTGTTTTGCTCAACATTAAAATGTTTTATTACAAAGCAGTTACAAGTTAAAATTGCTCCAAAAATGTCCTTCTTTAATGACATTTAAGCTGGAACCGAGTATTATTGTGCTTCTAATCCTTATTTCAAATTAAGAATTTCAACAATTTTCTGGCGGTGCATAAATTTTCTTTTTATATAAAATTTATTTTTTATTTTGAATATATTTTGGAAAAACGAATTTTTGTTTGTTTCGGATTGTAAACTACGGAGGAGGTAAACAGGCAGGCAGGCAGGCAGGCAGCAGGCTATAAGGTGGTATAATGTATTTTATGGATTTTTTTGATTGTGTTGTGTTTTGAACAACAACTAGAAGTGATACCAACACTCGGTGATGATGCCTGATGCGACGAAGCGAAGTTTATTACTGTTCTATGTGTGGGACGAAGTCGCCACGGCGTACATACTCACGCACATAAATCGCTGGTACATATTGTTTAGATGGACACCAACATTCATATATAGTAGAGTAGCAAGTGAGTGCGTCGACGTCTGTTGGCTTTATTGTCGTTCTCGTCAACATCGCTGGCTAAAAAATTTTGGAAGTATTGTTGCCGAAAGTCAACATCAGTCAGAGCCCAAACTCAGACCGTTAAGGACGTATCTTATCGAAAGTTTATTGTCTGCTTGATTTCCTGTGAATCTCACATAAAGACCCCAAAATGAGTTCCACAATTGTGAGTAGTGAAATAAATAAACGAAACGAAAACAAGTGTAAATAAAAAAACATATTTTTTTTGAATTTTCCAATTTAAAACAGGATGAAGATCTTACACCCGAGCAAATTGCTGGTAAGTTGGAGGATAAAGAATTCTGTGGTGTGAAACAAAAAATATAATAATTGTTTTCCTTTTGTACAGTTTTGCAAAAGGCTTTCAACAGCTTCGATAGCCAAAAGAGCGGCAGCATTTCCACTGAATTGGTGGCCGACATCTTGCGTTTGATGGGTCAACCTTTTGATAAGAAAATCCTTGAAGAACTGATTGAAGAAGTCGATGAAGACAGTAAGTGATAAGGAAGAAAATTTACCCAAGAGAAATGCGTAATAATATTTGTTATTTTCATTTAGAATCCGGCCGCTTGGAATTCGAAGAGTTCGTTCAATTGGCAGCCAAATTCATTGTTGAGGAAGATGCTGAAGCCATGCAAAAGGAGTTGCGTGAAGCCTTCCGTTTGTATGACAAACAAGGCAATGGTTACATTCCCACCACCTGCCTTAGAGAAATTCTCAAGGAATTGGACGATGCCCTGACCGAACAAGAATTGGACATTATGATTGAAGAAATCGATTCCGATCGCTCTGGCACCGTTGATTTTGATGGTAAGTTGAAAATACAAATTTTGTGAACTAAATTTCAAACTTTTAGCTAAAGCAGGTGTATTGTTTTTAAAAAGCTACGTTTCTAGTTTATGGGAAAGCCAACCGGCGTTGGCGATGAAATGCCTTATAAAATGCAAATTTTGCATGCCACTCAGTCATAAAATAGTAACAAACAATACAAAATATTTCTCGCAAGGCAAATTGCATTAAATCTATTATATTTTTGCATTGCAATGCAATTAGAATTGAGCGGTGTACAAGAGCGATGTTCAAAACGTGATATTCGAGCAGTAAACTAGAAATGAGTAAAATATTAAAAGTATTTTTTGCGAACAATATAATGATTATGAGAACAGCTACTCTAAATGCAGGGTGAGGTAAAAAGAACTACAACAAAGTCAAGTTCCATAATTTTTCAATTTTTTTTTTAAATTTTATGAATGAAAGAAAACATGTCGGAAATAGCATCAAATTTAAGAATATGTTTAAATTTGATCGAATTGGTCTCCTTTGGCACAAATTATGACCGGACAATGAAACCGTCACACATTACCCGAATGTTGCTCTGCGGTATTATGACCCATTCCCGGCGAAGTGCCAACCTTGCTTTCCAAAATACTCCAGACACAATAGTCCAACGGATTGGTATCCGGAGATTTTAATGGCCAGATATTCGGCCAAAATGTTTGCGTGCCCAAGGCTTTAATACAGCCTCCATAATATTTTCGCGATGATATTCGACATTTATGCTGATGCCACGGTCGATTAATACGAGCGGAGAGCGACCATCGGCTGTTATGGCGACCCACACCATCCCCATGGCCGACGCTTGAGTTCTGGTGGCTAACCGAAGGTGCACAGCTGACCTCTTTGGCAAGTAAACACGATCATTTTGTTTGTTTACAAACTGCTGGACAACGAATGTTTTCTCATCGGAGAAAACCTAATTCGGCAGTTCACCACTTTCGGCCAAGTGAAGCAACACTTTAGCTCTTTTGAGTCTATTTTCATTCTGTTGCGGTGTTCCGTCCACTTTCTTGACTTCGTGCTACGCTATCAGTATCACAGTAACGAGCGATGGTACGAGACACAAAAAGATTTATTCACAGCCAAATACAAAGAAATCACAATATCACGTTTGAATTCCATCACGAAGAACTCTTTTTTGTAAACAATATAATATATAACACTACAATATAATGAGCTGTCACTGGAATAATTTTAACAGCTATCGGGCTAGTGGCTTAGAAATGACAGCAGTTTGAATGAATAAAAATGTGCTAACTTTGGGCCAAATTGGATATTTCCTTCTAAATCTACAGTCAGCCAGTCAGATAGACATACGGACATAGGGGCAGAGCTAACCATAGCACAGATTTTCTCGAAGAGTGAGAGTTTTGATTTTGCAAAACAGCGCTCCCGAGTTTCTCCTGTTTGGAAAATTAGAAAATCGCTAAAAATAGAGCAAAATTTTGCTCTAAGAGTTAAAGTGAGAGGAAATAAGTAAAAAAGCAACTAAGTTCGGTCGAACTTTTTATACCCTATACCATTCGGATGGAACTTGAAAAATTAAAAAAAAAACCCATCGAAAAATACTGCTCAATTAAAAACCTTTATATGGAGGCCATAGGTTATAATGCCCCGAAAATCCTGGAAATACCGAATAACTCGGATTAGCTTTATATGGGTGCTACAATAAACCGTAGACATGTATCTTCCAGGGGGGGGGGTAAAGTACTCAAAGGGAACTAATTTTGTTGATTTTCAGACTATTCCATTTAAAATGTGGCTAAAATCATCAAAATACCGAATATCGGGAGGTACAATTATATAGAGGGAAAATACGATATCGTGGAGCTATATAGACAATTTTTTTCAGTGGGAAAGTAGTCACGAAGAATTTTAGACAATTCCATTGAAAATTTAATTAAAATCATTAAAATATCGAATATCGAGGGTACCGTTATGTGGGGGATATACGATGTCGTGGATCGATATCTTCGAACTTGACCTGCCTGCAGACAAAAGACAGGTCATTGCAAAATTTTAGCTTGCTATCTCTATTCGTTTTGACTCTAGCGTGATTAAAACAGAGGTACAGATGTACGGAGGGACGAGGTTAAATCTTCTTAGAATTATACGCTTATCAAGAATATATATACTTTGTTGGGTCTAAAATTATTATTTCGATGAGTTACAAACGGAATGACTAACTTAATTTACCATCAATACTATGTATGGTGGAGGGTATAAAAATTACTTTGTTTGCCGATTTGTTTCTGCATGCACCGGTTTTGATGTTGCTGTGTACTGTAGAAGAGGGGGGGGGGGGGGGGGGGGGAGGGAATACATATACATAGAAATACAATAAAATCTGCTCGATTTCACATGAATTTTGCTCCCACTCAAAAAACGAGGAAAATATGTTCACCTCTATTCGAGCGACAAATTGATTTTGCTTCATTTTTTCTCTTCTCCCAGGAACTCTCCTGCTCCAATACGAGTGAGTTATGTTTTCAAGTTTATTTATTCAAGTTCGAGCGAGTTATCTGTAGGTTTGAAGGTTACCGACTTGAAATGTTCTAAAATGGATATCCTCCAACAAGTCATAGTCCTAAAGTGAAAAAAATCTCTTAAACAGGTCCTTCTGAAGGAGATTTAAGATTTTTTTTTAACTTTAGGGTTTTTTTTACTTTTTTACTTCTGATGGAGATTTAAGGAATGAAAGCATTCCACAGTAAATATGACATTAGAACTATCAAATCCCAAACTGAAAAATCAAAAAATTGGATAACGTCTCTTTGGGGAAAATCAACTCAAGAAAAAAATTTTATATGTGTACTAAAAATTCTTAAAAGAAAAATATACAAAAAAAAAATTATAACAATAAAATCAGAAAAAAAATAAATTTTGAATCACTGTGCCAAGAATGTGACTTTTGTTTATTTTTTTAATTGTACACATCATTTCGTATTTTTTATGCATTTTCTCTGATCTGTATAATATACAGGTGGATTTATTAAAAAACCAAAGGCTAATAAACATTTAGATTTTATTTTTAATTGTTTTGTAGCTGATTCCCATGGGGGTAACACAAATAAAAAACAACCATACATATCTCCAAAAACACACATCTACAACAGATGTGATTCGCATTTGCACTCTAAAAACAAATAAACACAAACTGCTAGAATCCATAGCCAGGGAGTATATCTAAAATTCGAAATCATCAAAATCAAGAAAAACAACGATTATTAAACAAATTAATGATCCTTTTGACAAATATAATGGTTTTCGGTATTTGTAGAAAGGCCAAGCACATAACAATAATGTAGTTCCGCTGAACATGAATAAAAATGTCTCATTAAATTTTGAAAAAAAAAAATATATTTTTATTAGATTTTATATACATTCCCAACACACATAATTCATTTCTATGAACCATTTTCCAATCTATTTACAGAATTCATGGAGATGATGACTGGCGAATAAGCTGAACACCTACATACCAAACAACCAACCAACCCACCCACCCATCAAAACAATCTAGCAAACACACAAACTAACATCTTCTACAAACATACAGAACACCTGTATTATTTAGCTTTTTCTATTCGGAATTAAAAGTTTGTTGTTGATCAGTGCTGCAGTCCATGGTGTCGTCGTCGTGTTATGTTTCAAAGACATACGTAAATTGGATGGATGATGGATAAATGCTGGATCGACCATCACCAGCAATATCGCTTTCAGTCAGTCCTCTTTTTTGTGTTTTTTAAATATTTTGCAGTTTTCAAATATGAAATTATGCATTGTTAGGATTTTTGATACTAAAATATAATAACAAAACCAAAGAACTTAAAATATTCAAGCCATTGAAGCCTATGTGAAAAGTTGTACCATTAACCAACCATCATACGTTATTTCATATTTTGTCATTTTTTTTATAAAATAAATTTAAAAAGGAAACAAAACAACTAGTAATGATTATTTTCATGAGTAACACAAAGGTAAATACAAATACAAATGTGGTGTAAAATGTGAAACAGAGTGAACTTCCATTGAAAATGGGTGATTGGACTAAATAATAAGCACATTAAAATTCGTTAAAAATTCTGTTAACATCTTAAAAATACCGAATGTAGCCGCTATATTAGGGTCTATACGATGATGTGGACCTGCAAATGTGAAACTTGAAAGAAATCGGTGAATAATGTATATAAAATCAGCAAAATATGGAATATAGGGAGGTACCATTATATGGGGGCTATACCAAAACGTGGACCTGCACAGACAATTTTCTGTCATAGGCTGTAGTATCCCTTTCGAACTCCAAATACCAAATTTGAAACAATTCCGGTTAATAATGTAGCTAAAATAATCAAAATACCGAATATAGGGAGGTACGATTATATGGGGCTATACCAAAACGTGGACCTGCACAGACAATTTTCTTTCATAAGCTGTAGTATCTATTAGGAACTTCAAATACTAAATTTGAAACAATTCCGATGAATAATGTCTCTAAAATCTTCAAAATGCCGAATATAGGGAGGTACCATTATATGGGGGCTATACCAAAACGTGGAACTGCACAGACAATTCTCTGTCACAGGTTGTAGTAGCCATTACGAACTTCAAATACCAAATTTGAAACAGTTTCGGTGTATAATGTCGCTAAAATCACCAAAATATCGAAAATAGGGAGGTACCATTATATGGGGGCTATACCAAAACGTGGACCTATATGCCACATTTGAGTAAAATTTTATCAATCGACTTTATTTCGTTCGGAAGCTAAAGTTATTTCCACAGACGGGTAGAAGGACACACGGACGGATTTTGCTTAGTCGACATAGATTTTTATTAGGATCAAGAATATATATACTTTTTGGGGTCTAAAATGTATATTTCGAGGAATGACAAACTTAATACACACTCCATACAATGCTGGAGGGTATAAAAACTATTGTTCTGGCCGAGCCTTTGATATTCTCCACCATGCGAAAACTAATCGGTTATCCTCAAAATCTCTACTACTACTATGATCATGAATATACATCCTTCATGGGGTCTCCGCCGCATATTTCGAGGTTTTGCTAACAGAATGAAAAATTCCGTATAATCTCAATTTTTTGTGTTCCATGTACTATGTCTGATTTTCTTTTTCAAATACTTCACAAAATAACTGCCAAGATTTCCGTTTCTAGGGGAATTTTTTAGTTGTCCTAATTCAAAATCACACTAATTAACACATTTCATGTCGTAAGAAGTTCGTCAGCAAAAAGCAGCAAGTAATAATAAAATTATCTTTCTTCCTCAAATTTTAGCATATTTTTAGGCGAATAATTTACTCATTTGCAATTTAACCTGTAAATAAATTATGGTGCTAATTATATTTAAATTAACAGACGGCGTGGCGTGTTGGGGATTTTTTTGCCAGAATAAGTCAAAAGCTTATGGCCGAAAAACACGTGTGCACCGAATGGTGTAGATTTGTAGCTGCATCAGCAAAATTAAGCCACAATAGCAGATATGATTTCAGCAAAACCATGAAGGGCATATATCAACAAATGACTTACTTTAATAAAAATATTATATTTCGAATGGCAGTTTCAAATGAGAAGATGATATCCATGAGAACGTCATACAATATTTTCTATTCCCAAAAAATAAATAAAGTACGTATGATGTAATATATATAGGAGAACTTACAGTTTGGTGTAGTTTATATAGGACGGACCATCATAAAAGCTATGCAATTATCTGATTTGAATTATCTGATCTGATGTTTCCAAGAGCATAACTTGGAGCATGCCCTCCTCCTTTCACCATGAGGTAAAGAAAACATAAATACACGCCTAGGCGGGGGAGTTTTATCCACCTAATTACACTGATCATCTGGGCTCCGAGTCAATATTTCTGGGATATAAGAGTAGAAAGAAAGCAAGTCGAATGATATCAGAAACAAGTAAAAGCAAACAAATAGTTCGCCCGGCGAACTTTTATTACCAAATTTGAAACAATTTTGTGGGTAAATGTAATTAGGATTATCAAAATACCGAATATCGGTGAGTATCGTTTTATGTTCGCTATAGGAAAAGGTGGACCTAAATTTGTGTTCTGCCGCCGGAGCTAGAACCCATTACGAACTACAAATACCAATTTTTGGACAAATCAGTGGAAAAATGTGGAAAAAAATCATCAACAAAACGAATATTGGGAGGTATGGTTACATTGGGGCTATACCAAAACTTGGGCCTATATATATCATGTTCCGCCAATGGAGCTGGAACCCATTTCGAACTACAAATGCCAATTCTTAGACAAATCCGTGGGAAAATGTGTCAAAAATCATTAAAATAGGGAATATCGGGAGGTACCGTTATATGAGGGAAATAAAAAACGTGGATCTAAACATATAATGTTTCGCCATTATGACCTACAAATACCAATTCTTAGACAAATCCGTGGAAAAATGTGGCAAAATTCATTAAAATACCGAATATCGGGAAGTACCATTTTATGAGGGCTATACTAAAACTTGGACCTATACATAAAATGTTGCGCCACCGGAGCAAGAACCAATCATGACCAACAAATTCCAATTTTTAGACATATTCGCGAGAAAAAATGTGGCAAAAATCATCAAAATACCAAATATCAGGAGGTACCGTTGTATGGGGGCTATACCAAAACGTGGACGTATACATAAAATGTTTCGCTAGAACCCATTATGACCTACAAATACCAATTTTTAGACAAATCCGTGGAAAAAATGTGGCGAAAATCATCAAAATACCGAATATTGAAAGGTACCGTAATATGGAGGCTATTCCAAAATGTGGACCGATATATCTCATTTTCAATACCAACTATCCTAGACACAATACAAATTATTTTGCCAAAATTTTAAGCTCTACGTCAAATAATGTGGGCTGCATAGTGATTTCAACAGAGAGAATCTGATTATGAATATATATACTTTATGGGGTCGTAGAGGGTCACTTGTCACCAAACCAGAAACTATTAAAAAAACTGGAAATACCTGTAGTATGTAAAAAAATCTAATGAAAAAAATTCTTAAAAAGGTATTTGGAACCTAAAACGTAGTGTAACATTTTCAGAGAGCATTTGATTTTAAAACAAATATATTGATATTTTGTGTTTGTAATAGTAAAATAGGGTAAACTTTAGTCTGACTATAACTTCAGATCTTAAAAAGTTAATTGTCACATGAAAAAATAGAAAACATATATCAATATCGACAAAAGAAGTTAAAGCAAATTTCAACAAAAAAAAAAAACTTAAATTATTAAGTGTTAAAAAGAAAAAATTGTGTTTTTTTTAACCCAGGCCGAATCTTTTATACCCTTCAAACGCAAAAAAAAATAACGAAAACGAGGATTATAAAATATCTACATACAGAACCTACATTTTTCAATCATAAACTAGCACGGTGGGATTCTTGAGTGGTTCTAGTACGAAGCTAGTTCAAACTATAGTTAGAATAACTAAAAATAATGTACACTAATTATTATTTCGCTTTGTCGCAAAAAGTACGGCAAACATAATATGCTCTCAATACCACACGTCATGTGTAGGGTTTATATAAACACAAATGTGAAAAATATCTACATACATATACCTCTTCCCTCCCGCACTCTACCGGACGACATATCATGCTTGAAAAAGCACACTTTTTACTATCTAATCCAGCAAAGTTATTGATTAGAGTTATTAATTAAACAAAATATTAACGGGGTTTTCGATAATTTGCACTTTCTCTCGGTGACATCAAAATATATTTTTTAATCTACAAAAACTTTTTAGGAAACCGCCAACAAAAGATTGAAATATACTAAGAAGGACCGCTTCTGTCGAGGGGAAATAATAAATAAACAATACAACATATTATGAAATTGCCAAATAAAAAATGCTTTGTGGTCATTGGGAACAGAGCAGCAAACCACTAAGTATAATGAAAAAAATTCCCCAATATATTAAACAAAGTAATTCTTTCATATCTTAATGAATTTATGGCAAACATTTGGAAGGTTAAATGTCCAAAACAACAACAATAACAGCAGAAATCAACAAAAGATGTTTTGACAGAAATCTGAGTAATAAACAAATTTGTTGACCTATAATATCCAATTGATAGTTGTCGCCCGGTCTTACGGACATTGTTCATTGTTCTGGCGGCAGATGTGTACTGTTTTTCATTCAGTCGTCATTTGTCACAATTTCTTATTAACACATTTTGCCCACGAATATTTGCTCTCTTTTTTAACATTGGAATTTTTTCGGCCGCATGACATCGATTTAAAATTATGTAGACATTTAGAAAAGATATTCTTTTTGGGTCCGAACAGTGTTTCCAATCAGCGTTTATGTAGTTTTGTCCATGTGTTATCCCTTCAGTTTGCATGTATATCTGAAACAATTGAATATTTATTTTGTCGGTCAAACCTCTTCAATGCAGGGAATTTCGAAATTACATAACATTTAAATGCTCGTATTTCATTCATAGAAATGATATCAAACTTTAAGAACTTGATCCAGGGTATTTCGTGTATGCGTCACTTTTTAACGACTACAAAGGGAGTTTTTTTTCTTTTCTTTTTGCTGTGCATTTGACGATCATTGATAAGATAAGCATGATGAAGGTATATTCCACAGTATATTATCTCGTCCGGCACACCTTCTTAATACTGGGAAATTCTAAGCAAAAATTGGAAACTAAATTTATCTACATAGAAATGATCTAAAAATAGAAATTAAGGTTTTATTTTACATTTAAATAAGAAATATACGCATATTAGAGTCTAAGAATTCCGTTTTAGAGTCTAAGACTTTACGCTAGAGCAAAACTAATTTAATAAGGTCACAAAGGAGGCGAATTTCGAACTTAATCTCTTTTCTTCCAAAATATTTATGAAATAATATTTAATAAATAATATTTATTGGTATGTCCATTTGGCTGCACTTCAAAATGAATAAATAAAAAATTGGACGTTTAAGCAAAATGTTCAGAAAAAGTATAACTACAAAGATTCCATTTTATAGAATAGCTACCCAAAAATACGAAAAAAGTTATTAATTCAAATGTTTCAGATGACAAACGTTACATCACTTAACTTATGTTAAAGGAAATGTACATCTCTTCTGTTACAAACTGGCGAGTTTGAGAGACATACTCTGGCCGTAAAAATGATGAATGATTTCATATGTAGACACAAGGCTAAAGGTGGAATCAATTTTTAATATTTTCTTTATTTTTATACCATCAGTCATATCTCTCTCTAGTCATATGACTAGAGACAATATTTTTATACAATATTTTTATAAGCTCAAAATCAGGTGTTAAGATGTAATATATCGGTCCACTCCTTCTGGTACATCCCCCACTAAAGGTCGAAGTTTTGAATATCCATTAAGCTCATAAATTGCAAAATTAACATCCGATTCCATTTAGACTGGGCACACCTGAATATTTCCATCAGCACAGGATATGCTATAAAAACGGTAGACCAGAACGGTATCGGACCAGTCCTTCTGATACGCTGATCCAGAATATATATTTATAAAATATATTTCGAGGAGTTACATACGGAATGACAAAGCTAAAATACCCTCCATAGAATGGTGGAGGGTATAAAAATGTTAAGAACACAATTCTTGACACACGGTATGTAAATTCTAAGTAATTCTACAAACCCGCTGGTCCCTTGCTATGGCGAAAATATCTGGATTCTGAAGCATTTATTTCATTTTTATATTAAATGTTCTGTGTAAGGAAATATATACCAATATAATGTCATATAGACTCATATTTGATTTAAAGTAAAAAAACCAAATGGCCACAACTTGGATTCCGGTTGAGTTTGCGCATTTCAATGTCTAGTCTTCCAAATATATACAGTATCTTCAATTCAATTAAATATGAACACAATATTTGGTCAAATGATAAACAAGCCAACCAACGTTTCGAATGAAAATGAAGTGTAGAACGTTAAGCAAAGAACATTTGTACTCTCCGCAGCACTCCAAATACCTATGTGGTCTGCTGTATGACTGGCTGAGCGAGCGAGCGAGTGAGAGATAGATAGAGAGAGAAACAAATTCACATTGTTTTTTGTTTTATTAAGTTAGCACGTAAGTATGATACGGACAGACATGCCTTCATCAATACTAATAATAAATTCTTTCTTATCATTTAATTTCGTTAAGACCAACAAGTCAGTCGCTGATTGACTACCTGCCACTGACAATCTACCTGGGTGTTTGTTGGTGCTGGTGGGGCCTACAGTTACGGCTCCGGGTCTATAGCTCTCTAGCTCGCAAAGCACAGTCTTTGACAGCGCGATAAATTTTGTTAACGTTGTACTAAGTTTTCAGTATTTCTTTTTTCGGCGATAGTTAGTTTAATTTATTATCGTGGATTCGTTCAGTCAGTTAGACGCTTATGTTTGTTTGTTTGCCTGGATTTTTTGTTTACCGGAGGGGCTTTACAATACCTTAGCGCTGCGCTGACGGTTCAATTGTTTTTGTTTGTTAACCACATTCATGGAGCGCGCTGCCGGTTATGCGAACCTTATTTTCGGGTGAATCTTATTGAAAAGCTTACTTTTCATTTAGTTGTTATTTGAACCAGCCGTATGGTTGGCGTACAGAGACTCTCGTTGTTGGATGCCGTGCATTTGGAATTGAACCATAATAAAATAAATAAAGTCGAAATAAATTTTGTTAAGTTCTATAATAATTACTACAATTGCGCGGGTGTGTGTTAATGATTGAATGTGTTTGTGTGTTTACAAAAGAGCCCGTCGTGTTCGTTTTGTTTAAGTTAATAAAGTGAATTTGGATTTGAACACGTTCTACTCTACAAAGCCAGCAATATCAGCAAAAATGCCTCAAAGAAGCAGGTGTGTGTGCGTGTTTTTGTTGTTGTTTAGAAATGTTTTAATACATCTTCTTCAATTAAAAGCAACAGTAAAAGGTTCAAAAAACCAATTAAATCCAGTAAATGTGACCAAGACAGAAAAGCAGCAGCAGCAGCAGCAAAAAAAAAAAAACAAAAATTAAAAACGAATTAAAGCTATATTTTAAATGTTTTCTATACTCAAATGACGAGCGACAATTATGGAAATTTGTTTTGATTTTTGAATAAAAAAAAAAGGTTATATTATTTGTTTGGGTGACCAAAAAATGTCCGAGGGCATTGCTAAAATATTTATGTGTAAATTTGTGTTAACCGAACCTACGTTATTTAAATCGCATACATTTTTTATCATAAATTTGCTTTTAACATGATTATTATGGACTGATAAAATGTAGATTATTTGTCTTTGATAATAACAATTTGTTTTGACATGTTCAGTGGCAATGATTTATTTTTGGAAAGTGAAAGCCTAAAAATATGCAGCAGTGGGAGCAGTAATGCACAATGGAGTAAAATTTTTCGAATTATCAGAAAAACTGAAATGTATTTGTTGTTTTGTATACGAAAATCAAACCACAATGAAATGTATTTTTGTTATTATTCACAAAATTCAAACCACGTTGGTGTAAAAATGTACTTCGTTGGTTTGAAATTTTAATGATTGCTGATTCTTTAACTCAAACTCCTTATTTAAATTAAATCTCCACAGTTGCTCAGAGAAAAGAAAATTAATTGATTAAAAATAATGGCGAAGTGCTTGCTTGAGGTGATAGACACTTTGGTATTATTTAGTTTCAACCTTGCTTTCCAAAATACTCCAGACACAATAGTCCAACGGATTGGTATCCGGAGATTTTGGTGGTCATTGTGCGCTGGAAATGAAACGAGGAACCTCATTTTGTAACTATTCTTGGTTTGGCTTGCCAATATTTTCATATTTATATAGTCTGATTAAAAAAAACAATTATTTCAAAAGTTTTAAGTTTGCTTCCTATGTTAGCACACTTTGCTTCTGATTCAATAATAAAAAAATAATAACATAGCTCTTCTGCTTTCACAAGTACTATTTATAAAAAAATTCAAAATATTTCGAAGATTCTTATCTCCACTTATAAACCACAAATTGATTTATGATGCCAAACAAATCCAACTTTTCTAAAAATACTGGACCTTTGGGACAAAAGATTATCGAACGTTTGTCAACAATTCCCAAAAAAAAAAAAAAATACCACGTATTTTCTAATCTCAAAATAATCCAAAAAATTAGAGCAACCAAAAGTAAAAATGACAAACTCCCTTCAACTGGCCATAAATAAAAAATATTTATTGAAAAATTTATAACACATTTTCAGTATTTATTAGCCACGAACCTATGGACATTATTTATTAACATGATTAATCACGAAATTTAAATAGAACATGATATACAGTCTAATGTAAACAAAACGAAGCGCAAATACTACAAACAGATTTATCAATAATTCACAAAAAGCGAAAATTTACGATAACAAGTAACCGATGAAGAGTGGAATGATTGTTCGAGTGGCCCTAAACAACAAGCTACTCGAGAACTTATTGGTATCTTAGAAATCGAAAACAAAAAGTACTAATGATATATCTTAATGACAGTATCTGTTCATATTAATCGCCCACTGTGATTCATTGTTACGCTTGACCGTAAACAAAACCTTTTGCAAATCGAACAGTCATTCAACTTTTGTCTCTATGTTATCTGGCGCTTTATCCATTCGTATTGATTAATACCATACGTATAAATACAAGAAAAACCTTGAAACTACAAAAATCTCCGAACTGACTGACTAACCATGCTTCAACGAAACGTTAAGTGTTATTAGTCATTTCTAAGTAAAGATAAAATATAACGAACCGAATGTATGTATGTCTGGTTGGAATTTTGTGCGGATATTTGCGGCAAAAGTAAGAAATTTTAAGAAAATATTTTGCCGCATTCAGTGGTTATTACAAAGGGTTATGAGTTCATTAAGTGGCTTTGTGTATATCTGAGCTTGGTTCTCTTGGAAAAAAATGGAAGTGAAACATGTTTTTATATTAGAAATGAAGTGAAGCATGCAACAAACAAGGTCTTTGTATGTCTTCATACAAAATACAATCGCAGAGGCCTTGTTAAAAAGGTATTGGATATATTTAAAACTATATACACATTTTTTGATAAAATTTAGAAACTGCAACAAATTTAATTTATTTAAATTAAGTACTCGCAGCAGAAAGCGAAAAGGTGTGCTAGTGTAGTTCTTTTATATTTTTTAGTAATATCTTACAAGAATTATTTGTTTTACTCCAGAGTACATAGATCGGTTAGGTCTTCTTTGGTTCGTACTAGAAATATTTTAATGTTTTTCTTCCTCTTAAATAAATACCGAAAAATCTGCTTAATACCAGTTAGAGCTAGAAAAATAAAACAAATTTTCGAATCTGATAATAATTGACTGCGATTGAAGGTCGCAAATAAATAAATAATATTATATACGGTCTGGAATTTCATATGTTTGAATTGAAGACAAGTTAAGTTCATCCATTTGGTTAAATATGTGCACATATTGTTTTAGAATCTATATATAACTCTTCTACACAAATAATATAAGGTATCTTTAGTTACTGTGGCTCGATACAAAAATTTGAATTGGCATGGCACTCTATTTATACCACCACAGTTTGGTCCTTGTTTCCTTATAATTGGTTATACCTAAGAAAAATGTATAACAAGGTATTTATGGAAAATTTTACATGACAGAGCGGGGCAGGATAAAACTTGTTTTTTATGGATATGATTTCTTCTTAAAAATATTTCTTACCTTAATGAATCATTAATTAAAACTTATTTCTTGTTATACCTTACACCACAAGGTGGTCAGGGTATTATGTTTTTGTGCATTTGTTTGTAACAGGCAAAAGGAAACGAGATAGACTCATAGCTCCTGATCTGCACAGAATCGCATTCTGAGTTGATTTATGCATGTTCGTCCGTCTGTCCATGTATTGTATGAAATTTTGCAAAAATCATTTCTTCGACTCAAGGACGAACCATAATAAAATTGGATTTAATCGGTCAAAATGTAAATATCGCTCCCATATATATCTTCGTCCGATTTGCATTTCATTGTGCGCTAAACATGTAATATTAGCCCAAATGGGATGGAATAGGGCACATACGACAAAATTGATTCTAGAAACAAGTATGTCAAAATTGGTGAAAATCGGTTCATATATAAATAACTATAACTCTCATATATAATCAAATGCACTCAGAAATACCCTTGATCTTTGAAATGACCTATTTTTCGAGAAGTCATTCCTTCCAGAAAAAACCGTATTATTGTGCTAACAACACATTGACCTAAATGTGGTAACAATTTCAAATTCACAAAAACAGACATATTGTATTACACCGCCTAACAACCCTTTAACGTTTTTTTAATAATATTTAATATTTAAATTTAGATTATTCGAAATTCTACTCACTGCGTCTTGTGTCTCATTTCCTTGGTGACTAGGTCTCCCGTTCTTTTTTCTTTTTAGTTCATTTACTTTCTTTTTTATACAACATGTTGCAATTGTATTCCGAATGGTTTTAATTAAAATCACTTCGATAAAAATCATAAATAATTTGACTTATCCTTTCGCCCATTGGTCTCTCCAATTGACCATATCGGATATTTGCCAAAAGATTTCTTGCTTCGTCGGATGTAATACAGGTATCATATGCATCCATAAGGCAGCGAGGTGTGGGATACAATTCAACAATGGCCATGGCTCTTTCCAATGACAATGAATGCAACTGTAGTAGTTGTTGTACAAATACCTCACGAACTGTTAGAAGGGCATTTCGAGCTGAATCTTCATAGAGAGATTTGAATTTTAATAAACCGATCATTCGCTGTGTTGGTGTGTGCGGCTGCAGATCTTCCTTGTCACAACTCAATAGGACTTTATCTTTATATAGACGTATTAATGTCTGGGACATACCTTGGAGATACATCATAGATCTGCGGTGATTCTCTGTTCTCTTTATGGAAAATTGATTGTGTATCAGTGTGTTGCTGAGGGCCTGCTTCAGATTTTCCAGTGGAAGGCCAACATGTTCGTTGTCTCCGTAATCTTCAACTAAATAAATAATATGTTGAATTCCGCATTGTTTAAGGCGATGCTTTTGTTCACGAAATCGACCGTCGCGTATGCTCGAAGCTAAATCATCCATTCGTTTGCGTTCCACAATGTATGGCAAGACCAATTCGTTACCCTCACTATCACGGGCAATCCACAGAAAATCACCAACAGTAAGTCGGCGCACTTCATATTCGACATGCAATGACTCCAAGTAACCTCTGGTTTGATCCAGGGTTTTCTTATTTTTACCACTTGTCTCTTGTGTGTCCACAATAAGAATTATACGGAACGAACCCCCACTCATTGTCACCTGCTTGACACGGGCCTCTTCTTCCTCAAGAGCTTTCTGTTGTTTCTTTGTTAGTTTTGTTGTTTTCTCCTTAGCTGGTGCCGTTTTTGTTTTGCTCTTTTTCACGGTTTCAACGACTTCCTTAATATCCTGTTCGTAGAGGCTGCTATTCAGGTTAATTGTTTGGGCTTTTTCACGCTGTTGACGCATCTCCTCGTCAATGAGGTTACAAAGTGTAGAACCGAACCCTCTTAAAATGGCACATTCTCGACCGGAGGCCAATGGCAACGGATACATTTTCAAAGCTTCCAAGGCCTCACGTAGTTTGTATTTGGAACGGCTATCTTTTCTTTCTGCCTCCTCCAGCCATTTTTCCAACCAGGACTCGAAGATGGCATTAGGGCGCTCAAGTTTAATCTCAAGCCGTTGTATAGACATTACATTTAACGTGTTCCCAAGAGGTTCAACCGACCAGATTTAAAAACCGCGCTAATACTACATACAAAAACTAAAGCGGAATGCGCGATAAAGATGAAAGTCACAACAAAAACAATGATCACAACAATAGAAAATAGAGATTCAAAGATCGAAAACGGTCTTCAACCTAACTAATCAGACAAAATTACCGCCTTTTAAAGTGTCGTAGCCAATAGTCAAATACTTAAGAAAATTATCCTATATTTTTAAAAATATTCTGCTCATAGCAACCAATCAACTCTATTTTTTATTTGTATGGCTTATCCTGCCAAATGTTACAATTTATCTATTGAAAAAAGAAATCCTTGCATTACATTCAGTTTTCAAGATCCGTGTTTATTTAGGAAAACAAACAAAACAAGCTGCTGTATATGTTGTTGTTAAACCACTTTACAATCATGGCACAATCATAATGTTTGCCATGTTAACATAAAATACTGTTATTTACAATATTTTTAAGTATTTTGATGAGCGATGGCATTAAAAATTTCAAATTATCTTATTTCAGCACAAATGGTAACTGGAGTTTTTCGCCGTACGCCCGGCGAAAACATCAACGTCATCTGGCGCCATTGCCCGAAGCAATTGTCATATCAGCTGTTCAGCAAAAACACACAACACCAACAGATGATGATGAAGGTATTCGGCGTTTATGCATTACACTCATTCGTAAACAAAAGACTTTTTATGTCATTTTGTTTTCTGTTTATTTTTTATTGGACATTATGTTTTGTCTTCTTATTTGACATGGTTGGGACGTTTTTAATATTTGTAGGTGTCCCCAAAGTTCGCACAACCATGGAAGCAGAGAAACAAGAAGAATTTAATCTGGCAAGTGAAAAAGAATAATTAATGAAAAACATGGATTTTATTGAAATAATTTTGTGAATTGCAGCAAAAAGAGTTCGAATGGGTGTTGCGAGAAGAGGTGCATCAATTACTCAAGAAGTTAAAGTTTATTCTCATAGTAAGTAGTTGTAACTATTTTCCTTGTTATGCTAGTTGGATTCTTTTTTAAATTGCTCGTCTGTCCGTCCTCCCGTTGTCTTTGTCTATCACTGATTGGACTGTGTTGTTTTTTCTTTGATTTCATGTTATTGTTTTTGTTATCTATCTAAGAGTCAAAAGCGTTGGAAGAAAGACTATTATTAATATAGCTTTACAATTACCATTATTGTACAACAATTGTGTTATGTTGTTGCCTTTGTTTTTGCAATCATGTTTTTTTTCTTTCTCTGTGTATCTTGCTTAGGAATGTGCCCATCGGTTTCCTGTTCCATTGTATGAAAATGAGGGAAAGAAGACTGAAAAATTCATATTATCTGTCCAACCGCCAGATCAGTTGAAGGCCATTCTCACCCTCACGGGTGATACTATTACACAAGCGGTAAGTTATATGTTTCCGAATGGATTCCTTATTTGTAATGTTTGCTCTTTTCAGGACATTAGTTTTAAATTATCCAAATCACCTCACCAAATTCAACGCACCTCCATAACACAGGATTCACCTTGGAAATTGCAGCAGGTCCAGGATGCGGCGAACCATCTACAGCAAGCCATTAATCACATTGATGACGTCGATGAGTCGTACCATTTTAAGTGAGTATATATCGCCAAACTATTTCAACGTTTGTGTGTAGGTAGAGTTCTGATTCCCCCTGCCCTCAACGAATGTTTATATAAGAATTAGTTGTGATAAGTGACGGGAAAAAGATTTCCGAAGAAGAAACTTCACATTACTCATACCTAGAAACTATATGTTATCGTATGAAAACAAATCTTGGTCACCCCCAGTTGTTCATGTTGAACTTTGTTCTGTAGTACGCAAGAAAGAAATGTAGAGCAGAATATGTGCCATACCCAATGGCTCAATGCATGTGAAGATAAAATTAATGCATCATTATTATTCTTTGCATACATATGTATCTGTCATTGTTTACATGATTCTGTAAAAATTGTGTATTTTTTCTTTTCAACACCCTGCTTATCATTAATTGTGCGTTTCTTACAAGGATTATGAATGTTTTTTTTTGTCTGAAATCTATAGTTTTACAATATAGACAATGAAGAATATAGCTAAGAAAAAATTATTTCCCAGAGGCAGATTTTATTTCTTGTTTATATTGTCTAATTTTACGTACATATTACTTTTTTAATACCATCCAAAGATAATAAATTGTTTTGTGTTCAATATTTAGTCATTCAATTAATATTTCAATAGCATTCTGTTTTTTTTTTTTCATACAATACTTCAAATTAATATGTCATCTCATGATTGATTATATTTTCTCGTGATTAAATCAAATATTAGCTAATTAAATGTCAAAAAATAAATATAAATTGACATTCAATGTTATGCGTACGAGTAGAGTTTATTAACATGGCGTGTTCTTTGAACCATTTATAAAGTCATTTTGGTTTGAATTAGCAGAAACAATTTTATAACAATTGTCGATTTTTTTATCGAATGTTTCATTTCCGCTTCATGTTGTTCTTAGTAAAACAAAAGAAATGGGAAATATTGTCAACAAGCTAGAGAATAAGGAAGTAAATGTTAATGTTGCCAAGTATGTGATTTGAAAAAAACTAAGCCCAGAAAATGTTAATTTATTCAATGAAATTGAATATTATTCAGATATGTATGTATGTAGGCTTTAATACAGTACAGCACCTTGAAGAGTATTGAAAGAAAAAAAAAAAAAAATAAAGGAGTGCCTTTGAAAAAATTGAATGGGTATCAATACACGATAGAAAGGTAAATCTTTTCATATCATGTTACATATACAACAGACTCTCTTTTCTCCGTTAACGCAATGATATGTACTTATATTATTTTAATATTGCATTTCTTATATGTATGCATAAAAAAATCCCACAGTTCTTTACCGTACTGTTTTGTTTTCATTTAAAATTAAAAAATTCCTATCGATAATCCGTTTTAATTAGCTTTCCTATTAAAAACAACAAATCTCTTATCAGCAACACGCTTCTTTTCTTTTATTTGTATCTTTTGCCGCCCTGCTGAAATCAACCATAAAAACCCCAACAAATAAAAACAAACTAACCAAACAACAACACAACAGAACATCTGATGAAGTAATGCATGTTGTTGGCAATATACTGGAGGCGTTGCAAAGAGGGCGCTTATCGCTTGTCATACCAAAAAAGAAACCCATAGATGAATTAATTAAGGGACGCAATATGGTGAGTTATTAAACCGCAATGATTTTTATGTCCCCTTATTTATTAATAATAACTTTTGATTGATTTATACAGAAATCTCTGACTCCGAATTTATCGGAAGATTTAGCTGTTAGTTTCTATTTACAATCGCATAAACTAATCATTGCCGTATATCAGCTAACCAATATTCATGGGACAATGCGTTTCGACTCATGCCAGGCTGAGGTAAGTGTGATTCGTTTATAATAATCTTTATGACAGTGATTATAAGCATTTTATTTATTTAGGCTTCCATCAATTGGCTAAATGAGGTTCTGTTCATGCTGTCAGCCGGTCTTCAGCTATGTCAACAGCTAAAAGATAAAGTAAATCAAATTAATAGACTTTTATGTGAAATATTCTAATATTTTGTTTTTTTTTTCTCTACTTCCAGATCTCAGTTTTCTCTTTGTACAAAGATTTTAAAGTTGGTTCACGAGCATCCTCCGCCCTTTCCTATTGACCCATTCGTATGGGATATTGTTATTGGCTTCTAATGAAAGACTTGGTTGTATTCTATTTCATATTTATAATTTAAAAATTAAAAAATAATCAAAATATTCAAAATAACAGATCGGTATTGAGTTTATCGAATATTTAAGTTATTACGCATTAAATGCTTAACTATCTAAATGTAATAGTGTAATATAAATAGAAAACAAGTTAATACAACTACTCTATACTCAAAAAACGCTTCAGGTTTCTGCAAAGAGATGAAAAACCACTAAACTGTAATGCCTTTTTAAAGAACATATTTTTTGTATGTTACCTACAGTACTTAAAGAACTAAAATGTTGACATGTTGTTTGAAAGGAGAATACAAGAAAGAAAATGTTACTAAACTATACACAAAAAAGACACCATTCGCTGCCTTATAGCACAATCTATGTTTAATCGAGTTAACAATGTTGCAATGTGTAATCCCAAAAATTTAGAAACAAAATTGCTTCTATTTTTATAATTTATATTTTTAATTGTAAATTGTATTTTTTAAATCTGATGATATTTTTTTTAAATGTAAATCTAGTTAAATAATAAATCAATTGTATATTTTGTATTAAGTTTTATTGTACAACAAACGAAATTAATAAATTATTTCTAAAAGGTTATTTTAAGAAAATTATACAAAAAAACAACTCGTCACTTATGTTTACTTTATTCGGAGGTGCAAGCTAGATGTTTTTGGCAAAATTAGGGTTCTATGTCTAAATGGATCCTTTAATAGGATCTGATTTAGGATACTTCCTTCTATCCCACAAACTTTTATTTTAATTCGAACATTTTCTGTCTCGTATGGCGAACTAAATAAATAAAATAAACAAATATCGATCCAAATGAATTAAATGAAAAATTGCGGAAAATGTTATTCCCAAATTGAGAAAAAAAAAAAAAAAAAAAACGATTGACACTCCTAAATAAAAATATGAAAATGATTAATATTGGCTAAAAAATCGATTCCAGTGTATTTCCGTGCACATTTGAGCGATAAAAATCAGTAAATACGTCAGGACTGTAAAATTACTATATAATTCTACGTCATTACCAATCATCGGTATCAAGAATGTTTGAAGTATTGATGTATTTTTATACCCTCAGTCATATGGCTAGAGATACGACCAAAATGTGCCTCATCGAAATAACGGTTAGACCCTAGGTCTTTTTAGGCAAAATCCGTTTCAAGACATTTGGAATCGATCTAGCTATATCCGTGCGTCTGTCTGACTGGTGCGCATGATAACTCTCGAAGGGAGTACCTCCCCCACAAAAGGTCAAAATTTTGAATATTCATGAAATTTATAAAATACGGAATTAACATACGATTCCAGACTTGACACATCTCAATAATTCCATCAACACAAGATCTGTTATAGAGATGGTAGAGATCGGACCATTTCTTATGGTACCTCCCCCACAAAGGGTCAAAGTTTTGAATAACCAAAACGATCATAAAGTCCGAAATAAGCATCCGGTTCTCTTCAAATTCCACACATCAGAATATTTTTGTTAACCCAAGGTCTAGTGTAAAGATGGAAAGTATCGGCCCACTCCTTCTGGTACCCCCTACCCCCACAAAGGTCAAAATTTTGAATATCCATGAAGCTCATAAGACGGGAAATTAAACTCCGATTTCATTCAGACTTGGTACATCTCAATATTTCCATAAACACAAGATCTGCTATAAAGATGGTAGAGATCGTACCATTTCTTTTGGTACCTCCCCACATAGGGTTCGAGATTTTGAGAAACAAAATGCTCAAGGAAAGCGAAACAAGCATCTAATTCTCTTCAAATTTGAAACATACAAATATTATTGCTAACGCAAGATCTGTTGTGAAAATGATATATATCTGCGAACCCCTCCTGGTACCTCACCCACAAAGGGTCACAACTTCTAATACTATTATCTGTCATAACTTGCGAAACAAGTCGGCGATTCTTTAAAACTTTCTATATCTTAATATTTATCTTAACCAGAAATCTGATATGAATACGTAATTTATCGGAATTTATGATTTCGCATACAATTGGATATAAATGTATAAATGTAAATTTTGAACATACCAATATTTTTATCAGTTTTAGATAAAGAATGAAAATGGAATACTTCGGTCGACTATATCTGATATCTCACGCATATTTCCACATTTTCCAAAAATTTGCACATATCTTATATAAAGTATAGGAAGTAGTCGATATAGTCCAAATCTGGCACGTTGTAATATTTATATAAGTATTGGCCAACTGCTTCGGAACCTCCCCCTCAAGGATAATCAGTTTGAATAATCATAACTCATGACTGGGGGTATACATCTGTCCACAAATCCAACTAATACTATTTACTTGTTTTTTTTTTAATACATAATTGAGCGCAAAAAATTAATATTTGTACCACATTTAACGACTTAAGTTAAATATTCATACTAAAGACAGACAGGAATGTTATATGACTAAACCACATGATATTTCGGAATTTTCGATGTTTTTTAACACGTTTCTGAGATAATATACATTGTGGATTATCTTATGAATATAATCCAAATATCTTAATGTCACCTTTCGATTATGTTAACATACGTCCTTTCGATTATGTTAACATACGTAACATCCATCTCTGGACTAATAAATGTTCACAGTGAGCTAGAAAACAAGTTAGCAACACTTAAAAACTGTGAGAAGGCCAACAAACCCAATCTGCAAAGAGAGAGAGAGAGAGTAAGTATTACTTAATTATTATTGCGCAAGCGTACATGTCTCTCTTAGCCATGCATAATTAAACTCTCTTGAAACCTCAAAAAAACAGCTAAAAACCCCACTTTAACACCAACAGAGGCCAAATACAGCTACCGAATGTTTGACTTCATTCAATAGGCAGTCACCAAACCAAACAGTTGTTAATTTAAAGCAAACTCAAGAAGTGAACAAACATTTTAATAATAAAAAAATAATTTAATAGCTTAATTTTTAATAAATGTAAGTAATAACGTGACTTAATAAAATTACAACTCGAATATTGTCTCAATACTTTTTTACGTTACATTTTAAAAATTTGCAAAAAAAAACAACTAAAAATCATAGAGGTGTGGTTTGAATTATTTAAGTGCAAAACATTTTTCAAGAATCTTGATAAAATATTCCATTGATCACGTTGTTTCATGTAAAGTTTACTCAACCGGTTCTATTGATCTGAAATATTTGATTTATTCTTTGATTGTGCTTCTTTTGTGTGCATTTTTTGAGGACAGTTTCAATGAAACCAAAGTTAAGATCTAAACTTCATCTCATCTATGAACGAACGCTGGTGAAACAAAAACAGCAATATTGCTATTGACCATCAGCAGCAGCGTCTGTGACCCTGGCCAAATTTTCATTTCTTTAGTGAATAGAAGACCAAAAAAAAAAAACACAAACCCAGATACGCAAGAAAGACGTACCCATGAAACTTGTTTGAGCCAAGTGACACACAAATCTCGAAGCAAACGAAAGAAGCAAAACCCAAGCAACGAATAACTTTTATTTAAAATTGTAAATGCAATTAACGAATGTGGATAACAAGCAGAGGAAGTATCATCTTGGTGTAAGAGTAAATTTTAGGAAATTACAAAACAATTGCCAAATTACATTAATCATATAATTTTAATTAAATTTTCTAAGCACCTGTATGATTTGGTGGGAAAATTCGAAAATTGGGTCAACATCTTGCAAACTCATGGTGAAAGAAGCGTTCGTTCGCATGTGACCCAGTAAAGGTCAAGAGCCGAGGTCAAAGTTATACAAATAAACGATTATTAATAATCTTATAACTATTCCAAAAATAGTATCGAAGCGCGGAGATTTTGAATGTTGGTTTCAATTTTATAAATGATAAACGGATATTTATCATCTTCACCACAAATTTTGCGTTAGCAAAAATGTTTGGATATTTGAAAATTTAAGAGAGTTTGATGCTTATTTTGCGATTTATGAGCGTTTTGTTTTTCAAAATGTTGAACCCTTTGTGGTGGAGGTACCAGGAGGAGTGGACCGATGTATCCCATTTTCACAGCAGAGTCTGATTGGAATATGATTACAAATTTTGACCCTTTGTGGGGGAGGTACCAGAAGGTGTGGACCGATATATTCCATCTTCACACCAGACCTTAGGCTAATACAGATATTTTGATGTGTGTAATTTGAAGACAATCGGACTCTTAAAGTTATAATTATTCAAAAGTTATAATTATTCAAAAGTTATAATTATTCAAAATTTTGACCCTTTATGGGGGAGGTAATTGATGGAGTTAACAAATATTGTCCATTTTCGCACCTGACCTAGAACTGATGCAAATATTAGGATTTGCAAAGTTGAAGCAAAATCAGATTATCCTTTCAGTAAAATATTTTCTTTGAAAATTTCGACCTTTTGTGGGGGGAGGTACCAGAAAGTGTGAACCGATATGATCCATCTCAAAACTCAAACTAAGTTTGATAATAATATTACGATCGGATATTCTATTCGAGAGTTATCGTATGCACCAGACGGACAGACATCGCTAGATAGACCCCAAATGTCCTGAAATGGATTTGGTCCAAAGAGACCTAGGGTCTAAATCCGTTATTTCGATATGGCATGTTTTGGTCAAGTCAAGTTTTCACATTCTGGAAGGTATAAAAAGTCCAAATAATATTGAAATATCTAAGCAGGTGATGGAATCTCGAAAACTTTTTTACGTTGTGATAAGATTTTTCATAGTTTTAATTTTCTATTTTTACAGAATTAAAAAAAAGTTCCAACCATGGCCAGTGGCGAAGTTGTTTTGGTTACCGGTGGTAGCGGTTTTATTGGCCAACACATTATCAGACGATTATTGAAGGACAAAACGGAGCTGGGAATTAAAGAAGTGCGCAGTGTGGATTTGAATGCCTTCAAGAATACAATTGATGGTATGTATAACTAATACAATTTGAACTTAATTTCGAGATTCAAAACTCTTTTGGAAACTAAATTACTAAAATTTTTATATATTTTGTCCTTGCAGATGAAAAACTTGATATTAAAACCTTTGTTGGTGACCTGTGTGAACCAGATTCTGTGGAGGATGCCTTTAAGGGTGTTGACACTGTATTCCATTGTGCCGGCAAGATGAGTCTGCAATATCCCCCCAAATACGATGAATTGAATCGTAACAATATCGAAGGTAATTGTGAAAATAAAAAAGTAATTTCTCTTTTAATTACCAATTCCATTTTAAATTCCTGCAGCAACTCAATCAGTGGTGGATCTTTGCCTTAAACATAACGTGCAACGTTTAATTTACACCAGTTGTGGATCGGTGTGCATGGTCCCCTTTAAGGGCAGTTCCAGTACTGTTGTTATTAATCAAACCGAGTCAAAAGCCGCCACACCGATGTTCGATGCCAAAAAACCCGAGGAATTCGACAAGCAGTTTATTATTCGTGGCTATTCGTCATCCAAACTGAAGGCCGAACAAATTGTTCTGAGTGCTCATGGAAAGACACTGAAAAATGGCACTGGACAATTGACTACAGCAGCAATACGTCCACCATTGACCTATGGCGAGGGTGATACATTCTTTATGCCAGATATGCTCAGATATTTGAGCAGACATTCTTATGTCTATCCAAAGATTGCGGGCGCGGGTGGCAAGCAGCAACTCTGTTATGCTGGTAAATATACCATTTTTATAATCACAAACCACTGCTAATGAGTTTTTTTTATTTCAAGGCAATGTTGCATGGGGCCACATGTGTGCCTACAAGTCCCTCAAAGCTTCGCCCAAATCTGTTGGCGGTCTGCCGGTTTTCATTACCGATGACACACCGCTGTATGACACCTCAAGATTTATCCAAAAAATCGGTTTAGTCAGTGGCAAATACAAGGCCCGTCACTCCTCATGGTCAATTCCACATTTCATCTTCTATTTCTTTGCAATGTTAACTGAACTGTTCATCGATTTGCTGGAACCGGTGAAAAAGATAACACTTAAGTATTCCATTCGATCGCTAAGTTCATATGCATCTTCGATAATATTCTTCAATCGTCTGAGGGCATCCATTCACATGGACTACGTGCCATTGATAGATGAAGAAACATCGGTTGGCAACAGTGCCAAATGGTATGGCAAATGGTGGGAGGAGAATATAGGAAAAGGCCAGCGAAATGGTGTAGCAAAGAGTAAAAATAATTAAGTTGCTTTTATGCATTAAGATAGATTTAAGAGCCAAACATTTCGTTATTTGGTGTTTGTTTTTTTGTTATTATTGTATATTTTTAACTGAGATATTTGAATAAAGAAAAACATATTTGAAAATTGTATACAAATTTTGTTGTGTGTGACAAGGTCCGGTTGAAGTTAATCCAGAGTTGTGAAGACTCATTTGAAATGAGGCTACCATATTGGCCACTGCGAAAGTTAAGCACGTGAAGCAAAAGATGAACTGCCAGCCACTAATAAAATGTCATAGCATGTTTAAATTAGGAAATGGTCCAGGTCATGGTCATCTCCTCTCCAAATTGAAAGGGGAGTTAATTAAATTGCAACTAATTTGATTGGACTGCAAATTTTAAAATGCAGAAATGACAGTCAGCGCCTCTCCACCCTAGACACCAACCAAATTTCAGAATTCCACCTCTATCGAGCAACTCCTTCTCTCAACCACAGACACCAACAGGGACATCCATATGAAATTTCAGGTCTTCTGCTCTATACCTTCACCAAATACAAAATTGGTACTTTTTTTTGTACTTTTCGTACAATGTGTACTATTTCTAAAACCATCTCATATCCACAGACAACAACAGTGTCCTCAATATTAAATTTAATGATTTCGGTCCTTTTCCTTCACCCAATATCAAATTTAGTACCATTTAGTACTTTTCGTAAAAATATAGGAAGCATTTCCATAAACACCGTCACATCTTAACCACGGACAGCAGCAGTGACCTTAATATTAAATTTTGGGATTCTAGCTCTATCCCAATTGTGCCATATTTAGTACACATACAGGGTGAGATAAAAAGAAACTGCAACAAGGTCAAACGCGATAATTTTTTACATTTTTTAGATTTTATTGAATGAAAGCAGAAATTGTCGGAAATATCATCAAATTTTAAAATAAGTTTAGAATTGGTCACCTTTGGCACGAATTATGGCCTTCACACGGCCAATGAAACCGACACACGCTGCCTGAATTTTGCTCTGCGGTGTTTTGACCCATTCCCGGCGAAGCGCTTGCTTGAGGTGATCGACACTTTGGTATTTTTTTGTGCCAACCTTGCTTTCCGAAATACTCCTGACACAACAGTCCAACGGATTGGTATCCGGAGATTTTGGTGGCCATTGTGCGCTGGAAATATAGCGAGGAACCTCATTTTGTATCCATTCTTGGGTGGTGCGTGCTAAGTGCAATGGTGCTGAGTCCTGTTGGAATGTCCAAGGTCTGCAGCCAAAATGTTTGCGTTCCCAAGGCTTTAATACACCCTCCAGCGCGATGGTATTCGGTATTTATTCTAATGCCACGTTCGATTAAAACGAGCGGAGAGCGACCATCGGCTGTTATGGCGGCCCACACAATCAACTTCTTTGGCAAGTAAACACGATCAATTTGTTTGATTACAAATTGCTGGACAACGAATGTTTTCTCATTGGAGAAAACCAAATTCGGCAGTTCACCACTTTCGGCCAAGCGAAGTAACTCTTTAGCTCTTTTAAGTCTAGTTTCTTTCTTTTGCGGTGAAAGTTCTTGCACTTTTTGCAATTTCAATGGCTTAATCCGAGCTCAGTTTTTAATATTTGCCGAATGGAATATTGCGATATGTTCAGCTCACGAGCCATTTTTCGGCCACAGCGACGCGAGTTTCGATCAAGCCGCTTCTTTACTTTTCGAACCATTTCGGCTAATGTTGCTGGGTTACGTTACCAGTGTCACGGTAACGAGCGATGGTACGGGACACTAAAAATTTATTCACATTTAAATGTTGGCGTACTCTAACGATATCCACTTGTGGTTTTCCAGCCAAATATAAAGAAATCACGCTTGAATTCCATCACGAATAATTTTTTTTCCGAAAAATTCTCACCATTCTTTTGTACGCTTGTAAACAATATAATGAGCTGTCACTGGAATAATTTTAACAGCTGTCAGATGAGTGACTTAGAAATAACCTTTGAACTCCTGTTGTGGAGGTACCGGAAGAAGTGGATATATATTTTCCATCTCCGAACTCAATCTAAGTCTGATAATAATACATATTACGATGTACAAAGATTGACCCGAATCGGATACTCCCAGCTAGCCATATAGATGGACAACTGGATTTCATCCAAAGAGACCTGGGGTATAAAACCATTATTTCGATAATGGTAGACATATGACTGAGGGTATAAAAATAAGTGGACTTTACGATTTCCTACCAAGTTGATAGCATTTCCAGTCAAATTGATTGGTAGTAATAGACAATTAGAAAGAGGACACTTCCTGCTCCCTTTCTGCTAAAACCTTATTCTACGTCTTTCCACACATCAAAAGTTCTACACCATAAAAGATCGAATTTTACTAAAATTTAGCATCTGTAAGAAAAGTAAATAGCTCATCCCTTGTAAACGCCACAGTAATTTACTTACCACCAACATGCTACCCAATTTCAAAGAACAATTCGATTGTTTTTTTTTTTTTTTTTTGAACAATGTTCATATTTTTATTTATTTTCATTATTTGCATCAAAGTTGTTGTTGTTGTTATCATCCTTATAATTATGTTTTTGTTTTCTTCCTTTTGTTTATATTTTCAAATAACTGTTTTTTTTTTTGGTTTTGTTTAAAATCGTCTCATGTTTTTGTTGTTGTTGTTGTTTATAATATATATATAATTAACTTAAATTGTATTTGACTTTATGTTATTCTCTTGTTGGTTTCCTTTTTGTTGTTGTTCTTGTTATTTTTTTGTTCTTCTTTCTTTTTCAGTTGTGGTATTTATATAACTTATATCATTACATACAAATGTATATTTATATAATGTTGTTGTAATAATTATTAATAATTATTATATAATATATTTATATGTATATTTATTGAATTTATTAGTATTTCTTGTTGTGGTTGGTTGTTCTATGCAAAAAATTTTGCAAACCAAGACCCGCCCAGACCCAGATGGGTGCTGAGTGTGTGAGTATTTGTATCCCATCGGGTGGACAAAAAAAAAGTTCCCTCCTCCACCTCCTCTCGCGGAGTAATGAATGTTAGTGTTAGTGTGCGTTTCAGCTGCACATGCCTGTATTAGATCTGAGGAAATAGAGGAACCCATGTCGTCGACCGGTAACGCCCCTCCCCAACACCGATGGGACATCATCATAGTTCCATTGAAGTAAATAATTTAATTTGTATACAAATTGTGAACAAAATAACAAAACTCCAACTCCGATCAGGTGTTGGGTTTTGCACGTTTTCCCTTTGTTTGCTGTTTTAATTTGTTAATAAATTTTATAAAGAAAAATAAATTACATTATAACAGTTTTATTTCATGTTTATGGTGTTGCTTTTTTTCAAGAGAGTTTACAATTTAAATTTAATTTATGTTTTAAGGTTTTTTTTGTTTTATTTTAAATATGTAATTGCTTTTTGTATGGTTTGTTTGGTTTTTTTTTTATAATCAATGATTTTATTTCCATGCATTTTTTTGCCTTAACTTATGTTGTTGTTGTTGATTTTTTTATTTTACTAAAAATGTATTTTTTTATACAAATATTTCGAATTTTGCTTAATTTCAATGTTTGCTGCGGATGACAAAAAAAAGATGTGTGTTTCTTTCTTTCGTTTTACATTATGGGGGGATTGTTTTCGAAAAAAATGTCCAGTTTTGCTGATATCGTTTACAAAAAATTTTCATTAAATAGTTTTTGGATTTTGTTGTTGGTTTATTAATAGAATTTGTTTTACATTTCATTTTTTTTATTTTGCTTTTAATATGTATTCTTTAATTGGTTTTCCTTGTATGTTTGTTGTATCTGTAGTTTATTGGTTTTGTTAGTTGTTGTTGTTTTTTCGGGTTTTTTTGAATATATAAAACTATATATGTATGTAGTTCTTTGCGTAAGGTTTTCGTTTCCTTTTTCCTTGGGGACCATTAACTTTAAACAATATTGAAATGTTCAATAAAAAAAATTTTAAGATTACAGTATTCCAAATTTCTCGTTGAAAAATTAAAGGCTGTAGTGAAAATTCAACCCAATTCGAGGTTTTTAAAATTATAAAAAATTATTTTCGACTGCATTCGAGGCTAACATTCCTTTTTCTAGAATACATTATATAGAATACTATGGATCTTCAAAAGACAGAATATCTTCGGTAGACAGAGGGCCTTCTATAGGCATAACACCTTTTGTAGATGTTCTATGTATATTCAGATTTTCTTCATACAGTAGAACTTCTATATGTGTCCTGATGTTCGAGGATCGATATGTATAGTCGATATCTGTCGCTATAGGCGATTTCGACTGCGTTCTATAGACATTACTTTTTAATGGACAGAATTCTCCTCATATGTCCTAGCAATATATATGTACTGGGTGAGATGAAAAAACTGCAACCAATTCCAGGAAGCTGTCACTCATCCGACAGCTGTTAAAATTCCAGTGAAATCTCATTATATTGTTTGCAAGCGTACAAAAGCTTTTTCGCGGGAATTTTCTAGAAAAAAAGTTATTCGTGATGGACTTCAAGCGTGATAGTGAGATATCTTCATATATGGCTGGAAAACCACAAGTGGCTATCGTTAGAGAACTCCAGCATATAAATGTGAATAAATCTTTTGTGTCTCATACCATCGCTCGTGACCGTGATACTGGTAGCGTAGCCCGACGTCAAAGAAGTGGACGGAAGAAAACAGCAACATCAGCAGAAATGGTTCGCAAAGTAAAGAAGCGACTTGATCGAAACCCGCGTCGCAGTGGTCGATAAATGACTCGTGAGCTAAACATATCGCAATATTCCATTCGGCAAATATTGAAAAATGAGCTCGGGGTAAAGCCGTTGAAATTCCAAAAAGTGCAAGAACTTACATTGCAACAGAAAGAAAATAGACTCAAAAGAGCTAATGTGTTGCTTCGCCTGGCCGAAAGAAAACATATGTTGTCCAGCAGTTTGTAAACAAACAAAATGATCCGTACTTGCCAAGGAGGTCAGCTGAAAATGTACACCTTTGCCGCCCATGGTGATGGTGTGGACCGCCATAACAGCCAATGGTCTCTCTCCGCTCGACCGTGGCATCAGAATAAATGCCGAATATTATCGCGAAAATATTCTGGAGGGTGTAT